GGCTTTTTTGTTATGGAGAACCATGCTTATTATGGTATATTTTTCAAATATAAAAAACCGGACAAATGTGAGTCTGACTCTCACAGCGAGGGTTCCGTAGCATGAAACAATAAAATACGTTTATAATCACAAAAAAATGGTGACCTAGTAACTATCATTTTACGATTTTCGAATTTTTTCCTTTAATTGTGCTATAAGATATTGCTTATTGTCCAATGATTTTAGGTCAACAGGAAGTACCTATAGGTTTTGATTCCCTTGCGAGTATCAAAATACGCGGCATAAACCATCGTATGTTTTAATTGCGTTGACTTAGAAGTTTGATTTTTTCACAGCTCATATAATTGCAGAGAATTTGATATTAATTTCAACCTGATAACTCCACACGTTTCTCAGAAAAAAGGTTTTGACAGAGCCAGAGACAGAGAGACGGACAACGAAGTGATCTTATAAGGGTTCCTTTTTCCCTTTTGAGGCACGGAACCCTAAAAGCCATTTTTCTATATGACGTGACAGGTCAACTCGTCTTCGTTCAATATGTATCCCATCAAGAACATACTGTAAAAATATTGCAAGTCTCGCAACGCATTTCTTCTACCGCAAAAAGCTATGAGATATAATGTAAAACCAAGTCGGTAAATTTATTCATTACCTATCATCGATCCGACAACTTTGTCATAAATCGTTACCGAATTAGTTAAGTTACAACATTTTATAATGACCGTATTATATGCCCCCCGATTTACTCGTATACTTTTACCCGTGAAATGTTTACCTTGGTTATTTATTCTCATTTCTCTCTTGTGCATTTTCTACCTCACTCTTTCTTTATAGTTATTTTCCTAGCTATTCTACCTTGTTTCCTGTGCTCGCTAGGCAGCGATATAAATTGCTTTTGTTATCGCCAACTTACGAATTAATATTCTAATGATATATTAAAGGGCTTTCGTTTTATTTTATTTATATAAAGATAGTGCTGCTTTAGCCTTGATTTAAATCTCGATAACCTCAAGTGACGGTTTAAAAATTATCAGGAAGAAAATTTCATACTTTATTACATCAGACATTTTATAACAAGTCATGCTTGTTTTTTTAGTCTATTATAATATACATATATTTATACCTTTAAACGAGCAATTCTTGTATATTTATTTATTTATACCGGCGATCTCGGTAACGGTTCTAATGATTTCGCTGAAATTTGGTAAGTGGGGGTTTTCGGGGGCGAAAAATCTATCTAGATTAGTTTTGTCTGGGATTACGCGTGTTTCCGAGTTTTCATGCGGTTTTCTATCGCGTTATTACACGCAAAATATGGTCGGGCTCGGGCATAAATACACATCGTGGTCAAGCGGCCAAGGCGCAAAATTGACAATCACAGGTGTCCGGGTTCGAATCCCGGTCGGATACAAAGTTTTCACTTTTGTTGTATTTATTCAAGTTTCAAGTAAAAAAAAATACATTTTTTTTAATCTAAAAAATACGATATAACAAAAAAGAACTCCAAGCAGAGCTCGGTCACCCAGGTACTTATATTTATATTACTAATAATTAATAATACTATTTAGGTACCTACTAGTGACTCTCACAAGCTTCAATGGTAAGAGTATTCTATCCTCAGACTACAGAATTATATAGATAGATCACAGAGTCCACCAAAATAAATATTAAAGTCAATAATAGTAGTGTGATTAGCTATTTATAACACTATTCTCGATTTTTCCATACACATTGTTTACTTTCTTTTAAGTATAAGGGAAATATTATGTGTGTATTAGGTTAAGTATATAATATTAGGCACAAATTCAGGATTGGGGACTTTGCCCCTAGCGGAGTGGGTGGTATTTCTGGATAAGGGACGTGATAGGGAGTCGAAATGTTAAATAAAAATTGTCCGCGAACGTATGAGTAAAAAGTTATTGAGACTTAAAGTTACAACATTTCCATACATTTTCATATATTTCTTTACCACCATTCGGAGTGGGTGGTATTTTTAGATAGGGGAGGTGACAGAGAGTCAAAATATATTAAAAATATTTGGAGGAAACGTACGAGTAAAAAGTTATTGAGACTTAAAGTTATAACATATCTAACACATTTCCATACATTTCTTTACCTAAATAAGTGATTACAACAGATAAACATACCTTTAACGAATAGTACGCATCCTTTTTTATGTACATTACACATTTTCACAACAATTAATGCTTTATTGTATTTAATATTTTAATAATTTCACAACACAAACAAAACGATCTTACATTTTGACAAAAGCAAAACTGACACTTTGTTTTATATTACCGCTTAAATGACAACAGATTATATTTGATTATTTTTGCTTTTTCTGTTGGTAAAATATTAATATTAATAAATAAATAAATAAAAAGTAAAATATTATTTTCATTTCATAAATACATTTATGATTTTTTATCTGATTTATGTAAAATATATTGTTTTACAATTGTACATTTAGTAAAAAAAAAAACATTTTTTTATCTGTGAATATTTTTCAGTATTATTGGCGGGTGTTCTTAAAATACCGCGAAGTTTCATAATTTGTGACTCTGTACTCTGTGTATTTTCCATTAGTTATTAGTTTTTGTTAATTTTTATATACTTTCGTTTCTTGTTTTTGTTTTAATATTATTTTTATAGTTTTAAGTGTTCATAGTGTTAGTGTAAACAATTTATAAACGTGAGTAGACTATTTTTAAAATCTAAATGTATTATTTACTTTTGGTTTTTATTTTGCGACATCGTGGTTAGTTTAAGACATAGGTTATTTATTTATTATTCGTCATATCTGGGTTAGGTTAGGTTAGAACATTTAAGATTATTTATTTATTATTCCTCATATCTGGGTTAGGTTAGGTTAGAACATTTAAGATTATTTATTTATTATTCCTCATATCTTGGTTAGGTTAGGTTAGAACAGTTGCCACGAGCCGAGCGAGCGAAGCGAGCGTGCCGCGGTAGCGGCCGGCGAATGCCATAAATGACTAGAAAACTAGAAAATTCGAATTTCACGCAAAGTACAAATAAAGACAATCATCTGGAGATTATTTTGACAATTGAAAGTGACGTTTTGACTCCAAGTGTCTAAATGGTAGTAATGTCAAAATAATGTATGGAAATGTTGTAACTTTAAGTCTCAATAAATTTTTACTCATATGTTCGCGGACAATTTTTATTTAACATTTCGACTTCCTATCACGTCCCTTATCCAGAAATACCACCCACTCCGCTAGGGGCAGAGTCCCCAATCCTAAATCGCAGCCTAATATTATACATATACAATTTTTGGAAATAAAATATGAATAGTAAAAGTAGTACATTCTTTTGCATTGGTTCTCTTCCTCCCCTTGAGAGATAGATAATGTTATATTAGATTATGTAAGATTTTTTCTTTATTATAATAAAATTAATTAGCTATTTATATTTATAACTCAGTATACAAATTGTCTTTTATGTACAAAATAAGTTTTTAAAACATTATTGTTTGGCTTCATGTTTAGTTTTAGGACACTGTCTATATTATTCCTTAGTCTTATTATTTGTTCAAAAGACTACTAATTAGATTCCTCTTTTATAATATATTTTTTACAAAATATGGATTTAAATTACTTGAATATGTTTATCAATAATTGTCAAATTATTTGTTCCTTATTTAAGACATTTAATTATAATTTAAATGTCTTAAATATAATAATATTACAATTTTTGTACAAGTGGTAGGTACTTCATTTCTAGACATGTAATGAAATATCTGCCACTTTAACATAAATGAAATTTAAAAATGAAGTAAAAAACTGACATATCTCCAAGGTTTTAATGTTGTAACTGTAATTGAAGAAAACTAACTGTATTAAATTTGTATTTAATCATTAAAGAAAATATATTATATGCAACATAAGTGTTAAGTAATGCATGAAAAGTGTATGTAATGTATAATATATAACATGACATTTAAATATATATTTTTTTTAGTTTTGATCTACTTTTGGTCGCTTTAAAATTTTTAAAATTTAACAGTTAAAATGAAACTCTAATAATATCAACATTTGAATTAAATAGTTTTATAACAAAATAATATAATAATATTTAAATATATTCATTGATTATTTTATCCCTGATGTTACATTTCTACAGTTAAACATATTCATTTTTTCAGACAACTAATGAGATAACCTAATGCAGCATGCATTTAATATTTAGAGATGGGGTCAAGCAAAATATCATTAATTTCATTAAACATCTAAAATTAAAAATAATAATATAATAATAATAATTTAGCAATTTGGATTAATTTGTCCTTGTCCTTGTCAATTTTATATTATATTGTTTTATTCAAAAAAAAACTAAAAGTAATTATAAATTAATGGCTTCAATCTTTATAGATATTAATAATTCATGTAAAAAATATAGAGATAAAATGGGTGATATTAATATTTGTTTTCTTCATAACTCTGACCTATAGCAATAATTACTATAGCAATAATTTCACTTTTATAAAAACCTATTATTGCAATAGTAATATAGGTCAGTCAAGTGACTGTTGTACTGTAAGGCACTAAACTTATCAAAACCACCTCAAACTAACTTTTATTAAATATCATTGTGCAATACCTATATGTTTTTGAAAAAAAAGTGTAGCCTAAATTCAAAAAATTATCGTCATTTTAGGTTGCTATAATTGAATAATAGTATTAAGATATTGTGTAATGATGTAACGCCATATGAAAGGTCTTGAAATTCAGATAAATAGTAAATTGCGTGTGTGCACGATATTTTTTTTATATTAAATATCAAAGTTCAATTAAGTAAAAGACTTTGTAACTGCATATATTTTTTTGACAATGGAAGCAATTAATTGATCACATGTTTATCAGTCACATGACTGTAGTCTGTAATTGCTACTATTTCCAAACAAAAAAAATATATTTTCTTAGATTCAGTACTCAATGTTACATAACTGAGGGCATGATAGATAGAAACCTTACCTTTGTTACCATTCTCGCTCCCACTTTTCTCGGTTAAATTACTGGTCACTGGACATTTTTTCACTTTTTGTGAAGTTTGTTTCGTAGCATTATCATTATTCACTTCACCACCGAGAGCCATAACAACACGAGGAATTTATTCCGGCACCGACTGACCGCGACGAGCACGGTTCCACACTCAGCTGAAAGAGCACATGCGGTCCAGATAGAGTTCAATTTCCTATAACTCAGGTTGAAGTTCTCTTATAATACGGCCAAAGAAACGAACAATGAAAGCCGTATTGACTTTTACAATTTGCCTACCAACAAAATCTTATTGGTTAATATTACCTGACCAAGTAAAAAAAATATTCTTAATTTATTACACTCTGCGATTGCACTTCAATACATTGCACATGTTATATGACATAAGTCTAAGCTTATTCAGTATTAGACGCAATGTAATTTCTAAAAAAGTTATAATTTAAAAACGTCTCTCCTAAATAGCGACACCTAGCGTTAAAATATTTAAAACATAAAATCAATGACGTCCTATGTATGACTTACGACTGTCCCTGTTTTCCAATTACAGAGCATAAAGCCGCACTATGGCGCACAAACATGAAACACGAACAACGCGAAAAAACACTTCTTTCTACTACTGAGAGATGGTATCCGTTCCGTGTATCACGCCAAAGCAGTACTTTTCAAAGGGCTCGATTGTACAGAGCGTTGGTCGTTGCTGTAGTTGAAAAATTCGAACTTGAGCATTATTCCGTATAATGCGTTTTAGTGCTATAATTGGAAAACGTCCTGATGTTTTTTTTAAAATGCTAATGAACATTAGATATATATAAGAAATAATACCTTAAAGAATTAATAAAAAAGGATAATTAATATACATGTGTAGAGCTATAGACCAATCGGAATCTGTTTATTATTAATAGAAAAAAATATATTGAAAACCTGAAGTTTTATGATTTTAAAATGTTAGTAGGTATTTAAGGAATAGAAATTGGTAAAATACACCCCCGAAAAATGGAGGAACGCAAAGCAAAAAAACAAAACGTTTCCCCACAAAACGTGACACTGTCAGAATCGATTGCGTCTGTTAACGTAACTATAAGCCATTATAGAAAAAATAATCTACAACTTTTTATAAATAACGCTTTTTACAATAACCTCAAAGTTTTCGTAATATTTGCAGAAAACTCAGTTTTTAACTTTTTCTTGGTTCTTTATTTTTAATTTCTAGAATAATATTTTAATTTTCATGAAACCAAGGGAATGTATTCTTCAAAATACATAAAAAAATTAGAATTCAAATGTTTAGCCATTTCCGAGAAAAGTATGTTTTATGTATTATTACTTCAAGTGGACGTTTACATTTAAAAAAAATTGTTCAATTTTCAAAATAGGGCTCATTCTTTTCGTCTTGAACTATACTTCTTGAAAAAATAAAAACATAAATTGGAGAAATCGATAATTTTTACTTTGTAAACTACATTTTCTTCAATTATCATGGAAGAAATGTACTTGATTGAACAAATTTTTATTAACTGTTTACACCAATGTATTTTTCGGGAAAAAAACGAAAAAAATGGTATCCTTAAGTTTTTAATTTGACGCTTATTTTTTATTCAACGTCGCCGTAAACAATCTAACTTTGCAATTTGACGAGTTGTGGAAAAATAATAAAAGTTGGAATTCACGTAAAGTAACCACAGCATTTGTATTTTTTTGGCCCTAGAATCCATTTATGTTATTATTTTTTCAAATTTATTGATATTTTATTAGTTTTTGATGGACTTTGGACTTAGATTTATTGATTTTTTCTGCAAAAAATTATATTAAGGTAATTACAGAAAGAAATGAAATTAATTCATAGTTTAATCTTGTTTATTCATTAGTTAAAAAAATAATTAAAAAAAATTAGGTTGATATTTACAACATATAGTCATAGTTTTGTTAAAAAATTACAAAAAAATGAAAAAAATATTTATTTAAATAAACTACGATAGATCCTTGTAGAAATATGACTTAATTTTTTTAAATTACCATTTAATTTACTTTACCTTTAAATGCTCAGATATTGATGATAAAAAAGAAAAGGATCCTTTATCATTGAAAGTCAAATATTTCAGGAAAAAAAATCTCTGCTCGTCACACACAGTGAGCTCTACACGAGACTTTTTATAGGCTGTTGGTGCCCCAAATACAAATATGTCGTATAGTCGTCGCACACTTCGCACACAACAGTGTATTTGGTTGGCATGTGCAGAGTTAATAAACCAAATGCTGATAAGCTTACAACTTACAAGAATTCTATACACACCCAAGAAACGAATTATGTCTGATTTTCTCACTTTAGAGAATCTTTTTTTTGTTGACTCATCGTATCTATGCAGTGACGAAGCGATTTGTAGCACGGGCGTGTAGTCTGGAGCGGCGCGTTAAGCAGAATGGCTACTCGCAGCGAGTAGCGAGTGTAGCGGTGAATGAATCTATTCGCTGTGAATATCATGTCACACACAGCGAATTCTCGTGGTGAGTGAGAATATTCGCATAGAGTAAAATTCAACATGGCCAATTCAACTCGCAGCGAATTAATTCATTTGCAGTGAATAGTCTGTTACACACAGCGAGTTTTCGCTGTGTGTGACTAAGGCTTAAGCATTCACCACCAATAATTTTAGCTACACAAATTAAGAAGTGATTTTACTGGTCAAAATTAGTTCTGTGAATTGCTAATTCGCTCACCGCCCATATAATTATCTACTACCACGCAATACCACCAATATTTATAACTGTGAAACGATGAATACACGATAGTACTATACGATGTATAAAACGCACCATAATTAAACCCTCCTTAAATTCACTGCCCAGTTAACACCAGATGTTTATTAGCCCTTGTGTTTAGCCTACTTATAAAAAAATAGTTTAAATTTATAGTAGATAACAAAATTAAATTATTGTATAGTTCTCATTATTTATGTATTTTTATTTTCAATCAATATACCATCTTTGTATTGCGTAATTATCTTTCTATTATTGTAAGTTACTCCTGTAGATCGATCATTCATTTATACTTTTAATTCCACATTAAAGCTGCTAAATTTCAAAATTACCGCTCAATCTCATTCGTGTCTTTCTCACAAAACGTGACACTGGCAGAATGAATTTCGTCTGTTAACGCAACTCAAAGCCATATAGAAAAAAAAACAACAGTCAACACTCAACAATTCACTTTGATATTATTTGGACAGATCACAGATGTCAAAAAAAACTGATTTTTTATTTTGATATCTACTGTAATTAAATGCAGTTTATACTTTATACCTTTTAAAAACTTTTTTTGTGATAAAGCTGCAATAGTTTACCTTTGAGTATTTAAGTTTTAACATATATTTGCTACTCTACTGTTGTCAAAATCAGTAACACTGGCGTCCGAAAATTATCCCAAGGTTCAAATTAGTCAATATAATTCAAAATGATACTATTCTGTAAAACAATAATTTAATAATTGAATTGAATAATAATTTTTAGAAAATGCTTGATGGGTGGTACTGTCGCTCTATAGCGAATATGCAAGCTAATGAAGCAGCCAGTGCCAGCAATAGCGTAAGTGCTGAGGCACCAAACAGTCGAGATTCACGAAAAGATTATTCCAGCGATAGTAGTAGCGATCCAGAACCTGAGCCCAATTACAAAGCGCAATATTTAAGTCTAAAAAAGAAATTAAAATATCTCATTTATGTAAGTTACAGGATTGTTTTGTCAAAATGGAGTAGCATTTATAACTTTGTCCACAATGGTTCAAAACAAGAAAAGGATTTTATTCATATCATATCAAATTTGTAGAATTTATTGTATCTATCTATTTATTGTATCCTGTTTAAGTTCTAAGTCCTAAACTTGATATGAATAGTTTTCCTTCTTGATTTTCTTGGATAGATTAAGTATATTTGGAATCAAAAGGAGTGAAACCCACAATCTCTTAGAATAAAAAATGTATAAATATACTTCATTGTATACTAGAATTATTTTTATTTAATGAATTAATTATTATTATTTAAACATAAATAAAATAGCTTACAAGGCACATATCTGAAAGCATTTTGATTAGAATTTAATTTTTTTATTAAGGATATTAACAAAACAATTAGCATTAGTTAATGCATAGTAGTTTTCTTCAAAAACAATCTTTGTAGTTATATATTAAAGGTGTTTATTATTATAAATATCTCAATTACAATTTTAGGAGAATGAATGTTTTCAAGATGCTCTTCGATGCAGTCAAAAACGACTTTTAAAAGTTTCAAGAGATCGCAGTTTCCTGCTAGATAGACTTCTGCAATATGAAAAACATGAAAGCACAACTTCAGACAGTGAAGAAACGGAATCCTCTGATGATGCTACTTATAATCATTCAGAGGTTATGAAACGGTATACATATATACTTTTCTATATTATAATTGATCAAATTGTATTGTTAGATATCCAGTTATAATTTGAAAATAAATATTTTTTCAAGGTTTGTAGCTAGCTGTAGATCTGTAAGCCATTAAAATTCGCCATATTTTAAAGTCTTAATGAACACTATCTTAAAATTGTGCATGGTGGATTTTTATATGAAGAATAGAATAGTTCCACAACAATTACTTGACAATTTATCAACTAATTTAAAAAATGTAGGCGCTTGAAAATAGTTTTCTCTTGGCATAATATAAAAATCGTAATTTGTATTTTAAAATGATATACAGTTCTCGAGGCGTAAGCTCAGCTCTGCATTTGTGTGAGTGACAGCTCAGACAGAAAAGTAAGGTTAGTCAAAAAATAATATAAAAATAAAATCAATATTTTATCAGAAGGAAATGCTGACAGTTTAATTATTAAAAAAAAGCAGTCATGAGGACTGCTGACAGAAGTGAAAACTTAAAACTATGAACATACAGTTGTTATTTTTGGATATTCAAATTAATTGTTTAATCTTAAATTAAAATTTGTAAATTAAAACTATTTACATTTATCTGCTTTATATATATATATATATATATATATATATATATATATAATATATATATATATATATATATAACATATTCATTCAATTTGCACAAAATTTCTTTCGTTTGGCTGCTTAATGGTTTTCGTGTAGTCAATTTAGTTGCAGTAGAAGCCATTTCACTAATGATAATAATAATAATATAATAATTCAAACACAATAACAAAACAATATTATATGTCAAGCTGCAAACGGTACGAGAGGTGAAATGCTGAAAGTGCAGGGCAGGGAGATGACACGTAAGGGACCCGCCGCGATTCAAGCCGCGCTTCAAAAACATGCGCGGGACGCGCTAAGTCACAAGCCGTACCTCTCCGTACACTCACACAAATGCAAATCTGAGCTTAAGGCGCGAGGACTGTACTATTGCAAAAACTATTATTATCAATTTAATATTTCGTTTTTTTCCTTTTCAGGAAAAAGATGGACACTGGTGCTGGACAGCAAGCTTTATCCACGCCATCTTCACTCAATAAAGGTCTCAATAATACTATGAAAAGGAAAAGAGCTGTTGTCCCTAAAAAAACACCAAATACTAATATTCCTGTAAGACAAAACATGATCTGCACATACATAAAACTAACGCCTTCTTTTAAACTTTATTAATATAAATGTTCCAAATTATCTTTTATTTATTGATATCTATTTTAGATTTAGGAAGTGATAAAATGTTTGTATGTATTGTTGACTTTTTGCTGAATAATCTTGTTGAAATACTTTTAAACTGTCTAAATGGGGACATTCATTCTCTTAATGAAGATAATGTTTATTATGTGTATAGCTAATAATATGTTTGTTGACAGCATCAAGCTAGTGGCGCAATGATGGCGAAGGCATCGCCAGCACTAGGATTCGGCCTGTCGGCCAGCGACGGTCACATGACGCCCGAGGAAGTGGAGCGCCACCTACAGTCGAGGCAGTCGTACCTGGAATTATTGCCTGAGCGTGCGCCCCCCACAGTCCCCACGGAGATGTTTAGCAACGATCCTTCATTAGACAGGTACTCAACATAATCATGTAGAGTTAGATTAAAATCCCTATCGAGACCAATAGTAAAACCATGCCAGTCAACTACTACATAACAATTTCTTTTGAGCAAGACATGCTCGACCTGACATTGTCAACAGTCTAGCCAGAAAAATACTGTTTTGTCAACGGGCAGTGTGTAGGTAAGCTAACTAGGTCGGTGAAATGTCACACACACATCACCCTGACGGGACATGTAGTAGTTTATCTATTGTTGTGCTGTTGTATGAAACTTTACTAGATACGTTAGTAAAACAGTTGTGTCTTCAAGCTCGAAACATGTCTCGCATAATAAAGTTAAAAATTTTGGCGTTGTCCTTTTGGGCGTGCTTGACTTGCGATTTCCGTGACAAGAGAGTCAGACGTAAAAATGCGTACTATTTTTTCGTACACGATTCATCCGATTACGACGTTTAGTGAGTTGTACGAAGTATATACCTAGTCAGCAGGGCTGCCAGATCGCCTTTTACAGTTGGATACAAAAATAAAGATTTTTTCCTCCCGTAAGTTCCCCAGTGTCAAACAAAAATATTTCGAGAGACCAAACGTTTCTTAATCTTCGATAGCAAGTAGACGCTATTTGGGTATGTTAAAGTTACAAAAAATTCATAATTTTATTCATCACAGACTATTTATATGGATAAAATATGTTGGCTCTACTGGCAGCCCTGACAGTCAGTTGTGATATAATACTATAACGTAGACTAGGTGGCGTGTAAATCGAAAAGGGTACTTATTTTGAATTTTGAAAATATCAATTTGAATTTTAAGTTACATCCAGTAAGTAGGCAAGATGTGTACTGTATGGACATACATATATCCATATTGTATGTTTGTAGATAGAGAGGTGCAGGTCAGATATGCGAGGTGATGATAGAAAGAGAGTGACCATTTACATGTTTATTATATTCAATTATACTTTTATACTACCTACTACATAGAGGGTAGATAGAAAATATTAAAATAATATAGTATTTTTCGTTTTATTTATAATTTGCTCTAGTCATAAACATGTTCACAAAATTATCTTTTAAGACAATCTTTTAGTAAGATAAAAAGACAATATTTTTCATTACAAAAAGATTAAACCATTATCAAATTATAATATTATGTTAAAATTCTAGCTGATTGATAACAATTTTTTTTATGTTTCAGTGAATCTAATGACGTTATCGAGAACTCACCTAATGTAGAGGAATGGTTCGATTAGCAGTATCTATTTTTCATTGCGGTGACGAGTATCCAGAATGAAAAATTACATCATAGATACGCAATTATTTCTAAGAATAGTTATACTAATGTGAAGTTTGTATTAAAAGTAATTAAATACGTGATTAAGGTGTCATGTATATATAGGCAATATTTTCGCAAATCAGGGTTTTTCGAACGGCACTTATAGTATTTATTAAGTACAAAATATGTATGCATAAATAAATTAGTGTCCGCTACCAATCGCGAATATATTGCTCAAATAGTATAAAGTTATATAGTAATCCTCCATAGTTACAATATCAATATAATTTTACTTGAATTTGTATCTAAACTTTTGTATTAACAGTAGATTTAAATAGCCTTAGGTGGAAGTTTTGAAAATAAAAGAGCGTGTTAAATATGTACTGATTAAATATTTATTTTAGACAAATATTAATAAGGTACAATATGATTTGAAAGCGCAAGGGCAAACAATATTGTTTTATATAATGAATCACGCTCCAAATTATCATGCTATAATTTACAAAGAGTAATCACACATTACATGATGTTAACGTATCCAATAAGCATTTGTTATTCCTATCTTAAATTCATAATATACATATAATATGTAATATTTTACCAAACTTTTTAAATACATAAAGTGTTTAAACATAGGTACTTATTTCATTACATCTATTCCTCAAACAAATCTACCATGCAAACAAAGCTTCTGCAAGCTACCAATATATTTATAATAACATTTAATATTCAGTACTAATATGCTACATTGCCTAAACTATCTCTACATAACTTTTATGGTACCAAAATAAAAAAATAAAATGTCTAAGTTTTGTGAGATTCTATATAAACTCATGAGTACACCATAACAAAAATTAGTTTTAATATTTCATAAATCTAAATACATGAACAAAAGGTACAAGCATTTCTGTTTCTATTTTATTTATCACATTTATAACGACGTGATATTATACTCGTGTAGATTTCGAGCATCATATTACTTCCGACACATAATACAATGATACATACAAAATGTAATGATTACAGAGCTGGCTGATATACATACATAGTGAGTCCCACAATGCTGCTTTTAATGCTATTTATTACTAACAAAACTTTCTACAATTATATACCGATAATACGCATGAAAAATCGAAAGCTTGCTGCTGGTTCTACCACATGTTTTGGTAGCAAACAGTTAAAATTATTAAGATTTGAAAATGATAACTTCGATTTCCAATTTATATCGATTATTATTATTATATTAGCAACATGTATGTAACAGAATCACCATTTATTAACAACAGTGTTTTTTTAACATTTCATAGTTTATAACATTACAACAGTCAGCTTAAATTTATTTGATTATAGAGTAGAATGTTTATTTATCGTGTTACTATAGAAATACGTCGACAAGTCTGAGATGAAAATTTTTACGACTCTTATCAAATACAAGACAAACTCGGGAAAATTAATAACTTACAGACAGACAATATTAAGCATGGCTAAATCTATACAATACGCATAAAGGATTTCAATTATTTTCAAACAAAAGTTATTTATGAATATTAAACTTTTACCTATGAAACAAAAATTAATATGACGGTTTTTTTAAACAATTCATTTTAAATACGAACAAATAAATTACTAAGTATGAATTTGATTGTGAGATAAGATATAAAATAAGCAAATAAAAAGGGTTTGGAAATTGTTCTGTGTAGGTACTTTTACAAAATAATAAAATACTATACAAATGAATATGAAACTATTCAAACTTATACATATATACATTAAATATTTTTTGGTATAATTTTATACCTCATCTGTTTCATATGTAACTAAATCGTTTGCACTGGATTTCTTCTTTAAATGGAAATGAAATTAGTGAAAAATAAAATTTAACATAACATAAAAATGTAAAAAAATCTTAAAAGTTAAGATTCTCAACTTTTAGAAGAACTAAGTAAATAATGTAAACTAAAATAATGGAATTTTTAATTGATAACTTACAAAGATTGAAGATACAGTTAAAAATAGATGACACATTGTACAAATGTTATGAAAAACATCTCAATATATTAGAAGTAATATAACAAAATATATTATTGTTGTCTTTTTTTTAAAAGATGATCAACATTTGTATATAGCTTCTTTAAGAAATTTAAGTTCATAAATTCCCTAATGACAAAAAAATATTCACATGAGACTAACAGTGTTGTGATATTAGTTTTCAATAAACACTGAGTTAACTCTTGCTTGCAATAAAAAGTTATTTTTTACTTTTAAACTCAATCAAAGATTGAATTTAATATAAATTAGAACTGATCTGCCAGCAGATTGCAAATTTCTTGTGAAACTGACTCTTTACTTGATCTTACAGTAAGTCGGAACATTTGAGCTTGTTTGTTTGGTTCCAGTCTCATAAGACAACCTACCTGCTGTACCCTGGTGTGAACAATTCCAGCACAGACAAAATTATCAGGGTTTGGATCAATACCATCTAATAGTTGCATGCCAAATCCAGCCAGTTTTGTACGAGTTCCAGTTATATCAATAGAACCTTGAGCTTTAAATATTTTTTGAGCACGTTGTTGTTCTCCTCCCAAGTTTTTCCATCTTGCAAAGAAAGACTCTCCATTCATTTCAGTTGGTTCAAAGAATTTATTGAGAGTAAGAGGGAGTTTCATAGAAATTTTTTGTGGGACGTTATTGTATAAGAATGATACAGACATACTAGGAGCATCAATAAAATCTTCAATACATTCAGCAGTCAACATTTGTTGAATTTGAGCACCAGCTTCTAATATTGGTTCCATAGGTTTCATTTGCACATTAAGCTTGTGTAAATCATTCCAGTGCAGTTCAGGATGGACATTTTGTATTGCAGATTGAGTTTTATTACCATAGAAAAGACCAATTCTACCCAAGTTTTGCCTAAATTCACTTTTAACTCCTATTTGAATAAGATCATTTTCAAAAAGGACACCATTATTCTTAAACAAAAATTTCTTGATATTATTTTGTTGTACAGTTGTAGGACTTATTTTAGGAGTTGTATACAAGTCACCCAAAACATCTAACAAACCATTTCCTGTAGAGGTATTATTAGTGCCAGGAGGTGTGGATAATCCCAACAAATCTGCACTGGAACTATTTGTATTAATAGTATTATTTGTAATTGGTGCTGGGGTAATATTAGGCTGTGGGCTTTTTGATTCTCTTACATCATCTGGTATACGGCCTGGTTTCTTCTTTTTTAACACTGCTAAAATGGAAGACTCTCTCTCTGGAAATGCTGGCATTTCTTCTAACACAGTAGCTAATACATCTGAACTGGCCACAATACTTAATTGTAAATACTCTGATGCTCTCTGTTGCAGCTCTACATCTGCTGAGCGAAGATTGGAATCTGCACGGAATACTTCTTGCACTCTATTTTTAATTTCAGGAAATAAGTTAACAAGTTTTATATATGTTGATAACAACAGAGCCCGTGTGGCTGCTGAACATAGATGATATTTTGAATGTAGAAGTTCAAATTGAACTTGAGGTGATGATCTAGTATCACCAGCAATTAAATTTCCAAACTCACCTAAAATATATCCACCCACTTTGACCATATTTTCGTGACATGTGGGTGCTTGTAAGGCTTCGAAAACAGTTTTAGCAGCATATCCTTGAACTTCCTCCCTATTGATTACAATTTGAATAACTCTGTACCAAACTTCTTCTGAAACATAATCTCCTGCAATTCTTATAAGATTTAATATAACATCTACATACCATGTAAAGTCAGTTGCATACCTCTCAGCTAATATTGCAACTTTCAAGACCATTTCTTCCCTAATAGAATAATCAGCTGTTTCCAAATATGCCAACATTTCTTGTACAATTTCTTCAGCATTTGTTTTATCACACATAGCATAGAGTAAATCAACTGCTTGCTGTCTGACAGATACATCTTTTTCCATTTTCATTGAGAGAATAACAACTTCTTGATGTTTTTTCACTGCTTCATGAGAAAACTCAGATGTAGCAAGATGACACATTGACTCAAGAGCTAAATATCTCAAGTTAGTTTCACGATTACTCAAGAATTGGCCTAACTGATTGCAAGCACGAACTAACAAATTAGGTTCACTATCGTTATGTATTATAAGACTTATTGCTTCAAAAAGGACTGCATTTTTGGCATTAGAGTGCTGAACTTTTTTAGATTTTGGAGGCTCTTGGGCTTTGTTAAAGATTGTTTCTAAGCACTCAGATAAGCGGCCTCTGACTCCTGGCTCCTCAGAAGGTGGTGTATAATTTTGTAGCAAGCGTAAAAGTTTTACAGAAAGCCATGGAGCAGGTACAAAGTAATAAGTATAATCTTGCAGATCAGTATAACTGGCTGTGACTATTCTACTTAACCTGGCCACAGCAAGAGTGACACATCCTTTGTATTCATCAGGATTCTTTTTTACAAGTGCATCTATAAGAGATGTAGCTGCTGTCACAACTCCCATATGAGGGTCATTTAGTAAATGAATAATTCTTGAAGTCCACTCACCTCCAGGAATAATTTCAGGAGACTTTCTGAACAGTCTCAATAAGCATAGAGCAGCTGACTGCTTGACAACATCCATAGTATCTCCAGAAACAAGTAGTTTAGGTATTTCAGTACCAAAAGCTTCTGCCATGTCCTTGCTACCAATATTAGCTATGCATTGCAGGGCAAGGTTAACATGAATAGGGTTCCGAGATTGTAAGTCGTTTTTAATGCTTTGAATAATAAGTTTTATGAGATCACTGTTAGTGTTAACCAGAACTGATATAAACAGGTAACCTATTTGTTTCTCAGAATACTTATTAGAGGAGAGCAAGTTCACAGCTTCCATGTGACCGAAATCAATATCATGACCTAACAAGAAGATAAACAAGAGTTTACAGACATACTTCTTTTTTTGATATCCATCAAGCGTTTTGTCTCCTTTGAACTTACTCCTTATATTAGCCAGTTCTTTATTGATTCTTTTTATTTCTGCTTCTTTGCTTTTACAGTTTCTTATGTCTGATATGAAAACTGCGAGCCCTCGCATCCCATCTCCCCTGACGGCAGGCATATTGCCAAGAGACTTATCGAACACCAGTTTTTTGCCTTTTCTTTAACTTGCAGGATAAATATAGTAAAAAAATTATGAAGATACCATTAAAAGTAAAAATGAGTAGTAATCGGCTTCAATTTCGGTTTAAAGTATTATTAGCCGTCATTAAAAACTATTTCCGATTCGGCCACTGATCTTTCTTCTACAACGCCTTCCCAATTCCCGTATTATCTATGAAATGAAACGTCAGAATGTACAAACTCATTGTTTATGGATCAATATCGAATAAATAGGTTACTAGCGTAAATAATTTACCTGATTTAAAGTGTTGTCATTTTATATTTTATGGTTTCGATATTCATAAAAAAATAATGTGTAAGCTTTTTAATTAATAATACATATAATATATTATTATTATTATTTCTTATAACATCAACGATATAGCTAGATTTTATAATAAAATAACTCAACTCAAAATATAAGTCATGCAAATAGGCCTTAAAAAAACAATGATATAGATTGTATTAAGTATAGAAGCTAAATAGACTAAAGCTAAAAGCAAGGGTACTAAAGTATAAAACAAACAACATTAGTTAAACTTGTTTATATTTTGTATTTTTTAAATATAATTTGCTTTTTGCATGAGAAAAATCTTGATAGTGCAAATCGCAAATTGTCTATGATTTAAAAAAATGTTCTTTACTATTCAGTCTGGGAGTCACAAGATTAATCAAAATACATATTTGTAGTTAAAGTTGGTACTTGATAATTACATCTACTACGATCAAAGATCGTAGTCAGATTATGCTGTGATTAAAACGTATATTAATTATTAAATTAAAATAGTTTTGTGGACTCTCAAAATGGGATCATTACTATTTGTTTTGCATTTGTGAATGGAGCCTGGTATCAAAGTTGAAAAAAACGAATGAATGATGCAGTCTATATATTGGACAGGCAGAGTGCTATCACGTGCTTTAAGAAATGGACTTTCAAGTTTTTCTAGTGCTGCTGAATTAAACGTTTCGAATAAAAAACATCCTTATTTAGTATCAGTAGTCTGTGGATTTCCTAAGGACATTGCCAATGGAAGGTCTCATAAGGGTCAATTTGGAGACGACGCATGGTTTTCCACAAATTTTAACAATGCAGATGTTATTGGTAAGTCTAAATTTGATTATTTATTTTATAATAATGTAATTTTTATACTATCTATTGTACATGTCTTTTACATGACATATGTAAATGCTTGACATAAAAAATGCATATTTTTTTATTACATTTATTCAGTCTACAGTTTTTCAAATTTGTACAAATTTATACCTTTTTAAAATTATATAATTTAACAGTATTAAAAGATTAAATTTCCAATCTTTACATTTAATGAATTATTTATATTAAACTATATTACTTTTCTTTGTGCTTGTATTTATTCATTTTATAAGTAATTCAATGATTTGCTGTGTATCGCATTTATTCATATTATGTTTACTGAACATAGGTGATGTTATTTTATAACGTACATGTAAATAATATTATAATTTTCAATTCAATTTTCTTGTTAAGTTTTTAAAGAAGTTTTTAAAAAGTTTTGTGTTGACTTCAAAGTTCAAAGCCTGCTAGTTGAGCACAGATTAAAGTGTATTTTAAATTCTAGTTTTCTTTGGTTGGGCTTAATTTTTTTTTATTTATGACTGATCTAAGTTAATATGAAGAAGCTATAAAAATCCTACTTAAATAATCATTTATATTAATCCATCCATTAGGTGTTGCTGATGGAGTGGGAGGCTGGCGTGCATATGGAATTGATCCAGGAGAGTTTTCTTCATATCTTATGAGGACATGTGAAAGGTTGGTCCGAATGGGCCACTTCAAGATGTCAGAACCAGGGGACCTGCTAGCCAAGTCATACTATGAACTATTAGAACATAAAAAACCTATATTAGGTAATATCACTTAAAAGTGCATTAGCCATTGTTTGCATCCTATATTATTCATAATGATGTTATTTTGAATTTGTATGTTATTGATTGACTTATAACTTTTTTGTATCTATATTGCTTATTTAATATCTATTTTTTTATGTATAAGTTTCTTTAATACATCACAAATGTATTTATTAGGTCCCTATGGCATTATTTTAAGCTGTTATTTATATAGCTGATATTTAGTAGTTAAATTTTCTTTTGGCATTGCATTTAAAATATTAGTGTAATATGTTTATTGTTTCAACAGGTAGCAGTACAGCATGCGTTATGATCTTGGATCGCAGTGAGAGTATAATGCGTGCTGCAAACATAGGTGACAGTGGGTTTATGGTAGTGCGAGGTGGCCGTGTGGTGCACCGCTCTCATGAACAACAACATTATTTTAACACACCATACCAGCTCAGTCTACCACCACCTGGACATGATAGGAATGTTCTTAGTGATAGGTATGTATTAGTGAATTTTTACTATGTTTATGTGAAAACTGATTAAATATGAACTACAACCCATCCGGAATAATCATCAAGCAATAAGTGATTGATTACATTTTATATGAAAAAACTAAAAATTATTTATTATCAAGGAAAATATAAAAATACTCAAACCCACACTGCACCACATATCCTGCCTACACAGTTAATTCGTTTTTGCTTAGCATATTCTTTAACCACCATTTGTGTAGTGGTTACTCTGCTGCTAATTTTACTCAATCAATAGGCTTTTAATGAAAAAAAAACTATAGTTAGTTCTAAAGATGTGTCATGTCGCCAGACGTACTTGATGGTCGATGGAGTCGAAACGTGCTAGTGTGGAGACCTGACTTTAGCACCACTGATCAACATACTTATAGTCTTATGTATGTTTATATGTTGATCAGTGATCCTCAAACTAAAAAAATGCTTCCAAAAAAATATTAATATTATTTTTGAAAATAAATACATTTTCCTAACTAAAATGCATAGAAATTGTATCATTCGGTATTTGTTGTTGTTGTTTGAAAATAATTTTATCAGTAAGATGCTATTAGACGTAAAGCAAAAGGTTATTCAAATATAGATAATGGTATAGACAGTATTCTCAATGATTTTTATTACATTGATTAATGATATAAAAATTCTTGTTTAACAGAACGACAAATAATGCTATCGTTTTAATATACCAGATAATTTATGTTTTTATTATTTTTATAAAGAATGTGCAAAAGTATTATTTAGCTATTTTTTTATAAAAAAATGGCATTCGTTTTATCTATTAATAATTTGTTAACATTGCCAAACATCTTTATAGTATATTCCAATTTTTATCATCTAGATAAGATAATTTCATGATATTTACGAATATATCATCTTTACGATACCGAATCCTTAATAATATTATAAATTGTGAAGTTGTCCTTTGAAAGTACAACGTAGGACAGAATCAACGTGCTTTTGACTAGAATAAGCTACTGGAAAGTGGCATGGAATATTTTTTTGCAAATATATCATCTATTGTAATTACAAGCGGTTACGCACCGTGGAACACGGAAGCAAAGCGAGGCCGGGTCTTTAAAGTGCAAAATATAACGTGGTTTGAAAGCCTGAATCCCTTCTCCCTTATAAGCTTCTAAAACCGTTCGGCTAATAAATTAGTCTCCTTCTAGTTTGTAATTGGTATGAAAAGCTAGGCAAATGTTTTTCTTAAAATACTCGGCAACCCACCTATATGACTCCCGAGTGACAAACATACATATGACATTCGGGACCGCCCTGCCGTTAACTTATCCTGCATGCCGACTGTATGGACTAGCACTAGTCGGTTGAGATATAAATAAGTATAACTTAAAATAAATAATTCACTAATAGAAACTACGTGAAATATTTAATTTAATTTTTCTAAAACTTTATCTTGATAAACAACAGAAATGTAATCATGCAATTTTGGTTTTAATCAAAATCCCCTGTGTGAGGTTTTTAAATTTTTCGCCATTACTTAGTGTATGATTTCGCCCTCCATATATACCTATTAGAAAAAATCAGCCTTTTTACAGACTAGTTTAAAAATATATAACGAAATCGAATTGTTTAATTTTTATCTTTATCAATTATATCTGCTTTCGACTAATTATTTTTATAAGACGTAGAGGTCATTTAATAAATTTGAACAATGCAATGGTAGTAGTTAGTACTTATAATATGTGTGTTATGTAATTTATGATTTTTTTATTTGTTTTTGTAAAGTATCTTCTATTATTGTTTATGTAATAAAATCCGTTTTTATTTTGATGTTTACAGAATTATATTTGTTTTAAAATCTTGTAACGATTCATAAACAAATTGAATACAACGTTATCGACGCAAAGATCATGTCAAAATAATTCGACGTTGTGACCGCATTAGGATTACTATGTACTAGTTAATAATGATGCCGTCGTGAAATAAATATTACCGTCATATTCACAAGTCATAAGACTTCAAGTCACATTTACAACGTCCAGTGTTCTCAGCGCTGGTCATGTGGTCTCATTCCACAAACGATGTTGTTGTATTTCTGCTTGCACTAATATTAGAATCTTTAGTTCGTTGGATATTTGCCAGCTCTTCAACAGTCACGTGCATAATTTAATTTGTAAAGTGGAATTATGTTTATTTACGTTCTTATGACATAAAAGTATGCCAATTCATATATAACATTTTTCAAAATGAGCACAACAAAACAACTGTGACGCTGAAGTTAATAAGAATGTCAGGCTAAGTGTGCAATTGTGTAGTTAGAGTAAGTAATGGTATAAATATGTATTAAAAATTAACTCTAATATAACGATATCGGTAAAAAATGTATATTTATTTTACCATTACGTTTTACTGGCCGCAGGATTTCTTAAAATATATAGTATCTATTCATGCTGAGTAAATAGATTTGCACTTATATCCATCATTCTGTAGTAAAGTATTCATACTAATTACACATAAAAGCGAAATAAATGCGAAAGTATGTGATTTAGCTATTTACGCGTAATGGATTAGTTTAACAGTTGTATAATACTGAAAAGGCTACTTTTATGTTAATAATATGATGCTGTAAAAATATTAGTAATATTATCTTTACTGTGCAATTAAAAACTTATGGTACTTTTGAAAAACTAACTTATATACTTATATTTTATGTTTTTCCTTATTTTTTATTATTTTTTATTATTCATGTTAAGCAGTGTTTCATTTTGTAATTTTATTGTTTAGCTTTTTGTTTTTCTCATTTTCATTATGGTCTGCTTCTTAAGTGTATTGTTTAATTTGTGGAAACTTCATTGGTTTATGTGTCATCTATTATTATTAATTATTTATGTAATATCGTACTGTTTGTTTCCCTAAAATAAATAAATAAAATATTATGTGTGCAGCTTTTAACGTTTCATAGTCAAAAGAAAAAAAAACAGAAACATTATAATTTTACCTTGTTCGCCTTTCCGCATGTTACATTAATTTTTACTTAGAGATAATTGTTACTTCAAATCTGAAATGTGGTCAACTTACAAAAAAAAGAGCGGCACTCCATAATGTAGGTAGCTGAGAAGGTAAAAAAACATTAAGATACAATAAAAACTTTTTAACAAAAAATAAAAACCGACTTCAAACAAAAGCACTAAAAAGTAAAAAATAAGTGATTGGTAGTTTTCATTTACTATTGCTTTGCTTTGTATGGGCTGGCACCGATTTCGAAAATATTTGATTAGGTATGTATTTAATAGGTAGGCTTTTTTTACTTAGCCAAAGCACACCGACTTCGAAAATATTTGATTAGGTATGTATAGTAAATGAAAACTACCAATCAGTTATTTTTTACTTTTTAGTGCTTTTGTTTAAAGTCGGTTTTTATTTTTTGTTAAAAAGTTTTTATTTTTCCCTTTTTAGTGTAGACAGTAGTAGCACAGTAAGAATTCTAACGTGTTAGGCTTGTCAAATCAAACAAAATAAGCCCAAACTCAAAGTATCTACTATTAGCCGTTGAAGAGTTCCACCTATCCACCTTCTGGCCTTGCCATCAGATCAGGTCAGCAACACCGAACCACTGTACTATTAACGGAAATAGAAATACTTGCAAAGTTTCAAGTCAATATGACAATTAGAAGTAGGTTAAATTCATCATTAGTTGTTTTTCCACCCTTAGGGGTGGTATTTTTTTTTGAAATTTAAATGGGACCAATCTGGAAGTATACCCTTTCAAACAAAACAAAAATTTTCCAAATCGGTTAATAAATGACGGAGTTCGGAAGTAACAAACATAAAAAAAAAACATACAGTCGAATTGAGAACCTCCTCCTTTTTGAAGTCGGTTGAAAAGAGATGGATGTTTTTGAACATTTTTTTAGAAGTCGATAGTTGCTGATAGTAATTGAGTCCAGTCTATTAACTATTCTCCAAAGTATATTTAGTATACAGTATATATTCCATTAATAAATGTTCCAATGTCCATGTTTTTCACGATGTACGATGTACCTTTGTACATATTATGATAAATTTAATTAAAAAGAAACATTTTTGAAACAAGCTCATATTTAAATAGTTTAAAAAGAAGAAAAAACTTATAAATTAAATGAAACCTATCAATTTATTATTGCACAATTGCACAATTTATATTACTTATACAAAAGCATGTCGCGAGATTATAAACGTGTGTGCGAAATTCCAGCTCAATCGTTTGAGGATAAGTGCACAATTTATATTACTTTTGCAAAAGCTTGTCGCGATATTATAAACGTGTGTGCAAAATTACGGCTCAATCGTTTGAGGATAACTGCTTTAAAATTCATTTGCAAGATTTGACCCGAACAAAAAACATAGCAAATGAAATAAAAGCTTGTGAAAAGGAAATGCGGGGCATATAGCCTCACTATTGACCCTAATAAAGTTTGAGTTACATGCTTAGAAAATTGGCGCACTACGTTTTTATTTAACTAGTGCTACGTCTTCTATTCCTTGGCACCTTTTTTCAATAGCCTAATAATATTTTTTTAGAACCAAGATACAGCGAGATAAAAAATAGGTGTACTTTAAGGCACTTAAGTCTCTAATTTCAAAATTTTATCTCTTATATTTTTGATTAACGTTAATCTTTCGGGTGCTTGAAGAAAGACAAATCATCGATCATTTTTTTCAAGATTGTATCTTAGTACTTAGGAACTTAAAATACCTATAATTTAAAAGTTAAGCAATATGCTAACAGTCTCAAAAATATTCCAGGCCGGAATCAGCAGAGACAGCTGAATTCAAAGTGGAATGTGGCGATGTTATCCTCGTGGCTACAGACGGCGTGTTCGACAACGTGCCGGAGACGGTGCTCGTGGCAGAGATGCGGCGCGCGCAGGCGCTCGACGGTGACGCCCAGAAGTTGCAGGCCGTAGCTAATTCTATAGCGTGGATGGCACGTAATTTGTCCTTCGACGGGTGCTATATGTCGCCCTTTGCGAAGAGCGCTCGTCAGAACGGTATTGATGCTATAGGTGAGTTATCTATACTAATATTATAAAGAGGCAGAGTTTGTTTCTTGAACGCGTTCATCTCAGGAACTACTAATCCGATTGGAAAAAATATTTTTGCATTAGATAGCCCGTTTATTGAGGAATGCTATAGGCTATATATTATCATGCTTACTACCCAAGGGAGTGGAGCAGTAATCACTAATCTATCTTATATATATATATATATATATATATATATATATATATATATGATGTTCTCCTAGCCGATTCCGGCCACGGCGGCCAATCTCAATGAGATTAGCCAACTGCGCAGGAGATATTATAGTGCTCAAGTGTACGCGCAGACACAAGTGCACTCTCTATTCCTATCACTCTCATACTCCGGTGGGACGACCACTCGACACGACCGGTGAGAGTTAAGGCGCAGGACCGACGGCTTTACGTGCTCTCCGAGGCACGGGGGTGAAACACCGCCAACTTCCCAACTCCGGGCTGTTACTGAGACTTACTATACAGGAAGACTCAATAACTAAACTTGGCCCGACCCGGGACTCGAACCCAGGACCTCCGGGTGTGCAGCCGTACATGCTAGCCACTACACCACTGAGGCAGTCATATATATATATATAAATAAATCCCTATTTCCCTTGGTCACGCAATCAGGCGTGAATGGCTGGACCGATTTAACTATATTTTTTTTGTTGTGTTTGTTATTGTCAGGAGAAGGTTCTTATTAAAAGAAAAAAATTAAAGAATTGCGCGGAAAATTATAAAACTTAAGAATACTTATTTAAGAATACTTAACAACGATATTAAAATTTATATGGCTAAAGCTGGGTAATAACTATTTATATATCTATTTAAAACGTACCTAGCGACAAACCCGAGCCAAGCTAGGGTGAGCCGCTAGTCATAAATGTTTACAAATCGGGCAGACTTCCATACATTATTCCATAGTAACCGTTAAAACGTACTTACGGACGAACCTTAACGATGCGAGGGTGAGTCGCTAGTCCATACTAATATTATAAATGTGAAAGTGTGATTGTTTGTTTGTCTTTCTTTCACGTCGAAACGGCTTGGCGGAAGGGAGTGATTTTTTTGTGTGAATATAGTTAGAGGGCTGCAGAGTGACATAGGCTACTTTACCGCGGGAAATTATCTCTTTCCCACGGGAAAACACGTTATAATACAATCCAAAAAAAGTTTTATTATCAGAATTGGTTGAAACTTGGTATTAATACTCTTCAATACAATAATTTAAATACGTGTTTTAGCATTTTTCGAAATTCATCCCATAAGTGGGTAAAATAGGGGTTGAAAGTTTGTATGAAACCTATCTTTTTAATTCTTTTTGTAGTTTTAGCGCGAGCGATGCCGCGGGTTCTGCTAGTAATTAAATATATTGCAAATGTTTCATAAAAGTAAAGACTATAAATCGTTAATTTAAGTTTTGCAATTTTTATAGTCTGACATAGGATATTTATTAGAAATCGTCAAATTTAACGTAAAATATATGTAAAATAGTGTTTTTTCTAAAAAGAAAAAATATAATCGCTTCTATAAAAAGCCTCTTTGTTTTGAATAGTATTAAATAAATTATATACTCGTACATATTATGTAAATACTTGATTGCAACTCATTTCACATCTCAAGAATTTTAGTAAATAATTATTATAGTCTATATTATACTCTGTCGAAATAACAATGACAATGAGGCGATTGCCTCTGCTAATATTTAAAAGATTTCAATGGCGTGGCTAAACGTGGTCATGAAATTATATTACAAATCAAATAAAACCAAGCATATAATATTTACATAAACTATTTAGGTAAGGCTGTTACTTTTATAACTGTATATCTTTCTGCTATGATCATTTAAACGTTTCCTTTGCAGGCGGCAAACCCGACGACATAACGGTGCTACTGGCCATCGTAGCGCTATGAAGATGTCAGCTTGTGATTTATTAGATTTATTTAGATACAAGTTTTGTCCAAAACCATTTGCAACTTAGCTTAAACAACGACACCAAAAATGACAATATCGGTCTTTTTATAGTTACTACTTACGTTTACTAAGTACTTCTTTATTTCATAAAATATTAAATTTTTTAGCGGCGTTTGTAAGATCTGATGCAAATTTACTTTCAAAATAACACTAGTCACAGAGTGATATTTTATCTGATACAGCGTGTTTTTGTTGATTTTGTTGACAAAATTATTGCAAGATTAAAAACTTTCAGTGCTATTAAAGACATGATGTGATTGTATTATGTGTCCTTAGTAGTAGAAAGATAGAAAGTTGCAAAATTTATTATATGAAATGGAAATATTCATTTAATTCTCTATGACATTGTAAAATGCAGTTTTTGATTTTATCTTTTGTAACAGTATGTACCTAGCTTTTTTCAACACGGTTTGGTTTATAATAATTAAAAAAAATAAATTCCTTATTCTTAAATTAAAATGTGCAAACAAACAAACATTAGAAGAAATTAAGATTTTTGTTATTTTCAATATTTAAAAATGAATGTCGACTCTTACCCACTCTAGTTAACCTTTGTATATTAATATACATCTAGAGGTGGCCAGTTACAAAGCCAGCGGTAAAGGGGACGCATTTTATAATGTTCGAAAGCAATTAAAAACATCGACATTTTTTATTTAATTTGTGTGTTTGATGTTTGAATGAAGACTGATACTAATTTAGCTGTTATTGTTGTGATGTATATTGAGATTGAAGTACGCCGTGAGCGGTGACTGATGTAACCGAGTGGGCGCTACTTTTGTAATTTTGTATTTCTTTTTGTAAATTTACATGGAGCGTCTCGGATTGTACATTTGTTTATATTTTATATTCTTTTTTTCATTAAATGATAATTAAAATTGTGTCGGTCATTTGCGGTGGAAAGCGAGTGTCGTTTGATGTTGCGGCTACGTCTTTGTTAATAATTTTAACTTATAAACGAGTCTCTGACGTGATTGATTTAATAATTGGTTTGTAATGTTCGCCTAATTAAAGTTGTCGCAATATTATTATTTCATAACTTATACTTTTTACGACAATTGGACATATTCTTCATTATTATATTAACTGCTTAAATAAATCAAAAATTAAATAATTTCTCAATTACTCGGTCAATTCCCGTCGTAAAACAAAATTTATATGATTATCGCAATAATATATAAAATGTGTATGATGGTGCGATAAAAAATAATGACGAAATTGCTTATAACTCGTACAATGAATCTGCATGTTTTATAATAATAACAATAACCAATGAATGATTTCGATCGCCAAACGCTCATGGAGTATTGACCTCGGACTTTGGTCCATTCGTCATTGCGTTTCTTAATATGTATAGTAGGTACATTAATATTATTAACAACAACACTATTTTCTTTATCTATTTTTATATATTTGGTTTATCGTACCATCTTACACATTTTTCTCGGTTACGTTTGATTTATGGTGCCGGTGAATCCTAACATTGAAAAATCACGAATTTACGCTCATCATCCTATGATTCACGTAGTTATTCTGCATATAACTTATTCTATCATTGTTGTTAAATATGTAATATTGTATACATTTGATACTAAATTGGTGCATTTTGCTTTACGGCTATGATAGTGATGCATGAAAGTAGTAGTGTGATACATTAGTGTGATTTAATGTATCATTGTATTGGCACTGTGACGAGTGTTCTTACAAAAATTTTCAACTGACCTGTTCAATTTGCAAATTCGCGGTATAAGTAAATTATGTATGTAGAAGAATTACAAATAAATTCAATTAAAAATATTTTTATTTTTTATTTTGTTATTATATAAATAATAAATATGTCAGGGCATTAACATAATAAATAAAAGGCAGTGGTAGCCCAGTGGTAACGCGCTCGCTTGGGACACCGAGTAAAGCGGGTTCAAATCCCGGGTCTCGCACCTTTGATATTTTCACGTGCGAATCATTTCTAACATGATTACCACTTGCCTTACGTAGGTGAAGGAAAACATCGTGAGAAAACCTGCATATCTGAGAGAACCTAGCAAGTTTTCGAAAGACATGTGAATTCCGCCAACCCGCACTTGGCCAGCGTGGTGGACTATGGTCTGATGACCCTCGTACTGAAGGGAGGCCCGTGCCCAGCAGTGGCACGTTAAAAAAGGGCTAAATACATTAACATACGGCACCATCTAGTATAACTTTAAATACATAAGTAGTAAGTACATATTATAAAATATATAAATAACCATGACTAGAGTACAAACATTCGTGCTTATCACACATATCAATGCCCCCGGCGGGACTCGAACTCGCGACCGCTGGCACAGGAAGTAGGATCACTAAATATTGAGCCAACCGTGTGGTCACTTTTTTGATGTAATAAAATTATATTTTACAAATTCCCTTCCCCAGTAGACAAAGACGTATTTTCCGCTTCTCGTTGTCACACAATTTACTGTTTAACTAAGTATTCGTTAAAGACAGGGGTCGATGGTTAATTAAGTTTTTACCTCAATACGATAACCATGATACTTATGTATATATTATGTATTCAGTTCTTTTTAACGTCCCACTGCGGGCACGTGCCTCCCTTCAATACAAATATATTTTGTTGATGTAAGTACTGTCATTACGATTATATTTTCCTCTCGATAGCTGCGCCCGCATCACGTGTGTCGCAAACATAAAACTTTGCCTCCGCTTTATATAGGGGCGCACAGAACGAAGAGCTTGAACTATTTATTAAACCGAAAATAAGTGAAAAGCTACCCTCATCTACATATATATATATATCTTCTTCTTCTTCTCCCTGCCCATTTCCCAAATCACTTGGGGTCGGCGCAGTACATCTTCAGTGTACTGCTGATAGGATTTGGCAAAAGTTTTACGACCGGCCGCCTGCCTGACGTCAACCCTCCTTGGGAATGCTATTGTCTTTCTTTGTCTGAATGGTGTTAAATATTATGCACTTTCGATTTTGTTGTGTTTTAAAACATTTTTTATACTATTAATTCAATTATTAATGTTATTTTTGGATATATTTTAAAATAAATTTCGATTACACTATAAATTTTGTATTGACATTGTCAAATTTTTTCTTCTTTTTTTTTTGTCTTGTTTGCGTGTCTTGATAATGAAGAAAGAGATGCTGTAAAATTTTTGCCTTAAAAATGCCTGAACAATAAAAATATTTAGTAGTAATTTTCTAGTACCGAGCTTCGCTCGGGGTAATATTTTGTTATATAGTATTTATTGGATGATAATCTAGTTTTTGGCCAAAAGTACACTTTTCTTTTTAAAGTGGTTTAAAAACTGGAATAAATACAAAAAATAAAAAAAATTGTACCCGACCGGGATTCGAACCCGGACGGACATATTAAATTGTCAGTCAATTTTGCGCCTGGGCCGCATGACCACAATGCTTATGTCCGAGCGTGCGAAATTAGCGACCATATTTTGCGAGGAATAACGCGAAAAAAATGCCAAATGAAAACTCAAACACACGCGTTTTCCCAAACATAAGACTAATCTAGATCGATTTTTCGCCCCCGAAAACCAAATTTCAGTGAAATCGTTAGAGCGCCGTTTCCGAGATCACCGGTATATATAAATATAGGTACAAGAATTGCTTGTTTAAATATATTGGATAACGTAAAGGGAAGTAAAAATAGACATGCATAAATTAAAAGGTGGAAGAAAATATAATAGCAGTGATTTCATTATCATGTATCAGTTGTCTCATAGATACATATTATGTATGTATATTAAATGTAATATGGAAAATAATTACCTACATAATATATCATACATGTTAATGATGGTTGTCTTTTATTCCGTAATAATGAGTACAACAAAGCAACCTTTGTACAAATGCTTTTATTCATTAGGGTACACAATATATTTGTTCAATATTTATTTAGTTGCTGTCTGGTTGGTTATAGTTAAAAAATGTACATTTCCAGTAATATTATATTATGATCACAAATTACATACTATACATAAATCTTAAAATATTGTACAATTAGATAGGAAAAAAAATATTTTTAACAGAATCTTGCGTTTTTGTGCTACACACAAAATAAAACCAAAAATTATTTGCATGATTTGATTTTTGTTCTATTTCATTATATATACTTGCATAGTAAAATTAAAAATTTCGTTAAAATAAATATTTTGGCATGATGCTTAAATTTACTAAAATATATATTTTATCTGTTCACTTCATTATTATCATTATTAGGTACGTCTGGGTTGGGGTTTTGCCAATTAAAGCCTCCTGGTCTGACATTAGCTAACTCTGGCAATGGCACATAGTCTGGATCATCTGCTGGGGGATCAAATAATTTTTTCCTGAAAATAAATATACAAAAAATGAGATTTTACATATTTTGCATTGCATTGCAAGATTTAGATTTGACTAGTAAATGTACATATATTTATTTAATTATTTTATCAATTTCAATGAGATAATAATAGACAATAATGTTGCTCAATCAATCATATTGCTTGAGTTGTTATTGAAATAATTTTGATAGATAAAGGATAAGTGCTTACAAAAACTTTGGTGTCTTCAATATTTTTTGTCCACCCCTTTGCCTGGGGAGTACATCTTCTATAAAGAAATAGATATGTCCAATAGCCATGCCAACTAAATCCACTGATATAGCATTCCCAAGTAATACAGAGAAGCCTAGGAGGACCCAAGGCAAGTATGGTGCCTGAAAGCAATATACAATGTTTATTTTCTATACAAATACAAATCAAGAAAATAATTTTACTATTAAACTTATATTCAAATATTGCTATTTTCATTGCCATTAATTTGGGTTCAATAACAAAAGTGATTTGTGTAAAATATATATAACAGATATACCTGAAAATTCATCAGACCAAAGAAGTTCATTCTAACATAAATATTACGTCTTGACCATACATATACAATCATTATAGTGAATGCTTGTCCTAAAAATAATAAATTCACAAAGAAAGCACATAACTGAAATATTTTAAGGAAATTATAATTAAAACATAAAATCGGCAAAGATATCAATATTATGTATATATATTTAATTATTACTATATATTTAATAATTTAATAAGAATTTAAACAAACTTTGTGTCTCAAGTGATATTTGGAATGGAATGTAATACATTTTTTAAACTTTAGTGCTTAATACTTGTTGCACTTTATTTAATGAAGTTTGACAATGACATTTTACTATGGAGAAGTTGGTTTATAATATCATTGGCCCGATAAGTTAAGATCTTAGTGAATGGATCCAATTAAGAGATTCAAGATTCAATGGATTAAGAGCTATAAGTACATATTTTAAAAGGATACAATCATTAGAACCCCTCCAAATATAAACATAACAACGAAATCAGCAGTCCTTCCCCTGAATGACCCCTCTTCCAACATTCTACAATATCTGTATGTGAAAATCATGTTGAAGAAAAAATTGAATCCTAAATTGCCAAAGAAAAGGAATGTAGTAATTAGCCTCCATAGCTGATACCTTCTTAGAATAACAATAGGATTAAAATATAGCTGGAATGGTGATACAAGGTCTAATTGCTGAAAAAAAAAACATCTTTAAATGTAATGAATAATTGAGTAAAAAATTACATTAATATTTTTACTTACGACTGCTAAGGTGGTTATCACACAAGCAGTTGTGTATACTCTTGTTACTGGCGGAACAAGCATATATTCTTGAAGAAGTGTTTGATATGCCATGTTTATTTTTGTTGTTCACGATAATACCATACCAAAACGTTTAAAGACAATTCCACAAATGCATAACCTAGGCATTATTTAAGTGAACATGATTGGTCCACATCAGAATTATTTTCACAAATCTATAATCAGTTCTATCAAAACACTGGTTAATCAAGAATATGTCAAATACACTAGTACTTTAAAGAAGTTATTATTTATTTTTATATAATTGTAATGGCTTTAGATACTAATAAATATTTATCCTAATTACATTTATTTGCAAAATACTTAGATTATGTTAAATCTAAATTCTAAGGCAAAATACGGCTTAGAATATTTATTATTTGGAAATTGGAAATAATAATTACAATTTACAACAGAGGGCAGCAACGTGAACAAATTTAAACCACAGATTTCGAAGAGTTTTTAATTTTTATGCAGATAATAAATTAATATAAAAGCCGAAATGCAGGTAATTTTAACCTACCCTACCCCAGCCTGCAAATTTATGATATTCGCAATGAAAAAAATACTAATCGATAGATTTTTAATAGCTCAATTCAACTACGTAGCCCTTCCAAATTGCTCACCATTAATTATAAAATTAAAAATCAATAAAGTCCTTGAAAAAAAATTCATTTATCCGTATATTCAAATTTCTATATCTTTTGATATATACAATATTTTAAATTGCTCAAAGTTCTAAAATACTGCTCAAGTTGCATTTGTAATTGCTCAAGTAGAGTTCTCACCAGCTCCACTTTCCTTAATTATTAAATAAATATAAATAGTTTGAATAAATTTAACGTATAGATAGGTGAGTGCTACTTATAGTTATTGACTAGCAGATTTATATATATTTTAGCTATATTTATTCTAGCATTTTTTAGTTTTAGTCAAAAAGTGAAAAATATCCAGCAAACATAATGAGCATGTATACTACTACTTATTTTGTTTTGGAGCAAAGTAGAATATATAGAAAATACTTTGTAAACAGACATAAAGTTACAAAATAAAGTTACCTTTTAGTCATGATTTGATTTTTGTATAAATTGAACATAATGAATAAGTCAATAAATAATAAAAATACCTGATAATAGATGATGTTGTGCTTGGAGTATTACAGTTTCATTTCACTATGATGAGGTTGTGAAACACTTGATTTTTTTGCCTTGCGACTCGCGTTACTGTTTGCGCGCATGCGCAGCACTCACCTATCTATACGTTAAATTTATTCAAACTATTTATATTTATTTAATAATTAAGGAAAGTGGAGCTGGTGAGAACTCTACTTGAGCAATTACAAATGCAACTTGAGCAGTATTTTAGAACTTTGAGCAATTTAAAATATTGTATATATCAAAAGATATAGAAATTTGAATATACGGATAAATGAATTTTTTTTCAAGGACTTTATTGATTTTTAATTTTATAATTAATGGTGAGCAATTTGGAAGGGCTACGTAGTTGAATTGAGCTATTAAAAATCTATCGATTAGTATTTTTTTCATTGCGAATATCATAAATTTGCAGGCTGGGGTAGGGTAGGTGTAATTTTAGGCGTTTTTTTGATAGCGATTAATTTTGTCGAATATCTGTGTTGAGGGGGATAAAAACGGGTACTTTAGTTTAGCCGGCCACATTATCATAATAGTAATTTAAAAAATAGCTCATCGAAACTCATTGAACACAGATACTGTTTTTGCAATATTGGCTGTGAGGGAAGGTATCCGTAAAGCAGAAGGTATCGTGAAATTCCAGCCCAGTGTTCAAATACTGGGAACCAAATTATAGTCTTATTCTGACTACTAAGCCAAGTACTAGCGGAAATTGATTAATTTGATATATTATGTTTTTAGTTTTTTTATGTTTGATTCAATAATTTAAAGCTGCTTAATTGAGAACTGATTACAATGACTTCTTTTTCCAACATTACTAGTTCTTTTATTCTATATTAAACATTAATTATTTACTTAAAAAAATAACTATTCTCTGGTATTCCTCTTATGGTTGGAGCCGGCGGGATAAACTGGGTATTTTGAGGATTATTGGCTGGGTAAATCAATGGCTATTATCTGGCAGCCCTGAAAAGAATATCACGCCGGAATTTGGGTAATATTCATGATGATATTCTCACATTCATTTTAATTAATTGAAAGTAAGATTTATTTGTATACTATATTTTTGTTTTTAAAAATGTTCTTGGCCACAAAATAATAGTCTACCATAAAGAATAGACAATTCCAGATATGAACGAAATGTCACATTAAATAATTTTAATATGATTGAACTCGCGCAGCTGTGGTGCCAAAATTCAAATTTAGTATCACACTTACGAGAGGTAAAGATTTCTCAAAAGGAGGGCGCTACACGCATGTCCTGTTTAAATTGCTTAACTTCAGACTGGATGTCTGAAGTTAAGCAATTTATTGTGATATCTCTCTCATATCTAGTTTATTTCTTCTATTGTGTTTGCATCTTACCTGTGCAATGTATTGTACCTGGAAGTTGATCAGCTGAAGGAAGAATTAAGAAGGAGAGGTGAATCCTGTGGTTGTCCTGACTGACTGATGGATCAACACAGAGCCCGTAGTATTTTTTTATAGTTTGCGACTGCCTAAAACACTGATCGTAGAAACATGAAATTTGGAGGACGTATTCCTTATATTATAATGTAGGCATCCGTTAAGAAAGATTTTTTTTGAAATTTATCCCTTAAGTAAGGGACTAAAGATTGTATGAAACTCTGTCATTCTTAATGTGAAATACGCAGAAAGTGGTGTTTAGCTTTGAGATAAAAAATAAGAAATATATTTATAAAAAAAAACTCAATTCAGTCCTTAAAGGAGTAAATGGGGTTATAAAGTTTATATGGACAAAGTATTATTTATGATTAGAATTACGTGAAACTTGGTATTAATGTTTTTCAATACAATTAATTATATACGTGTTTTAGCATTTTTTGAAATTCATTTCCATAAGGGGTTAGAATGAATGATTGTATAAAACTCTGTAATCAATATGTTAAAAAGTACAAAAAATAAAAACAAATTTTCACCTACAGACGACTTAATAGAGCCCGCGCACTAGGCAGCCTGGCTGCGGCTGACAGACTGTGGCACCTAGTCGAACATATAACGGCGTATGGGAGCCCGCCCACTACGCAGCCATGGCTGCCAGGCTACAGCAGCCATCAGAACGCGCCTGATTGGCTGCGCGCAGCCAGAACAAGTGTAGGTGAATGTATGTGGCTGCCGTCAGCCTCCGCGCACTTGGCTGTAGCAGCTAGATGTATTACCATATGTAAGGAATAAATAATATGAAAAATAAACACTATTTTTACCCAACTGCGCCAGAAGGAGGGTTATGTTATTGAATGTATGTAATATGTATGTGCATAATATGTATGTATGTATATTTCTTTGGCAGGCTCTGGAGCTTAAATGGTTTGATGGATTAAAATCCATCAAGCGAAAGCTTGAGAGATGCCGTTAGATTTGTCTTAATTGTGAGAGTGTAACTTTGTATATCAAAATTATAAAAAAAAAGGCTGATATTTGACGCCATATTATGTCTCTAAAAAGTTTTTACTCATAAACCTATCAAGTTGGGTATCAAAATAAAGGGTTTTATAAATGGCTTATAAAATATATACAACTTAATATGTAATTAGATCCTCCACGTCCATATCGCTCAACAGAATGGTCCCAGACCCAACTGGTCGTGGCCATGGCTGCTATAACTGGCTGCTCAATTTTTTAGTGGGCTGCCTAATGCGCGGGCTCTCTAAGAGTTTTAAAATCACTTTCTTAAAAATGAAGTCCACATGGCCTTAAATATACAGTTTATGATTTCGCCACTTTTAGTCGTTTATTGCTTTAGCCCAAAATTTCTTCAGTTTTTGTCTTTTGGGAACAAATGTAATCCATTTTCTTTGCATCATAACATTGCACAATTTGTCATTTAATTAAATTTTAAATAAAATGAAAAAAAAAATCCTTTGACGGTACAGAGTTTTACAACATACTGAGGGCTATAATGATCGCGTCATCTGGCGGGAGATAAAGGCAAAATTCCTCCCCGATCTAGTTTGTCATTTGTGGGTCCAGTGACCAGTCTATAGAGAAATATTAATATAAGGGAGTCCAGTGCTAGTCTCTCAGCGCTGCCAATTGGCGGGTAATTACCCGAAAAGCGGGTAATTTCAGGCGATTTTTTAAATGGCGGGTAATTTTGTCGGGTATTTGTATTAATTTATTTTTTTGTAGTTTTATTTAAAGCTATTTAATTGAGAACTGATTACAATGACTTCTTTTTCTGACATGAGTACTTCTTTTATTCTATACTAGCGGCTCACCCTCGCTTCGCTCGGGTTCGCCTCTAGAAAAACACTAATAGAAATCTATTAGTTCCCACGGGAACCGTTCATTTTTCCCGGATGAAATGTAACCTGTTGTTTGACCGGCAATATAAGGTATCAGAATGTTAAATTTTACTAAATTAGGTGCATAAGTTGTATAAGTTATAATAGTTTTTTAACTATCCCACGGGAACCATTTAATTTTCCGGGATAAAAAATATCTAAGACGTTGTCCGGGGATATAAGGTACCACCACGCAAAATTTCATTTAAAGCGGTCCAATAGATTCGGAGATTAGCCCGTACAAACAGACAAACAGACAGAGAAACAAAAAAATTGAAAAAATCTGGATTTGTTCTATTTGTCTTCTTACATCCCCCTGACTCGCGATGGCTTATTATTAGCGTATTTCATGTATATCTTTGGTGTTTCTATACTGATTTCTATGATTCTTTTTTATGGAATAGTTTATAATGTTAACTTTTTTAATTAGGGATGACTGAGAGTGTTATAAACGTAAGAGTAGACAAATATAAATCGGAAAGCTTCGAACTGCTAAGCTATCGGGAGTTACACGTGTTATTGTGAGTCAACCATAAAAGATAGACATATGCTGTCGTGGGATATTTTTTATATAATTTTAAGGAGAACATTTCCGTCATACATGATTTCTGTGTAGCTTTAACCATTAAGGTTGCACATGCGACGGAAGCTTAAAAAATGGAGTAACTTCTCCCGTTTTCCCAACATTTCCCTTCACTGCTCTGCTCCTATTGATTGTAGCGTGATGAAAAGTATACTATAACCAGCTCAGGAGTATGAAAAATAATTGTACCAAGTTTCGTTAAAATCCGTTGAGTAGTTTTCGTTTCTATAACGGTTATACAGACAGACAGACAGACAGACAGACAGACAGACAAAAATTTTACTGATTGCATTTTTGGCATCAGTATCGATCCCTAATCACCCCCTGATAGTTATTTTGGAAATATATTTCATGTACAGATTTGACCTCTCTACAGATTTATTATAAGTATAGATTAAAATGAATTTAACTTAAAAAAACTATTCTCGGGTATTGCGCTCATGGTTGGCGCCGCGCCGGCGGGTTAAACAGGGTCATTTGAGGTTTATTCATTATTGATCGGGTAAATCAACGACTCTTATCTGGCAACCCTGCAGTCTCCCCTCTCCAGTGACGTCGTCTCTTCATTTTCAAGACTCCAGTCTCCGACTTCAGTCAAGATCATAGAGTATATTGCTACATATATAAAGTCAAGATGACATATGAGACGGGTTGTCGAATGTCGAGTAGATAGAGATACTAGATTGTAGAACCTGGTACATAGTCCTACTCATAGAGTATATTACTACATATATAAATTCCTATTCTAATACCTAGTCCTGCTACGTTTGTTCCTGGTCTGTGCTACTACGTTCTTCTTGGTCTGTGCATAGTGCCTACTACCTAGGCCTAGTACTAAAAAAATTGATTAGAGTATACAATTTGTGAAGTGCGAAGGCTTTTGATGATAATTAAATAACAAATTTACCAATTGGTAATTGATAATTTAAATAAATCTCAAAAGTGTTACAATTTTATCTATTGAACGTAAGAAGAAACATTAAAATATTCTGCAATTATGGATACTAAAGAAGTTGTTGATCATCTGGTAGCTTTAAAAGTAATGAGACTGACCAAACCGGCCTTAATTAGCCCAAAAATAGTCACTTGCGATTTTAAAGATTTACCAGGGAATATTTTGAATAATTATTTGAAAGATGATGCTACATCAGTTGTACAAATGGAGACATTAGGAGCTGGACAATTTCTTTTGTTGCCCCAAAGTTTTGGTAATATTTATCTAGGTGAGACATTTTCTTGCTATGTCTGTGTTCATAATGAAACAAATCAACCAGTTCAAAGTGTATCTATTAAGGCTGATTTGCAAACAAGCTCTCAAAGAATTCCATTACCTACTCAACAAAATCAATCTCCTGTTATGCTAGATGTAGATGAGACTTTAAGTGATGTCATACACCATGAAGTAAAAGATTTAGGCACACATATTTTAGTTTGTGAAGTTACCTATATGTCAAATTATAATACGTTGGCTTCATTTAGGAAATTTTTCAAATTTGAAGTCATGAAACCTCTTGATGTTAAAACTAAGTTTTATAATGCTGAATCCGATGATGTGTTTGTAGAAGCCCAAGTACAAAATATTACATCAGGTCCTATGATACTTGAACAAGTGTCATTAGAAAGCTCCCATCAATTCATAGTGAAATCACTTAATGAAGATAACAATGGAATGTCGGTATTTGGTGATGTAACGTTGCTACAACCACAGGAGAGTTGTCAATATTTATACTGTCTTACACCAAAAGAAAATATCTCAAAAGATATAAAATTAATTGCTGCAGCTAAAAATATTGGTAAACTGGATATTGTTTGGAGATCTAATTTAGGCGAGAAAGGTAGGCTGCAAACAAGTCAATTGCAGAGAATGACTCCTGATTATGGAGACATAAGAGTAACATATGAGAATTTATCTAGTAAGATACCTGTTGATGAACCATTCAATTTCAAATGCAATATAGTTAATGCAAGTGATAGAACACTGGACTTAATTCTTAAACTTAGATCTCTTCAAGATTCAAGTCTTTTGTGGTGTGGCATTTCTAATAGAAAACTGGGGCCATTAGAACCAGGAAAATCAACAATTGTAAATTTAACTGCTTTGCCTATTAACCCTGGTCTACATAATATAACAGGAGTTTCATTAGTAGATTTATTTTTGAAGAGAACATATGATTATGATGATCTAGCATCTGTTTATGTTGTTTAAATAAATATATAATGTAATAGTATAATATTTATTTAATCATATAAATTTATAAATATTAAATGTATATAAAACTATAAAATGTATCTTAAATAAAATAGAGAAATAATAGTGAAAAATAAATTGACAAAAAAAAACAATTTTAGACTATGTATTTTTCTTTTTTATTCCTAAGATTAATTTTGTTACCAACTATTTCATTTCATATTTTTACCTGACTGCAGCGAAGCCCAAAAAAGGGTTATGTGTTTGGCCTGTATGTGTGTTTGTCCGACTCTATGTTCCCTTGTAATTACTAAACGACCGATTTTGATTGTTCATACGTCGTTCAATTCGTCATGATAACGCGAGTATCATAGGGTGTATCGACAAAAATCAAAGTGGCGGATCTACGGCGTCAATTTGTGTCTCAAAAAAATCTTTTTCGTCGAATCAATCGAGTGGGGTATCAAAATACAGGTTTTTAAGAGGCGATTACAAAAACATTACAACTTATATGTTTAAAAGTAATTTAGAATAAGAAATTGTTAAATAAAACCAAAAATATCTAACAAAAAAAACCTTAAAAGATGTAAAAAAATAATTTACAAAAATAAAATAAAACAGCTATAAAGCGAAGTAAAAGGATGAGAACAAGTTGACGAAGGAACATAATATTATGCAGTCTGCTGTCGGAGAAAACTAAGTATGACTTGTTTTAAAAATCGAGCTGTGTGTGTACGTATATACTATATTTTACGGGCAACTTGAGAAGTTCCGTCACTAAGAATAATGACCGGTTAGATAACGCCCGTACCAATTTGGCATTGTAAGTAAAACTGCGTGAATAATCACTTTTTCCGGTCAGTGTGAATAAAGACCACCCTATCTTGAGCAATATAATAAAACAGATGAACTGTAGTGTTTTTGTTTATTATATGAAACTTAATTTACATAATTTTTATCAAAAGATACAAAAAGAATTCAGCATAGTAGTTCAAAATAAGTTAAACAAACGTAATAACATCAGTAATGAACAATAGTTTAAAAAATAGTAAATTAGAAAAAATCAACTAAAATGTAGAAAAATCTCGGGATTGTTCGAGAATTTTATTAAAATTAGGATTATATATTCTTGCAAGGCAAGCTTTTGTGACGCTTTCAACTGCAAAGAATGTTTGATAATTGATATCTTTCATTTACAACGTTTTGAATTGCAGTCACCAGTACAATTGCAATGCTAGAAGCACAGAACAATAATACTCTAGGAGTAGTTAGAAGCCTTGTCCATCAAAATGAGTCTTAACTCAAGCACATTCTCAAAGAGTTATATCAATTATTAACTTTTGGAACATCGTCAATTGAAGTGAACTTTTCTTACCACACAGTAAATTCATTTCTGGAGTATATTAGTTGGTTTAAAATACCGTGTTTAGTTCCTAGTAAGGCTTTCTTTTTCTACAGAATTAATGATAGCGACAGTCTTAAAGCATTTTTTTTAATGGACCACAGTCCGTCGGTCATTATGGGCCGGTCAAAGTTATAAATTTATCAATTTGACCGACGCTTTTGGTCACTTTTCGCAATGATCGGTCCATATTAATAGGTACTGCACGTTTAATCAAATTACCCGTAACATGAATGTCTCAGACTGCAGAATATTATGTTCTTTCTTCAACTTGTTCTCATTTTTTTAGTTCGCTTTTTTTTTATGAAGTAAATGCAAAGAGTACATTGGTACGTTATAAGTTATTAGTTGACTAACTATCATATCATCATTCATATCTGAGAAATATTCTATGTAAATAAATTAGTTTCTTTAAATAAGTAGTCTAAAAGCTCGCTGGAGCTCGATTTATTTAAGCCATGTATTATTAAATTAAGGAAATATATTGGAGAATGGCTAGATCGAATATCTTCGGCTATATCTCTGAAGAAAAAAAAATAGTAACTGTATAAAATAGGAGGATCCAATATAGAACAAGGCTAAATATATAATATATATTAAAATATCATTATTTGTGAATTTTACAAGTATTGATGAATGATTTGCATTTATTTATTATAATAGATGAATTACATAATTCCATGTAAAAGCTGACTGCACTATATATCACAGACCAGGAACAACACTTTAAATAATCTTGTCCATTTTTTAATGTCTTATGTCATTTGTCATTTGAAAATACTTTTTGACTTTTGTTGTTCTGAGGTTTTTCTGTAAAGTTTGTGTTGGGGTTGGATATCTTTTCTTAAAATTAATATTCATAATGGTTCTCACCAAAGAATATAGAATATGCATGCCTATGACAGTCGAAGAGGTATTAATTATTTTGGTATATCATAGATTTCATACAGGTTATGTTTATCTGCAATTAATGTGTACATACATAATTTTCCTGATTATTTTAGTATCGTATCGGACAGTTATATATGATAGCAAGGCATAGCTTTGAGCAGTCAAGTAATGGTGAAGGGGTGGAGGTAATTGCCAATGAACAAGTTAATGATGAAATAAATGGGGTTGGCCAGTTTACTGAAAAAAGGATACATTTGTCTAGGTATGATAATTGAAACATTAAATAATCGAAATTACAATTTTCATTAAAAAATTGATTTTGTACTCTCAAACTTAAATCGTTAATTCTGTTTAAAATTTATTTCTAAAGTTCAACAAAATTTTAAAACAAAAATATAATGGTGTGTTAAATTAATTTATTATGTAACTTTAACTATTTTTATAATATAAATATAAATATTTTGTTATAACAAGTTAAAAGTACTTTACTTGATCATAATATCTTTTTATTTTCAGCCATTTACCATATTGGATCCAAAGTATAATACCAAAGATTTTTTATGTTACTGAAAAAGCCTGGAATTACTATCCATACACAATAACAGGTAAGCAAAGTTGTTTTTAAATTTTGTAATTAATGTTTGTTTAATGAATACAAAAAATAACTTACAATTTTTTTTTCATGTTACCTGCAACATTAAAGAATATACTGTAAGTATTTAATTAACATTATTGAGTTTAACAGTATTTAAAGGAGTTATATAAGATTTAATTGAATAAAGCTATTTTTGATTTAATTTTCTTGATTTTTTATCATATAAAGCAGCTATACTCAACCTGCAGCCCGCAGGCCGCATGCGGCATCATCAAAAATCGCATTATAACATATCTTTGTTAAAAAAGTAACTATATTGTTAACTTGGAATTACATTTTCATTAAGACCTAAATAATTTTTGCTAACGGCCCTCGACACTATAACTGAAACGTGTTTGTGGCTCCTATAAAAAAAAGGTGGAGTATGGCTGATATAAAGAATAACATGCATAACATCTAACTATATCAAAAATTGTCTTTGTACATCTTATTTATGAAGTAATATACATTTGGTTGATGTTTGTGGGTAGTATGTAGTGCTATAGATCCTGAGGTCCTGGGGCCAAGTATAATTATTTGTTTTTTTCTCAAGAAAATCTTAGTCACCCAGAAGAAAAACCACCCAGAAGTTGGTGGTGTTTAAAACCTTCATCTCAACAAGCTTTCATCATAATTTCATGACATTTAGTGCAATTCATTTTGTATTTTTCAGTGTTCTTTTATTCCAAAATTTTTAATATCCATCCAAACAAGATATGAAAATAATAATGGGACAACTGAAAATGTAAGTTATTATGTATAATATCTGATTTTATTATAGTTTTATTTTGTGTTTTTTTTACCATTTGTATTGTATTAAATGGATTTCAATCTACATATTTGAAATTTTTTAACTTTTTAATTTCAGTGTTTGGGTTTAACAGCAGAAGAACTGGAACAGCGTGATGTAGACTTTTTGGATATAGCTTATGATGAAATCAAACCTCATCACTATAAAGAGTCTGAAGACCCTAAATTTTTTAAGTCAGAAAAATCTGGCAGAGGCCCACTTACTGAAGGCTGGAGGGACACCCACTCGCCAATCATGTGTTGTTACAAAGTAGTCCATGCTAAATTTGAAGTGTGGGGACTGCAGACTAAAGTAGAGGATTATGTGCAAGTAGTAAGTACATTGCATATTGATTCATTAATTTGTTGCTACAGTTGAAATTATATGAATTTCTGTTTTTATTAGCCACCTTTTCAGTCTAGTTATTGTGTTAGCATGTACTGATGTAGATTGTGTGGTCTTGGGTTTAAATTCTGGATTAGGTCAAAGTATTTATTTAGAGTATTCCAGTATAAAAAAAATTAGATGGCCTTTATGGTACAAGGCAATAGACAGTACTACAACTTAATATAAATTAATTACACTACTAATAAAATTTTAAAATATCCTTTAATTATATATGAGTATGTAGAATCTCACCTCGTGCTGTGGCTTGCGTGATGTCGGAAACTTTGGAGAAAAATAACAAAAAAATGTAATAACACAATTACTAAAAAAATATATGATTGATTCACCTCTGCCTCATTGGAGGTGGATATGACCTCAGATATTTTTCAAGAAATTATATTGAATATGTAGACTATATTTTCATTTATTTTACTATACAGGCAATCAGGGAAATACTCCTCCTTGGCCATCGGCAAGCTTTCACATGGATGGATGAATGGTTTAATATGACCATTGAGGATGTCCGAACATATGAAAAGGAAATGCAGGATAAGACCAACATGAAGGTATAACTATCATGTACAAAATATGCTTTAATATGTTACACTTCTAAATATTTATGTAACTCTGCCGTTTAAAAAAATCAAATTATACATTTATTATAGAATAGCTTTTCTCCTTGGCTTCGCTCGCTTAGTTTATTTATATACAATTGCTTTAAGTAATGGCTTAAAGGACTTCAGTCGAATCCGCTATATAACTAGATCAACATGTACATTGCGTTTTAATAATGTTTAATATTTTGACATATTAGAATGAAATTTTATTTTACTAATAAGAGAATTTGTCAAATCGAGACCTGTGAAATATAATGATTTAGAATTTATATCACAAATGAAATATTTCAGGTAAAAACCGCTTTAGAAGAAGCAGAAAATACTCAAGATGGACAAGACAGCAAAAAGTCATCACAGCCGGCGACACCCAAGACTCCAAAGTCGCCTAAAAGCCCTCTAGGGACGCCCTCCGAATCGAGATCATGGTTTTCTTGGTCATAATTTTTACATTAAATATGTATATTCATTCTATGTCATCTCTCTGTACTACATACAGGGTTTAGTTTTTCTAAAGATGGGCGATTTCAAGTGATTAGTCCTATCAATTTTGTTGCTTTTGATATTTTATAATCAATGTAGTATTAGAAAAATATTTTGTACCAATATAATATATGTTGGATATCTATTTAATTTTTTTTAATATTATTTTTACAATATTGGAAATAAATACATTTTAACTACAAGTGGTACAGCGAGTTCAAAATCACTTTTAAAGTATTTATTCGAACTTGAGGCGTGTTATAGTGAGAAATGCCTGTCAGTCGACAATTGGCTAAAATGCATAGGTAACGTAAAAGAAAAAATCATATGAAATAAATAGGAATGAATCGATTCGGGTATACTTATCTTCTGAATCGCCCAACATTGTCCGTAGTTCGTTGACGATGTGTTCATCTGTTGCCTTCCTCTCATATCAGTTACGTAGCGTAGACCTATTTATTTGTACCATTTCATTAGCCTTTATATAAAACACTTATATTAACGGCCATTACTTTAAATATTTTTAATATTGCATTTTGTGAATTTCATTCAGGGCTCGGAAACTCGATCAATTTTTAAACCGGTTTTGGTCATTGACCCAAAACGAAAGGCTTTTCGGTTTAAGGTTTCGGTTACGTTCTTTAACTGATTTAATCCGGGAGAACGGTTTTTGACAAATTTAGGTTCCATGAACAAAATTAAGCGGTTAAAATGAGTTTTTTCGTGTTTACATTTGGCGCGTCTTTGCTAATGGTGAATGGCTTAGTTAAACGTTGCGTACTTATGAATAAATTAACCGGTTTATTTCTTTATCAAAACCGAAATCCAAAATTTTCTCTAAGAGTAGCCGTTAACTATTATTATTTCGGCTTACTAAACCGTTCGTTTTCATTAACCGGTTGAAGAGCGAGCGTTGAACTAACTATTAAATTACCGAAATAAAGTCCTCATTTCATTTGACTTTAGTGCATATTACGTTTAGTTACAAAACAGTAGTCAATTTAGCAAAATTTATTTGGGAGTAAATAAAATTCCTAAAGAAGCCTGTATAAGTGGCGTCATGGGTTCATTATTTAGTTGATACATTTAACCCACAATAGCAAAATATTTATACTTGAATTTATTTGGATATTTATAAAAACAAAACAATGCAAAATCTTTAAAAGTTTAATTCTGCTCTTTAGGTAAGTAATTACTACTTATTATGCTTACCTCGCTAGTGAAATGGCGTAAAGTGTAAACTATGAGTATTATATTGGCGTTTAGTCATCAATGTTAGCATATAATTATTAATATGTACTTACTCATATTTTTGATGTTATATAGATAATTTAAAATTGGTATAGATATTGTATTAGAAGTAGAATAGCCGTTTTTGTTAAGTTTAACAAAATTAAATGAGAATTTGTTACCTACATTGATATGTTTAATAGGCATTATGTTTTGAACTTATTTAACGTTTATTTATTTATGTATATAGAACACAAAAACACAATTCTTAAAATAAAACGACGTTACAAAACGTGTTATTTCGAAGGAAATTAAAAAAAATACTTATACTATTCATTTTGTAGTAGTTTTCATTGCTCGAAAGGAACTAACGTCTATTAGTTAATTATCAAGAAGAATGAAAATTATTTTAGTAAACTATGGGTTATAGTATGTATTGAAAATAAATATATAGTTATAATATATTAATTTACTAAGTCTATACACGTACAAATAATTATTGTTTAACTTGACATACTACGTTTTACAAAGCGCAAGTCTTAACGATACTATGTGCTAAATACGTCGATCGAGTCGTAGTCATAAAATTAATGTTCCTAAAATATATTGATTTTGTCTAAGGACATCACATCCAAAGCAACATCTTAAGGTCTTTTTGGGTTATAATTATTCATAATGTAAGCAAATGTTTGTGTTTATATGTACTGTACTATCGTTGTCGTTTATAGTTATCGTGTAAATGGAAATAAAGAGGACCTAAATATTCAAATAAGTTAAAATAAAATTAAAATATAAAATGTCGGATATAGAAATGTTTATTTAATATTGTCTATAGATACTCTTATATATAAATTATAATAAAAAAATGAATATCAATTTATTGAAATAAATTTTGTAGAGTTATTCTTGAAGTCTTAATAAATTGATTGATTGACAACGCGTGTGGCTCAGTTGGTAGTGACCCTACTTGCTGTGCCAGCGGTCGCGGGTTCGCGTCCCGCTGGGGGCATTCATTTGTGTGATTAGCATGAATGTTTGTACTCCAGTCATGGGTGTTTATAGTTATAATATGTATATGTATTTAAAGTTATATATGTGTAGTGTATCAACTATCTAGTATGTATCCATAACACAAGCCTCGTAGCTTACCATGGAACTAGATGGTGCTGTGTGTTAATGTCCAACATATTATTATTATTATTTGTATGGAATAGATAGACTATGTATTAGTACATACGTATGTGTATATACATAGGTGTATGATGAGTTCTGTATTCCTTACTTGAGAAATCATTAAGTCTCTATACAAACTTTCATCCCCCTTTTGCACCCCCTTAGATGATTTCCAGGACAAACAATATTCTATGTCCATCCCAGGTTCTCAAACTATCTTCATACCAAATTTTATCTAATTCGGTTCAGTGGATTATTAGTTTATCCGTTACAAACAAAAATACATTTTTTTAATAATATTACTTTGGATACAAAGTAGGTCGTGTTATTTGAACATATGCAGTATTCAGTAACCGAGCGTCGAATAAAATGAATCAATGAGCTAATAACTAATACTCATATAACGGTAATATTAAAATTTTATTTTGATTGATTCCCAATTTTATATTAATTTGCATATTATGTTTAATAATTAATATATTATATAAATGTATTTTAAACAAAAGTTTTATATAGAACAAAGAGCGCGGATATATTCGAATTAATATTTATTAAGGTACAAAGAGATAAGTGTTTGTTATCTGCGCAATAATTGTCAAGAAATAATATAAATTAAAATATATAGATAATGGGTTTGTGTGGTATATTTTTAAATAAAACTATCTTTTCGGATTATTTCGCGGATTTATTTTGATTTTTGGTTCCCGACGTTTCGAATGCTTTACAGCATCCATGGTCACGGGAGAGACTGAGGTGTTACATGTCTTGAAGGTATAGTTGTTACAGACAGCCTACCCACAATTAACAAAATGAAAATTGCACCAATTCCTTTCAATATTTTTTAACTTTAAACATTTTAATGATTTTAATTATAATTGAATATGGTATATTCAATTATAATTAAAATATATAAATAATATTATAATTAAAATTATAAAAATGTTTAAAGTTAAAAAATATTGTAAGGAATTGGTGCAATTTTCATTTTGTTAATTGTGGGTAGGCTGTCTGTAACAACTATACCTTCAAGACATGTAACACCTCAGTCTCTCCCGTGACCATGGATGCTGTGAAGCATTCGAAACGTCGGGAACCAAAAATCAAAATAAATCCGCGAAATAATCCGAAAAGATAGTTTTATTTAAAAATGTCAAACATTCGCGTAAATCTGAGAAAGTATTTTGTGTGGTATAGTTTTAGGCACAAGTTGTTTTTTTTTAAATTACGGCCTAAATACGTGTTTAGTTTTCTAAATATTAAAGATATTATAATTTTGCGCAATTTCTAATAGAATATACTCTACTATTACTTTTATAAATAAGTTATTATAATTTATTATGTATATTAATTATATTATTATTCTATGTATGTTTTTTTGATATTGTCAGTTTGACATGCGTTTTTATGTAATATTATTTTTTATTGATATAAATATACTTACATATTTACGTACTGCATAATAATAAGGTCCAATATTTATATGATATAACAAACATTAACATTCCTGTTAATTTAAATTGTTTTTAATTCAAAGTTTTGTTTTTTTGTAATTCGTTACAGTGAGTTACAAATATTTTTGAAATTGGTGTAGTGAATAAATGTAGTATACATACTGTCATTGTTTCATTACAAATTATACATTTTTATAGATTTACTAGCATTGCCCGCGGCTCCGCCCGCGTTCAGATTACCAAAAACCAAATTCTTAGGTTTTACATATTAGTATACTCTTACGTTGCAGGTTTTGTATTTTTTTTCAGACATGAAACATTTTTACACATTACCTTTGGCATATTCATATATTACCTTTGGGATATTTCCTATAGGTTGCTCAGAGATCCGGCCACGTTAAACAAATTTAAATATCTAAATGGGCCTGTGTTGGTGGCCTGTCTGTCTGTCTGTTACCGCATCACGGAAAAACCACTGGAGGGATTTTGTTGAAATTAGGTTTGATGATTGCTGGTTATCCGGGTCAACATATAGGATACTTTTTACTGCGGGAAAATATGGCAACTCTGAGAAATCGACACTAAACGTTAAAAGTTAAAACGTAAGTAGGGACGAACCCGAGCGAAGCGGAGGTGTGTCGCTAGTAATAATAATAATATAGCCACTAAAACAACGAGCTACTAGATCTCTTTATAGTTTTATTGTTATATTTGAATATATTATGATCATAAATCATGTTGTTTAATTGTGACTAAAATGTAGCCGTACCTATGAGTTATAAATTATAATATATCATGCCAGTAATAGTCCGGTAGTGCAAGTGAGAAACGGAGTAGTAATTCATTACATGTTCCGTACATACCTATTCTGAAAGGGACATAGGATGTAATTACTTATTACAAGAGATGTGTAGTTGTATATAAGGTACCTATTTTTTATGTAGGTGTACCTAACAATAGTTTTAAGCATTTGGCACCAATTTTGGATGATACAGATTCATCGTTTTAAGAAGTATCTACCTATTCTAATAAATAAGCATTTTATCATAATTTATATTAAATATTTTTATGAAATAACATAACATACATATTGTTAACAGATGATAACCAAATGAAAATTAGCAGTAGGTAATGTAGGTAATAGGTTGTTTAATGTTTTTGCTATTTATGTGTATGTATTATTAAAAGAACAAAGGGACATTGATATTTGACGTGTCGAACTATTTCCTGATACATCGATATCTTTCATAATACTCCTAATCCAGTTCAAGTGGGCGCCAATGCTGACGTATACACCGGGTATTCCCCGTATGCCGCAGCTAAGTCCGTAGCTGCACACTCCTTCAATTTTCCCTGCACATACTAACGGCCCTCCTGAATCCCCCTGTGATATAAAAATATTTCTGTTTTAAAAATAAATGTGCAGGTTTTGACGACACGATAACTTAATTATTCAGTTACATTTACTTTCTATTTAAACTTAATATTTTTATTTACTTGAATTATTTTTTTTACTTCCCTTGGACTAGTATTTGTTGCTATAATCACGTACTTACGATGACATAAAAGTGTAACATAGTAGTTTCTTCCCATTTTGTCGGATTATATAGCTTTAATGTTAAATGTTTTATAGATACTGGTCACTGCTAACTCTATTAGCCCTTTCTATGTGATTCTTTGCGGAAAATTATGTATACTGTACAGGTGTATACTATATATGTAATAAGTACATACGCATCATCTTTTAATCTTTGAGTACACCTATTGGATATATCTAACAATGAGGTGGATGTTTAAAATTTGATATTGTTTTTAAACCAATTGACGCCACTTTAAAATGAAAGCATAGATCTAATTTTATTTAAGTTATTTCTAAAATCTACAAACCGCGTCTATTTATATACTTATTGATGGATACATGAAAAAGCCATTGGCAAAGACACATACACTTTATTTATAAATACAAACGTTGCGTAGGTACAATAACAAAGGACTAAAATATATACAAACCTGGCAAGCGTCAACATTTTCGCCTAAAGCGCATATCATTCCACTGTTATAATCGGGAGCAACGTATTGTCCTAATAAACGTGTACACTCGTCGAGCGATACAAGTTGTAGTTCTGCGGCAGCCAATATGTCTGATGTTTCTTTTGTCGTAGTATCTTTTACACCGTAACCGTAAATTGTACATTTTCCTGCGAAACGATTTTAAGTCGGTATTTGGCAAATTACGATAAGTATGGATTTTTGTTTGCATTTTTTAAACAATTGAGTAATTATTTTATTATTGGGAATATTAAAATATCTTGGATTGTGATTCGTAATTTCTTTTTAGAATGTAGATACCTAACTACTCAACAAAACATGCAAAAGTTATAAAAACAATAGTTAAGAATATTTTATTGAGAAAAAAAAAACGAAACGAAATAAAAATTTCCAAACCCTAAGGTATTTATTCAAAGTTTAAATATAAATTGCTTAATAAATCGACTTAATTGTAAAATTGGAGATTACTGAAACCCTAAAAAAATTAATAGGTATGCATTATTTCTTACTAAGCAAGAAGTGCCGGTCTCACGTGAGAAGATGATGCATTGAACAAAATTGCAAATATATGTAGATCTTATACCGATTTAAAATATTTTATTGTAGTTTATAGTTTATATTAAATTTTATATAACAAAAATAGGTACCTCGTTAAAACTATCACAAGATAAGTCTGTGATAATAGCTGTTTATTTACAATTCATCTTTCTAGATCTAAAACGACGTGTCTTTTTTTAAACTTTAGTCAACGCTCCTTAAAGTCTTCAGAAGAATACCTGACAGACTATTGAGTTTTAGGAAATCCGAGTAATACCTATTACGTTACACGAGTAAAATGCAAAGGATATAAAATATTTATTTAAATAATTGATGAAGCTCTATTAGACATCAGTATTACATTTCCGGAAATTAACTTGTGTCCATAAACTCATATTACTTGTAGTTTTTGGAATTTATGGATATCTAACTAACCTACACGAAAGACGACGTAGGGAAATATTATCTATCTATACTTATTATAAAAATAAGTCCCCCGGCCGCGTCTTTCTGTCCTCCTGTCTGTCCTCCTGTCTGTCTGTACGCGATAAACTCGAAAACTACTGAACGGATTTTTATACGGTTTTCAACAATAGAAAGAGTAATTCTTGAGGAAGGTTTAGGTATATAATTTATTATGCTTTTATGTAAATTAGCTGAAATACGGCGACAAATGTTGAAGAGGTCGCAAAAAATCTCGCCAAATGGGAACTTTCCACGCGAACGCCGCGTAAACTAGCAAAGATACAGTTAAGTAATGTACTAGAGAATTCAAAATCTATAAAAATGCTACAAAAAAGTCCGCGATAGCATATCTCTATCTCTTACGGTTGACTTACAATAACCACTTTTATGTTAACATTTTTAATTAAAAACATTACGTTATTTTCAAAGTTATTTTCTTTAGTTCGGTATTAATCCTTATCCAAATGAATATTTTAGTTAGCTTAGTCATTTAATGCAGATTAAAATTGCTCTTTACACTAAATCAATCAGATGAATAGTTTTTGAGATATCGTTGTTAGAAGTAATTAGTAGCGAAACATTTTTAATGCTTGGCGAGCATTGAGATGCCTACGGCGAGTCCATCCCCTCTGCCCCGCATCGCTCGACCGCCTGCTCAAGCTATATAAACCGGGCGATGTAGCGCGCGATCCTAGGATACTTTTTACCGCGGGAAAATATCTTATTTCTGAGGAAAAATACAAAAACTGCAATGTAAGAGTATACTAATATGTAACACCTAAGAATTTAGTTTTTGGTCATCTGAACGCGGGCGGAGCCGCGGGCAATGCTAGTTTCAATATAAAAAATGCTTCCAAGTCATCGACTAGAGCAACTCAATGTTGGGAATTCATTAGACATTGATTTAATTGAATAAAATTTTTGTGCTATTTCTAAACGATTACATATATACTGGCAGTGGTAGCCCAGTGGTAACGCGTTCGCTTGGGAAACCGAGTGAAGCGGGTTCAAATCCCGGGTCTCGCACCTCTGATATTTTCATGTGAGAATCATTTCTAATATGATTATCACTTGTCTTACGGTGAAGGAAAACATCGTGAGGAAACCTGCTTGTCTGAGGAAACCTAACAAATTTTCGAAAGACATGTGAAGTCCGCCAACCCGCACTTGGCCAGCGTGGTGTACTATGACCTGATCCTCCTCGTATTGAAGGGAGACCCGTGCCTAGCAGTGGGACGTTAAAAAAAAGGGCTGAATACAATACAATATATTATATACTTTTCAAAAAGTATCAAATCAAATACTTATTTTATCTAAATTTTATTTTTGTAAAATTTTACTTTTGATAGAAATCGTTGATTTTACTAGCGTTTACACGGAGGTAGAACAGTAGGTAGGTAGCCTAGATATTTTTAGTTTTTACGTAAAATTTGTAAATGTACTCAAATGCTAATTGAAACGATTATAAGTTAGTTCATTCGTCTATGTACCCTAAATCCATATACGAAAACATTAATATATTTTTAAACGAGAAGAGTCGGGTCTAATTTTAATTACAAAGGTATATATACACTTGAATGTTGAGCTAAAATAGTCAATAAAGTTATAACTTATAATACGTAAGACGTTTATTATTTGAAACCCATAACGAGGTTTCCTTTATAGCCTACTTTAGGTAAGTATTAATAATTTAACTTTTGTACCTGACTATCCGTGTGTAATACTTTCTTATTTTTGATTGAAATGTTTGGCAAACTCACAAAACCATTGTAATTATAGATCATTGGCTGTGACAGCGCTGATTGTTGAAGGCGAGCTCGTTAGCAGTTCATTCACAGTTACCTGATATTCCGAACGAAGAGTTGGGTAACACTATATTGTTAAGCCACATTATGTCACCGACTTCAAGCAACAATCGCAACATTGCAATGTCATGTGCACTAGAATATCTGAAACCGTAGAAGTTATTTACCAACACTTCTAATATTAGTTTAGGTAAGTTGATTTTATTCCCTCTACCTGACAAACAGATTTGTTTTTGATGTAGCATTCCTAATATATTGGAAAATAATAGAGTCGGTGGGAGGTTGAGTAATTTTAGGAAGTCTCCCTAGTCCCTGGCAACATCAATCAAATTATAATATCAATAAGAATCCTGCCGAGTTTAAGTCAAAGATTTCTCTAATATAATTTCAAATTATGGTTAATTTACATACATACTTCAAATTATTACGAATATATAAATGGAAAAGTATTTTTGGGTAGGTATTCGATAATTTAGTTAATAATTTTTGCAATGATATATAAAAGTAAATCTGTAGATTTTACTTTAAGTATTAGTACGTACATACATATAAAGTTAATATCTAATAGGTACAGATTTTTATATATAAAATGTACCTACTTGAATAGCATTGCTATTTGCTGAAATGCTGTAACGTCTAAAAATATAGATGTTAAGGTACTATGACTTACTCGTCATAATTGGGATGTATAAAAATCTCCAGGACGCGAACTAGAGGCTTCGTCTCATCTTCACTTGTACAATAGTTATTTAGATGCAATGCATAAATTTCTGGAGTGAACTTTTTTACGCAATGCGCTGCTGTTATAGCAACGCGTAAAGACAAGATGGTAGCGCCACATAAATGCGTAGAAGTGTTTGAATTTCGTAGAGATACAATCTGCTTATGAGTACCTGCCACAAATGTTGTTTAACTTAAATTAATTTTATAATCCTTGTTTAAAATAATAAATTGAAAATAGTTTTATGCTTCTTTCACACAAAAACATAGCATATGAACGTGATTTTTTGTTTAGATATATTATGCAGCTTATGGGACGGTAAATAGCATTATAGCTTTACCATTATACCAAGTTCCCTTTCGATAATAGGCTGTTTTAAAAAAAATATTTATCATGTCACTAGTATACATAAGATAAATAATTATAATTATTATCGGTTGGCATTCTTCTATTCATAATAGGTATTATATTAAAAAAAAAATATAATCGATAATCCACAATGATCATAACGTAAAAAACTTTACTCACATATTTTACAGACGAGTACAAAAAAATATTAAACATAGCTATAAAAATATTTAAAATGTAAAAAAAAAGAAATACCACAAGGTACCTCCGTTCCACCAATGACTCTTTTAACCCTTTTGCACTCTGCAAAATACGACTTGAATTCCATATAAACTACACTCATTAATACTACAAAATAAATGCGTTTATAAACTAACATTATCGTTACATTAACGATCACCTTCGACTGTAACTCGGTTACTTAAAAACAATTGCTTGTAAATTATAATGTGTGCTATTATTACATATTTCAATGAATTTATTGTACAAAAATCGTGACATAATATTGTATGTACAGGTGTTTGCTATCTTTGAGGTGACAATTAAAATAAGTATATTTTTTAATAACATTTTGTATTTTTTTTGGGACATTAACACACAGCTGACAGCACCATCTAGTTCCATGATAAGCTACGACGCCTGTGTTATGTGGATACCAAATAGTTGACACACTACACTTAAATAACGTTTTAAATACATACATATTATAAATATAAACACCCATGACTGGAGTACAAACATTCATATTCATCACACAAATATGTGCCCCCAGCGGGACTCGAACCCGCGACCGCTGGCACAGCAAGTAGGGTCACTACAAACTGAGCTAAACGTGTCGTCATTATGTATTGTTGTCAAAGAGGATCTATTAATGTGTTAGTAGATAAGAGTAATCGAGATTCTAGTGCTAAGGGTTGCAAATAGCGCAATAACAATTTCGAAGTTACCTATTCCCAGTTTAATTCTTCTTGTCTTCTAAATATTTTTTCTTAGTACCCTAATAATTTCTTTTCATAAGGCTTTATCAATAGTACTAGGTTATCGCACCGAAATACATGTATGTAGGTTATACTACGTAAGTAGGTATCGGTGGTTAGGGTACGAATGTTGTTATGTAATAACTAACAAACAATGCCTGTCTTAATATTTAATAGTCATGGGTTCCATTCTTGTATGAGATCATTATAAGGATTTCATGTTCAGATGAATTTAAGAAAAAAAAACCTCTCGATTTTAATTTTAAAAGATATAGATATGTAAGTATATAATATAGTACATAAAGTAAAGTTATACTTTAAAATAAACATTATCTATAACCTAAATAAAATAAATATATAATTTGTACTAATTTAAATATTTATATAAAAACAAATATATATTTATATACAAACAAATATATTTTAATTTAGTCCAATATGTTATGTGTTATGTTATTTTTTGTAAAGTCCATACTAATATTATGAATGTGAAAGTGTGTTCGTTTGTTTGTTTCTCCTACTTTCACGTCGAAACAGAGTGACGGATTGGCGTGTTCATTTGTGTGGAGATAGTTGGAGGACTGGAGATTGACATAGGCTACTTTTTACCGCGGGAGATTATTTTATTCCCACGGGAAAACACGTTATACTACAAGTCAAAAAAATATTTATGAGAAGAATTACTTGGAACTTGATATAAATGCTATTCAATACAATTAAATAAATACGTGTTTTAGCATTTTTCGAAATTCATCCGATATGGGGATAAAATAGGGGATGAATGTTTGTGTATGGAACTTACTTTTTTAAGAGTTTTTTCGTAGTTTTAGCGCGAGCTAAGCCGCGGGTTCTGCTAGTTTATTATTATTTGAAGAAAAAAGAGTTTGTTCAAATAAATTACAATGGATGGCGTTATATGTATCCGTAATATATAATTCGTATAATTAATGAATTTAGAAGTATAATTTTTTTTTTCAACCTTTAGTAAAAATTTTCGAATTCGGTTACTAATTACTATTATTTTTTTTTTAATTTGGCTTCATCGTTGAATAGTAGTTAATATTAATTTACATGTAGGTACACATTCCAAATTTGGCCATACAATGCTGTAGTCTTCAAGTTGAATGGCTTTGAGATACGGACAGACGGATAAAACGAGACGAGAAGTTGACTACGGAACTCTGAAACTCCCCGACGTCTCAAAGGCATTATATACTTGTTACAGACAGTGCCTAACCACTATTTTCTTGTTTTGTTAAAATTTTGGAGATTTTTTTTTAATTATTATTTATATTTCCGATGTAGGTAGTGCATTTTCTACTGAGAAGCAATTACATACTTGACAATAATGACAGGACAATATTAAACTATTGATTGATTTTATTGTATTTGAATTATAGCATTGTATTTCATTTAATTTTTAACATTGAGGCAGTGGTAGCCCTGTGGTAACGCGCTCACTTAGGAAACCGAGTGAAGCGGGTTCAAATCCCGGGTCTCGCACTTCTGATATTTTCATGTGCGAATCATATCCAACATGATAACCATTTGTCGTAACGGTAAAGGAAAACATCGTAAGAAAACCTGCATTCCTGAGAGAACCTAGCAAGTTTTCAAAAGATATGTGAATTCCGCCAACCCGCACTTGGCCAGCGTGGTGGACTATGGCCTGATGACCCTCGTACTGAAGGGAGGCCCGTGCCCAGCAGTGGAACGTTAAAAAGGGCTGAATAAAAACATACATTTCATTTAAGTGCAATAAAGAATAGCATATACTTACATACATATTATGCAATTGATAAACTGCTATAATTCAATAGACAATATTATGTGAAGATGCAGTATATAATAAATAAGTAGGTTGGATAACTACTCAATAAAATATCTAAGAGCCTTAGATTTCTTAAAATATTATAGTAATATAAAATATTTTTAAATATAAGATTTATTATATATTTTAAATTATATAATTAATAATTATAAAATATTATAATTATATATTTTAAATATAACCTATACTTCGTGTTTTGTAGAATTGTTTAGTTACATATGAAAACTATAATCTCTTATAGATAAGTGAAGAACTTTCTAAAAGATAAAACATAATGGTTGAGTGAGACATACTCGTAAGTAAGGGATTTCAGCTATAAATAATGCGTTCTTAAAGTTTACAAATAGTAATAAATAGTAAGTAGGTGTCGAGTGCACCGAAATAAATGAACTGTTAATTGTTATGGTTGTGCGATGCCAAATCTCGGCAGCGACGGACAGGTGCGGGCCGGCGGTGTAGTAGCGGACGTCGCGGTGACGGTGAGTAGCGTGTAGCGTGTTTATGTAACGCTGGGCGGCGCGGCGTGCGCGGGCTGCGGCGGCAGTGCTCCGCCGACCGCCGGGGCACACCGCGCTATGGACCGCCCGAGCGGCTCTCCGCCGCAGAGTCCTCCCGCGCAATCCGGCTTCGGCGCCTTCTGCAACGCGATTTCTGAAACGCTCTCGGTACGTACCGTACCTCGTTCGATTCTACCCCACCGCCGCCCTCGCTCTCGCATTTTATTCGTTGGCATACAATCTGCTCGTTTTATGACACTATCGTCGCCAAAAACGGGTTTTGGCGCCGATTCACGTTATCTTTTGAATTTCTCCATTAAAACCATAGCAAACACCAATTTACTTAATTGAAGTGTCGAGGCGTATTCTATTTCGAGACGCATGTGTTTCTCGAGGTCGAGTGAGGTCCGCACTCGTAGGTTTCTGGAGGCTGGCTTTGGTTGAGAATCAGAAAAATTATCACGCGAATAAAAAATATAAACAAGTTTATTATTAGAGCTCATTCGGGCCGGGTCGCACGGCCGTGATTTGTTCGATGGCTGTGATATACCGAAATACCCGCGCAATAAACGAATTCAAACGCGAGACGTGCAAAGAACAGGCGCGACACCAGGCACTCGCGCGAACTCGCAACGCCGCTCACCACGGCCGGCACCACCCGCGTCTGCTCCTCGACACCACCACTTTGCCCGGCCGGCATCTCCGTCGTGATAACCAGCTAGTCTCCTGTTATAGGTACTTGCAACTATGTAACAAATACTCGTAAACAACTTCGTAACGCTTATTTAACGTTTCTAAACCCTGGATGATTGATATTATTTACAAACAAAAGGTGGAAAAGTAGGTGCTAACAATATTATTAAAATTTAAAATTAATTCTAATCTTTAAACGTGGAATAAGAGTGAAAAGTGAGTGTTAAAAATTGTGAATAATAACGTGTTGGTATTTAGACCACGGAATGTTTGCTTTTATTATTAATTTTGTAATAAATTTACACGTGCTTTCAATGAGCGTAATTTACTTAAATACGACTGTCGCCGGGTTGATACTCGATGAAAATATATGTTTATACTATGTCTGGATACAACGCCTCTGTGAAGTGTATTGCCGATTAGCTTAGGTACTTGAACTAATTCTTATGAATATGAATATCTCCTATATTGAGGATGAGTAAGATGTTTTTAATGTTAATAATATTTTGAGCCTAAGAAGATTTCATAATTCTGGATACGAATACTTTTACTGCAAGTACCAAGCGTTAATGCAGTAGAAATTAAAAAAAATATGTGAAAACATTGTATCATTCCCGCTTGTTAACTGTTGTTAATTTGTGAAACATTTAAGTCAAACATGCTCTTTATATGCTTGTCGTTGCATTATTATTAGCACTTATTGCTTATATTTTCACATAACAGTAAATATATCGATACAAGTGCTCAGAAAGTTTACGTGATTTACTATTTAAAGCTTACTTAACATATTATAACATTTATAACAATTACCATAAGCTATATATTTATTATTAAGGTATAAGTATTATTTGTATTTATAACTCACGAACTTGCTAAGTAAATGTTATTTCCAGGTACCAAAAAAAATATATAACACAAGCGATTTAAAAAAAATCCTGAAGGAAAATAATATATGGTAAAATATTATCATTATTTGCTATATAGGGTAGATTGAAAATATATATTGGATTCTATGTATATCTGGTGATCCATATTTATATTAATTACTCCGACTAACTCAATAATGTTTTATAAATATTTATTTTAAAAGGACGTATATTAAAGGTTAACTACCTACTATAATCATTGTTCAGTTATTTTCTATAAAGCTTGATATAAAACATCCAAAGAGTTTATGTACCTACATGTATATACATACAAAGGTCGTTTGATAAATCAGTGACTTTAAAAAGAAAAAAAAAAATCTAATAAAATCTCGATTGCTTTAAAAAATATTATTTGACAAACCGTGGAAAATAGGCTTCTGTTTCATCTATCACATCCTTATTTGATGAAAAATTTTGCCCACCAAGCCATATGTTTAGGACATAGTCACATGGGGTCAAATCTGGGGAATATGGTGGGTGTGACAATAATTGATATCGTTTATGAATCTACGATCGAATTCAGTTGGATTGTAGTTAAATATAGTTAAACATTGCTCTGAAATTATTATGCGATTTCGTTTTTGGTCGACTGTCAGTAACCGCGGCACCCATGTCGCAGAAAGCGTTTTCATGCAGAACATTCTATAAATTATAAATAAATTATAAAAAAAAATTTAGTCACAGCGTCAGCTTTCTCGTGTATCTTCAACCGACGGTCTTTTAAAACAATATCGTGGATTGTATAATTTATTATTAATTCCTCAGTGGTGCCTTCAGTTCGGCCTTCCTGGTCTCTTGACGTCTGTAATGATGGTATGTCAACAAAACTCAGTAAACCACTTAAATATACCATGAGACGGAGCAGATTCCCCACTTTTTAGTAAGATCCAGGGTATGAAATTATCGAGATAAATATATCTTTTGATAATTATCGACGACACGTTTGGCTCAGTTTGTAGTAACCGTACTCGCTGTGCCAGTGTCGCGGGTTCGAGTCCCGCTAGGGGCATTCATTTGTGTGATAAGCACGAATGTTTGTACTTTAGTCATGGGAGTTTATATTTATAATATGTATGTATTTAAAGTTATATATGTGTAGTGTATCAACTATCTGGTATCCATAGCACAGGCCTCGTAGCTTAGCATGGAACTAGATGATGCTGTGCGTTAATGTCCAAACATATTTATTTATTTATATTTATCAAAGATAATTATCAATGATAATTATCGTTTCTAACCCTGGTTAGATCTCAAGCTGCTTTATTGTTTTTCCACGTTAGAACTGACATACTATAGTTACGACTCAAAATTCATTTTTCTCTATTTTCATAGTATGTTTCGAACGCCCTTAGCTTTTCGTTTCAAAAAAATTTATTTTCGCGTAAATTAAAAAAAACCCACAGCAGTAGATTAGTTGTGGAGTATCTTATTATGGAATCAAATATAAATTATCAAAAATGTTTTATATATAATTTGAATGTGACTGATTTATCAAACAACCCTCGTGTTAAGTATATTATACTATTTCAAAAGTTGCTAACTTTAAAACTTGTTTTTATTACTTCCCAATTTTAATTTATTTTAAAGAAAATATTTTCTTCCGTACATGACTTTTCATGATTTCTCATTTAATTGGTTATGTTGATTGATAGACAATGTAAATTTATATTTCAAGTTTTATTATAAACTTAAATTATTTTGCTATTGAACCTATAGGAAGCCGTAAAAAAGGTTTCCTATCTCTCTAACTCGTACTATAATAAATTATCGGGCTTAAAAAGGAGTCATTTTGAGATTGTCGAATAAAAATTAAAATATATATATATATATATATATATATATATATATATATATTAAAATTGACAAATGTAATCGTGAAGTATGTAATAGAATTACATAATATGTCCTGGATATTTTTAACACCTCCAGATAAATTTCTAAGAAATTAATTAAATTTCTAAGAAATCTATTATTAACTGTAACGCCGGCGTGTCCGCGGCCGTGGAGGGATAGATGTTTTTCTTCATTGACTGTAGAATCAGAGAATGACGTCCCATCTAAGCGCCTATACTGTATACATATATAAGTAAAGCGCCTACACAGTTTGTAACTCAATTATCTTTACTTTAAACTCATGCGTATAAATATTTTTGTTAATATTATTTTATGATAAACCATGCAACATCACAAAAAGTTTTACTGTACGATCATTGATCACATAAAATACTTACACTGTTTAATGTATGTTGAAATTAAAGTTAACGTTCCATTTTGTAATGATATTGTATCGTGTGACAAGAAATATGGTCATTAGTGAGGTCACACCAATATAAACTAAGTAGGTATACCTAGCATGGTGCAAGGTTGTTTTCATCGTATAATGGTTTGACCGCATCGATCGCAAAAAGAGATTTAGAGTTACCTACCTTTCTTTACCTAAGTAGAGAACTTATAATTAAAAACGGCCCACGAAGCCTCAGTACCTTCCTTGAAATAAATAAGTATTTCAGCATTGATTAAATGTAATTACCTACAAAAAACAAAACGAAATTCCAACTTTAAAAATAATAATATAGGCTTAAATCAAAAGCAATAAAGATTATAAAAAAAATATTTCACCTTTTTTTTAATCACACGCATATTTCCTATTATTATAATCTGATTACAGCAAATTATATTTCTGAAGTATTCGGTATTCGGCCGAATAGTATCTATTCTAGGTATTCGGTATTCGGCCGAATAGCATAAAAGTCGCCGAATAGGCCGAATACCGAATAGTAGCCGAATATTCGTAGCAAGTCTAATTTAAATATCTTTTTAAAAAACCAAGACTGCGTAAAAAGCGAATTAAAAAGATGAGAAAAAGATAACGAAAACTGGAAACATAGTATTATGCAGTCGGAGACTTACAATAGACGTAGCAAGCCTCACAGCTAGTATAAAACGAAATTATTTTTAAACATAATTTGTGTATATTTTCGTAATTGAATTTGACTCCGAGCTTTTGGCGCTAATTGATTTTATTAGGACCAAAGCGGGCAGGGAGTGTGGCTAGGATGGACGAAACGCGTGCGAATTTATGTATGTCCTTCGTATTATATTAAAACAAATACACATTTTGAAAATGTAAATTATTAAAAAACTGATGAACTTCCTTGAAATATTTACGCCACACTAAGAGTTTATTTTGTTATTATTAGAGATCATTTTGTTTTTTTTTCTATCGAGGAAACTACAAGTAATCGTGTTTCTAAAGTGTACTATTTACCTATAGAATAAATCTTCAAATATATTAATGGCATAATTAAAGTTTTAGTAACAACAATACAGCAAGGGATCAAACGAATGCAATTATTTCGTAATTACGTTTCGCTGCCTCGGTGCGCCCTAAAAACCTGTATTTTGATACCCCACTCGATTGATTTGGATGAAAAAAAAAATGTTTTCAAGACACACAAATTAATGCCTAGGATCCGCCTCAATCAAAGCCTCTATCAAAACGAATACGACGAAACGGCGTAGGAATTATCAAAATCGGTTAAGCCGTTTAGTAATTAGGGGACATACTGAGTACGGAGGGAACATAGAGTCGGACATACATATAGGTATACAGTCCAAACACATAGCCCTCCTTTAAGTCTCGCCGCAGTCGGGTAAAAATAGGGTAGGTACGTATAAAGGTAAGAATATGCCTGGTTATTAAAAATAAATGCGCTTTTGAATAGTGCAGCACATCTACTATATGTAAATTTTCTTTTTGACCGACTTCCTAAATTTACACAAATAATAAAATGTCACAATTTTAAAAGCGCAAAGTGAGTAATTCTAGCCGGAACCGCTTGTTACGCGAGAAATAGCAATTGGACAGTGGCACGCATCAGACGGTTCTGTTTAGCGATTATAAATAAAAGATAGGGAACTCGGCCACTGCTCTTTCTATTTCTGATTGAAACCTACTCCAGAATCAAGAACACGGCCAGCCGCCAGGTTAACGCGGGGTTGATTGTATCATGGATTCGCATTGTCAATGGGCGTACATGTTTAAGAGCATACGTTTCCGGTTGCTGTGTTTCAAGCGACATGTGAGTGATATCATATATATTTTTAAACTAGCATTGCCCGCGGCTCCGCCCGCGTTCAGGTGACCAAAAACCAAATTTTTAGGCTTTACATATTAGTATACTCTTACAATGCAGTTTTTGTATTTTTTCTCAGAAATGAGATATTTTCCCGCGGTAATAAGTATCCTATATGTTGACCCGGATAACCAGCTATCATCATACCAAATTTCATCAAGATCTGTCCAGTGGTTTTCTCGTAATGCGGTAACAGACAGACAGACAAAAATCCTAAAAACTATAGATTCGGACTCTGTATCGATAATAATGTCTATTTCAATTCGATTTTCGAAAAAAATATTTAATGTACAGATTCGACTTAGTTACAATTTTATTATATGTATAGATTAGACATTGTGAAATATATTTTTGAAAGAAAAAAATGAAGAATAGGCACATGACAAAAACGTCTGTCTTTTTAAATAATGATACGTAAAAACAATAATTCCTAAGATTGGAAACCTAGATTGGAGTGAGCAATCTCTTATAGACCTCAATCACCATCGACCATTCATTGTCCTAAATTATCCAATAAATGGAATTTTTCTTATCTGAAAGGGAAATGGTATTATTAATATTACAAACTTGGTATATAAATGATTAAGATTATGAAAAAAAGATTATGTATTTTAATATTTAATATGTTGGGACATTAATACACAGCACCATCTAGTTCCATGGTAAGCTACGAGGCGAGCTTGTTTTATGGATACCAGATAGTTGATACACTACACATAATATATAACTTTGAAACATACATATTATAAATATTAACCACCTTTTCTGGAGTACAAACATTCGTGCTCATCACACAAATTAATGCCCCCAGCGAGACTCGAACCCGCGACTGCTGGCACAGCAAGTAAGGTCACTACAAACAGCCAAACATGTCGTCAAGATGTAATAAACATTTAAGTAACAAGATAGGATACATAACAACATATTTAAACAAGGATTTTTTTGTAATTTAATTTTTATATTTCACTATGTTTCCTCATCGATCAAAAAATGTTTTTTGATGTGAACACATGTGTTTCCTTATACTTTCTGTCCGATTCCCAAAACGTGCGCTGGCAAATGTTTCTAACCAAGTCTAAGTATAAAAAGTCAAGATTATAAAAATAAGATTATAGTCAAGATTATAAAAAGCGATGGTTTTCATCCTATTAACTTACTATTGTACCTATCTTATAAATTAAAAATTTTAAAAACCCCCTACGCAAATTAATTATCATTTAACGATTACACTGGCACGCGTGAAGCAGTTAATCGAGTAATTATACGCCAAAATGCCTTACATCATTTTGGAAAAGAGCTGATTCTCTTACACTGCTGAACCGATATTAACCAAACATAGTTAAGAACCATCGTAAGGAAACTGGCTTTCAAATGAAAAGTAAAACCGCATCGAAATCGGTCCATCCGTTTGAGAGCTATGATTCTACAGACAGACACACACAGTGTGTGTAACACACGGACAGACATCGACGTCAAACTTATAACACCTTACACCCCTCTTTTTGCGTCGGGGGTTACAAAAAGCTGTCACGTAGGCTATGATACTCAAGGTTACTTTAGCAACCGTAATCCTATGATTTAGTTAGGTTATCCCTAATGCTTTATACAACATTTAAAATATTTCCACTTTACTTTTTGGCAGAACGCCAGTCCTTGGAGGCGGTCGGTACGTTCAGACCACAAATGACAAATTCTTATTATTATTACTACAACCATGTCGGTTCTTATTAATTACTCTATCACTTTAATGTACATTTTTGATTGTTCACGGTACAAGATATTTGTTTATCTTTTTTTTTCAGTTGGTCATTGAACTTTCGTGTATCTAATGTATTCCTAAAGAGAGGGAACAAAATAACGCAAATTTCATATTGTATTGAAGTAGAAATATCTGAATCTTATTAAAAAAGGGACACTTTTAAAAGTTAAAAAAACTTAGATGTTAGAAGGAAATATTTATTAAGAGATTTTACAGTGACAATTACTTAATATTCATGAGGGTATTTATTAATTGAATACAAATAATTTTCTGTATATTATGAAGCTGTGAAAGTGAACAAAAAGTTTGTTAAATAAATTACAGTTATAATCTATGTAAAGAAGATATCGAGGTGTGACAAATATTCTTAAAAAAAACAGTTACAAACAAAAAGCTTTTTTTTTTAAATAATATCTACATAATTCGTCGGTCTTGATCATTTCGATATGCTAGATAAAATTTTGTTACTAACAAAAATTTAAAACATATTCTCTATCCACTAAGTTAATATTGTTACGTTCTATGTTCGGAGATCGTCTTTTGCACTGCGGATGTTTATTGCTTTTGATTCACAAGACATTACATATTATGGCGATTCACCAACACAAGCAGCATATGCACAGTTTTGACTTAAATCAGTCACTGAGCCATATTATCCATCACTAGTTACACTTGCACTATGACTTAACCTCACCTTTTCTCACTTTTTCACTTTTTCGTATTTCTTATTAATCTTCTCTTAGATTTTAAAAATCCATCTGCACTCTCTACGCACTACTGGCCTGTAGCAATAAGTACTTTTGCATAAACAAAGAACATTCTAGTATTCGAAATTTTTGAATTATTATATTCTTAATTTCTTTCTGGAAAATGTTTTGTTCCTCTCTTACACACGGTATTTTTTATTATGATTTTTAGTGTAATGACGTTACACACTCTACTACGCGACACTATATTTTTCAACATACGTGGCAACATGCCCGCTTGCAAAACCAAGTCAAGTGAGTTCAAATCTCGGGGCTCATACTTTTGCTATTTTCATGTGGGAATTATTTCCAACATGAGTATCTCTTGCTAATATGCAGGAATGTCTTTTGAAAGTTCTCCTTTAAGAACAATATTTTTCCCAAGTATTTTGAGTAATTGATTTCATTAGAACCGAATGGCCAGAGGCAACAGTTGCTGAAACAGGGAGTAATTTATCAAGTTGCAAGTTTCCTCATCTTTCTCTGCCGTGGATTTTATTCTACCGATTTTTAGACAAATTATGAGAAAAAAAATGGACAATAAATTTATAAAAACCTTAGTTGTCTTTTATCCGCTATTCGATTTTCTCCAATCTTTTGCTCCAATTCTTCTGTTAGAAGTTCTCGTTTGGTAATGTTTGATATGGATAAACCATAAATAGGCAACAGATGTCACCTGATACCGAAAACGTAAATAAGGTAATGCAATAAAGTAATGTAATATGTTGGACTTGGGACATTAACACAGTACCATCTAGTTCCATGGCAAGCTACGAGGCTCGTATTATGGATACCAGATAGTTGATACACTACACATATATAACTTTAAATACATCCATATTATAAATATAAGCATCCATGACTAAAGAACAAACATTCGTGCTCATCACACAAATGAATGCCCCCAGCGAGACTCGAATCCGCGATCGCTGGCACAGCAAATAGGATCACTACAAAGTACAAACTGAGCCAAACGTGCCGTCAAAATTCTTGCATTAGAATATAATTCCTTTGCATTAGAATATTCAATACGATAAACATTTTTTTACTTTTTTTAGCTCTACTTGTTTTGAGCTCTGGTAAATCAGAAAAATTGTCTCATATGAGTTTAAGACTATTGAGTGGGCTAAAATATATACCCAAATTCTTTATTTTATACGTATACTATACACGAATTTAGCTAAACAAACCTCATATTTTTTTGCTGATATTTTCTGAACTCACTTTGGCCTCTATTTCATATTATTTCTAATTGGTTATTTAACTACACAATTTACTATAGTAAATTATTTTTAATATATGTTTTTGTACTTTTGTAGTTTGAAGTTGTATATAAATATTTGTAATCGCCCTTATCCATATATAGTAATACATATGGATCACACAATAATCCACTAAACACACTCGCGTTATAGAGGTGAATCTAGTGACAGGCTTCGCAGAAATCGGGTAAAAACAAAAGATACTTACGTTTTATAAAGTGACAATATTTTGTTTTAAATGCCTCCAGTTTGTTGTTTTTAACGCTACTAAAATCTTTATAATAATATTACGTATTCTATGGAAAAAGGGAAAAAATTAAATTACCGTTTCACAGTAGTGAAGTTTTTTTAAAAGAGCGAGATTGTATGTATTGTGTAGATAATATTGAAGTATAAAAGTATTAAGTATAAACATGTAAATGAGCTTCATTTAGTATCAAATTAGATTCAATTATTTTTATGTAAACTATTTATGTTATTTAATTTTTATTAATTAATTATAATCTTTAATAACATTATTGTATGTATGTTTGTATGTATGTATATATGTATGTATTCAGCCCTTTTTAACGTCGCACTACTGGCCACGGCCCATGGGCCTCCCTTCAATACAAGGGGGATCAGGCCATATACCACGCTGGTCGTTGGTTGGTGGACTTCACATGTCTTTCGAAAACTTGCTAGGTTTCCTCACGATGTTTTCCTTCGCCGTAATATTTATTTTTATATATTATTAGTTGTTACCTACGATTAAATATTTTTATCAATAGTGTGAATATGAATGGTGCAGAAAATAAAGTGAAATAAAACAAATATCGTCTCTTTTGTATTTTTCAATCATACGTAATTTTTGTTTCAGGGCATGGCGACCACTTCCAGAAGTAGAAGAAAGGTAAAAATTTAGTTATAAATCTATACTATAATAAAACAGTAGAGGTCGAATGTCTGTACATAGCAAAAAAATGCTAAAAACCGAGTCAGGGGGATGTAAGAAGACAAATAGAACAAATCCAGATTTTTTCAAATTTTTTGTTTCTCTGTCTGTTTGTCTGTTTGTACGGGCTAATCTCCGAATCTATAAGACCGATTTAAATATAATTTTGTATGATGGTACCTTATATCCCCGGGCAACATCTTAGATACTTTTTATCCCGGAAAATTAAATAGTTCCCGTGGGATAGTTAAAAAACTATAATAACGTACACAAAAACTGCTGATTGGATTTTAATAAAACTTTACAATAATATATTTCATACATAACAATAACAAATCGGCTACTTTTCATCCCGGAAAATTCAAGGATTCCCGTGGGACAGTCAAAAAACTATAGTAACTTATACAGCTTAGTACACAAAAAGTACTGATTGGATTTTGTTGAAACTTTACAATAATATAGGTCATACATCAGAATAACAAATAGGTTACTTTTTATCCCGGAAAAATGTATGTGGTTCCCGTGGGATAGATGTTTTCGTTTATTTGTAACGTATTATGTACACAACATAGACCCCAAAACAATAATTATTAAAAAAAATGTCTGTTTATCTGTTTGCCTGTATGTCTGTTTGTCTGTTTTTGTGTGCGCGTTTCACGCGAAAAGTAATGCACTGATTTCAAGGAAATTTGGTGAAGTGATAACTTATTACTCGAGTCAACGTTTAGGATACCTTTTACGTCAAGAAAATCTTTCTTTCTCACGGGAAGATACAATAACTGGTTTTATCGAGTCCTATCTAGAAACCTTCCGCTGGCTAAACCTTAAGACATACCAATATATCTCCTAAAAATTGTAGGTCTTGAAAAGTCCTAGAGGAAAGTCCTGAATAGTATATGTATATCTCCTAAGCAATATCTATTCTTATCTATACCTATGATAAAACTAACTTAGTCAAATCGATGTGCGCGTTTCACGCAAAAAGTACTGAACCGATTTTAATTAAATCAGTATTCGTGTCAACATTTAGGATACCTTTTACGACAGGCAAATTATTCATTTCCACGGGAAAACACAATAACTGCTTCTATCAAATTGTCCTTAGAAATTTATATGGTTAACGCTGGCTCAACCTTAAGAGATAGATCAAAACATTGTACAAGAAAACTAAAAGTCTTAAAAATGTCGGTCGAAAAGTGAACTGAAACGTGAAACGTTTCGCGTGAAACGCGCACACAAAAACAGACAAACAGACATACAGGCAAACAGATAAACAGACAATTTTTTTAAATTTTGTTGGTTTCTCTGTCTGTTTGTCTGTTTGTACGGACGAATCTCCGAAACTATTGGACCGATTTAAATGAAATGTTGCGTGGTCGTACCTTATAACCCCGGTCAACATGTAAGATACTTTTCATTCCGGAACATTAAAAAGTTCCCGTGGGATAGTTAAAAAACTATAGTAACTTATACAGCTTAGTACACAACAACTTATGCACCTAATTTAGTAAAATTTGGCATGCTGATACCTTATATTGCCGGTCAAACAACAGGTTACTTTTTATCCCGGAAAAATGAACGGTTCCCGTGGGAACTAATAGATCTCTATCAGTGTTTCTCTAGAGTCGAATCCGAGCGAAGCGAGGGTGAGCCGCTAGTATATACATATATATAAAGAATGGGAAAAATTTAATTAAATCTTGTAATAAATGCAAATATACAATGTAGTATGATATACAAGTAGAATAAGTTTTCATCGCCTGTTATTGTTAAAATCTCAATTTGACCTATACATACAGTATGCACCACCCCAGTGGTAACGCGCTCGAAGCGGGTTCAAATCCCGGATTTCACACCTCTGATATTTTTATGTGCGAATCATTTTTAACATAATTTTCACTTGCCTTACGGTGAAGGAAAACATTGTGAGGAAACCTGCATGTCTGAGAGAACTTAGAAAGTATTTGAAAGACACGTGAAATCCTCCAACCCGCACTTAGCCAACGTGGTGAACTATGGTTTGCTTGATCCCCGTCGTGTTGAAGGGACTGCCCAGCAGTAGGACGTTAAAAAAAGGGCTGAATACATACAGTGTGTGTAACATATTTCTTATTTTACGTATCTTAAATTTGTTTAAATAAGCTTTTAGTAAGAATGCATTTTGCTAAACTATCTACACATCTATACTAATATTATAAAGAGGTAAAATTTGTGAGGTTGTAGGGGGTAATCTCTGGATCTACTGAACCGATTTAGATGAAATTTGATAAGAAGATAGTTTGAGACCCTGGAAAGGACATAGAATCATCATCCCTTAAGAGGGTGAAAATGGGGATGAAAGTTTGTATTAGGAAGTAAGCCAGGGAAGAACCCGAGCGAAGCGAGGGTGAGTAGCTAGTATAAAATAAAGTTCTAACTAAGTCGAATTTGTACATTAAGTATTTTTTGGAAAAGCTTATTGAATGAGTCGTTATTATCGAGGACGAATCTATAGTTTATAGAATTTTCGTCCGTCTACCTGCCTGTCTGTCTGGAAATGCATCACGAGAAAACCACTGGACAGATTTTGATAAAATTTGGTATGATGATAGCTGGTTATCCGGTTGAACATATAGGATACTTTTACTGCGGGAAAATATCTCATTTTAGAAAAATCTTTTATACTAACCGTAAAAACATATTTAGGGACAACCCCGAGCGGAGCGAGAGTGAGTCGCTAGTTTTATAATAAAGCTTATACAATTAACAGTGGAAATGTTTGGAATCTTTTAAAGCATGCTTTCTGTCGTGACTCGTGTGCCAACAAAGTGTTGTTATTCTACGTATGTTTCAAAATATTCACAACTATGTGCCTATTTTGAAACTTTGCCCTTGGCTTTGGTCACTTTATCGAGTCATAACAATGTTGTAGATATCTGTATGTTAGATTTTAGATTATATTTTTATAAGTTTTTTAAGATATAATACATACACCTATAATCGCTGAATGCTTGCTTTTTTGACGTACCTATAATCTAGGTATTATCCAAGGTACATAACAATTTGAACCCGATCGTTCAAGTGATGGGAGTTAGACAAGTCATCATTTTACAATCATTGAAGAATACACAAAATAGTACTGCAAAGATTTGATCGTTGTGTCACAGAATCATAATAATATGATTTCCCATATATATTTTTTTCGATTTCTATTTCCAACGAAAGTAGAATGTTATTATTATCCAAGGCCTCAGTACTCGACTTAACGTGAAAAATATCATTGTGAGTGGTAGCTAGTGTGTCAATACGTTTGACTGTAAAGTGTTAAAGGCGTGTATGGGGTGGGGTATATTTTATAATAATTGAGTCATTAGTTGCTGATTTAAACTTTACTTTATAAACATTATGTACTAGCGACTCGCCTTCGCTTGTCCTCGGGTTCATCCCTAGACAAAAACAAATCTATCCCACGGAAACTGTACATTTTTCGGAATGAAAAGTAACCTGTGTGCTATTTTAGACTATAATCTATCTCTGTGCCAAATTTCATCTAGATCTGTTCAGCCGTTTTGGCGTGAACAAACATTCATCCACCCGTCCATCCGTCCTCACAAACTTTCACATCTATAATATAAACATTGTGTATATTCAACACTAATTAAAAAAATGTTTGATTGTTAGATTTTTTTATATTCACTAATTGCTTAGTTTCGGTTTTGCGCTTTGTCCGCAGGCCGCAAATAGTTGCAGGCGCGGTCACAAAATGAATTTTGTTTTTATAGTATCTCTCTATGAAATAAAAATTTGGAAATACTATGTAAGTTAATGTATTTTCTTCAAAAATCTTGTACATTCACTTCATTATGTTGGAAATATATATTTTACAAGAATATTATTTAATAAGAATATTAACATACATATAAAAACATGTTCTATGTAACGTATATTATGGATAATAAGAATAAAAATAGTAGGTACCAACATACGTGGATACTGCATAATATTATATTAATAGAATGAATCATTATAGTCTTTGAAGATTGCAGCGTAAATTATGGCCGAGATCACTTATATTCTTACTAATAATTCATAACGGGTCTGTTTCATTGCCAGAATTGGAATGTCATAATTTTTTCATGAACTTAAATGTTGTAGCGGCGTTTACTGGCCAAGTCCCGAGTTGATGCTGTGCCAAACGCGACATTAGGTATTTCAATGCAAACTTCATCAGTTCACATTTGTTCACTAATTTTTATTTATTTTCTAATGGTTACACGCGGCTTCGTGCACATAAACTTTACTTCGTATACCTACATACTTCAGTATTATAAATCTTCACAATACTTTCCTTCTTCTATTTTATTATCATAAATCATTTCATTAATTGTCTTGTTTTTTATATTTATCCCAAAAAAACCTATCTATTCCAAATAGCAACATAGTTTCTGATAATAAACTATTTATTCTCTTCATTATACATATTAATAATTTGGTCTTAATGTTGTACTGACTTTACTCATATGAAAATATTCTTGAAGAATCCTAATGAATTATACAAGCCTTGTACTTCGTTCAGAACTGTTGATGTAGGACATCTATAGGCGCGCCTTAGCAGTAAAACCAACCGATGGCATGAGTGCCATGCTATCATGCACCTTCTACGCCACCATGCCCATTCTACGCCACCGCTCTCGACACCCTTGTGTGCGTGCGCGCGCGTATACTATACACGCTGCATTGCAAAACTGTCTCTATTAAAAATACTTACATATTTTCTATTCTATTTATGAATACTATAATATTTATGATCAGAATTACTTGAAACTTGGAAGTAATGCTCTGCAGAGCATGTATTGAAATACAATTAATTAAATACTTGTTTTAGCATTTTTCGAAATTCATCCCACAAGGGGGTAAAATAGCGGATGAAAGTTTGTATGAAACCTACCATTTTATAAGGTTTTTTTGTAGTTTTAGCGCGAGTGAAGCCGCAGGTTCTGCTAGTAATAAATAAAATCGATTGCTCCACCAGAAATTTGGTAATAATTAAATTAATTAATTTGCAATATTAGGAATTTATATAAACATAAGGTTATTCTAGAGAAATATCTACATATATATTATGTATCATTTGTAGATATAATATACTCAATTTATAGTATAAACAAATATACTATTTGGCTAATAAAATAATACAAAAATAATCTAATTGTTTAGATATTAAAATGTTCGAAATATTGATCAACCTATACAAGATAAGGCATACAAAAACTCTGATAACGTTCAAAAGTTGATAAAAAATACATATGCTGATACATATTTTACTGACATTGCACAGTAAATTTTGTTATTTAGAGACGATAGTGATAGTCGACTTGAAAGGGATTGATGAGAGTGTAACAAAAAGTGTTGTGTATGTCTAATTTAACCAATGATTCTATTGACTTGCAGCAAGAAGATGAGAAAAAGAATAAGAAGAAGCAGTCCCCCGTAGACGATCGTCCATCAGTGCCAGCACCGAGTGAAGCCATGCTCAAAAGTAAGTAATGCGTTTTGCAAAACTTCATGTTTATAGTAACTATCACAAGCCTTATCTTGTCAAAATGATTATGTCCACACCTCGCTCTAACACTCTTTTTATATAATATCTATCCAATATTTAAAAAATGTGTCTCCATTTATATCACTTTATGAAATCAATACCTACTATAGAGTATAGGTAAACGTAAGTAGAATGTCCATTATGGCATCAATTTACAAAAATTGATTCCAAAGGCCATAGCCGTTGTATTTTGTCAGACTTCCTAGAACACAATATCTAAAAATTACGATACTATAGGTATGTACGCTACTAGATGTTTTAAATACCTATAGAAAAGGAAAAACAATGGAAAATTTGTATTTTCTTCGAAATAATCATTGCCATTGCAAATACAAAAACGATAAATTTACTTCCAGCTTCGCATGAGTGTAAATCAAATCGACCCGGTACCCGGTACAGTATTGGGAAATATGTGAACATCGCTACGCTTTAACATAATAGGAAAATCTTCTGGTGGTTGTCCTAAGGACATTTTCCTCATAGCTTTATACATTGTAATTTAATAAATGCAATAAATGCACTACTCATCCAAATACCTAAGTTTTTCTGAAATTTAAATAAAAATGCTTAAGAGACTTTTGCAATACATAAAACTTACCTAATTTAATTTGAGATGCTACGAGTAAGTACTGGAATTAAAGTTACATAGTACCTAAACTGAATTTGTCAGCGAATTTAGCGTTATAATGATTTTCCAACTATAATATAATTACTTCGACTGTTAATATCTTATATCTCTCTAAAGTAATGAAAATCTTGGTAATACATCCCATTATTATCTCTAATTATTATTATCCCATTATTATCCCTATTAATATCAACTAACTCAAGAACGGCTGAACGGATCTGGATGAAATTGGCACATTGATAGATTATAGTCTGGAATAGCACATAGGTATGTATGTATGATTCCCGTGGGATAGATTTGTTTTTGTATTTCACTAGAGACGAACCCGAGCAAAGCGAGGGTGAGTTACTATAAGCTAATATTAATTTTAACGGGTTAACAATGTTTTATTCTGTAGGTACTTACAATAATTATATTTATGATCTATATTCCAAATTAATATAAATTAGTAAACTACAATAACATTATAAAATGTGGTATACATACTCGTATATTTAAAAATATAGAAAATTATTAACGAATTCATTCTTTCAATGTCTTCTCATAGCATGAGAGTACTTCGACACTGTCGTCGATTTAAAGGCTCACCAGTAATTATCTTATTTTATCTTTGTTTGCTAAAAGTCATAAAGTCTTGAAAGACCTCGAGCATGATAAATGATACGGAGAAGGTTTAAGACGTTCAGTAATTCAGTTTATAATCATGATGTAGTCTTCAGTGTTCCGGTTGAGTATTGATTGTAAAGAAAACTATCGATGTTGTATTGTCAAAAAATAAGTCCTAAACATCTACAACATGCTATTAATCCCTCCACTATCGCGGATACGCCGGCGTTACAATTAACAATTAATTTCTTAGAAATTAAATTAATATAAATTTATCGGCTTAACAATGAAGATCGTTGACACCGTTTAATAACGAGCCAAGAATGTTACGATATAATATGTAGTAAGGCAATCCCAAGAAAATTAAATGAGCTGAAAAAAAGTACCTGTTACCAAGAACATCCCACGACACACAGAAGTTATACGTGTGGTATTTCGGGAACTACGATTTTCGCTGAAGAGTAATATTGTACTAGCATTTACAAGATATTATAATTACACGATGGAATATTTGGAAAGCAATAATAATTGTTCGCGACCCACAATTTATGATAGACGTAATGATCCTATTATTACGTATAACCTCTAGCGTACTAGTAATCCCTATTATTACCTTAGCAGCTTCAAAATTTAATTAAAAAATAAAAACTATTGTAGATTTATAAAGTTTATCTAACAAAAAATATGAGAATACATTCGTTATTATTTTTTTAGTATAAAAACTAGTAGGTATGCAGATAGTCTTAAAATTGAAAGATGAAAGATAAGAGCTGTATAAAATGTCTATGTAACGCCTTTTTAATCTTATGTCAATATTGTGAATGATACAAGGCAATGTGATGAGAGGAGGCTCATTTTCATATAAAACTTAGACTCTGAAACTCTAATTTAGACTCTAACAAAAAATTGGTTATTTAATTTGATTTATTCATAGGCTAAATTTTATTAAACTCTACACACAGTGTTATACGTAGTGTTAATTAGTTTGATAGTGCATAATGAGTTGTCAAAAAAATAATGATTTCTGTAAGTGGTTACTTTATAAAAAATACGTTTTAACTGTTAATATAATATGATAGATAACATCGTATTGATATAGTAGTTCAAATAAGATTTACCTAATAAAAATGATAAATAAGACATTATTGCCAGTACAAATCCTATTTAAATTTCCTGTTTACGAAATAGTTTTTTTTTTAAATATACTTTCTAGTTCTAAAGCTCAGAAATATGCCACCCGCCTGAATTTAATTTGGCTTGTTCCGCCTGGCATTTAAATTTTTACCTACCTCGCAAATATTTTATTTAATGTCTCCACCTTTTGCCTTCATTAAAATTTTCCGTTTATTTACGTACTACCTACTGTGTTTATTAAAAATAAAGGTTACGTAAAAATGCCCATATTAACAACATTTTTTATATAGTGAAAGATATTCGAAGTAATAATGTGTTTAACAGCATTTTATTAATTTTACCTATTTTTTTGCAATATTAATTTGGTTTTGTTGCAGACTGCATTTTGCTAGTTATATAACTCTAACAAACTAGGTTGAAAAATAGAATCGATTTCTAAATTATTTGGTTAAATGATAATAAATAAAATACATAAAAATATGACCTCATGATTTATAGAAGCATGGAATGCAAGGCGATAAAATATACTCATCTGTTTTATTACATCTTCGTCTAAAGAGATGTAATAATCAAGGATGCTATCATCGCAGCCGTAAATTCAAGTCAGCACCTATTAGTTGTAATGCTATTTAATAGAATTTATAGTTATTGTGATAAACATGTGAATATGTATATTAGAAGCAGACCTAATTAATATAAATGGAAACTCGTAGCCAAGTGGCAGCGAGAAACGAGATTTAACTAACCATAATCAATTTAGAGTTTAGACTACAGTCAGTAACGGAAGCTTTTAAGCTAATTTATATTAACGCTTTGAGAATTTTATTATATTCAATAACACATAAATCTAAAATACATAAATATTTTTATGTACTATGAATATAAGCTAAACGACCATATCGATTTTTATGTAAGCTTGCAAGAGACAAATATTGTAAGGCTATTTTTAATTAAATACAGTATTTAACTGTTTATAGTATTCACTTGATTAAAGTTAAAAAATAATTTTATATAAATTTATATAAAATTATGTTTTTGTATAATTGGAATTGATTATTTTGTTAATGTTATGTATTATTATATTATTGATGTTAACATTGAAAATGAATGAAGCCTTTGAAAATGGTAAAAAGTGAAAAAAAATAATATTAATACGATAAAACCCATTAGAAATGGAAGATAATATAACAAAAATGAAAGGAAAAATAATTTACGGGCGATCTGAGGTCGGGAAGTGGAAGGGGGTGACTTGAGGGTAAAAAACGGTTTATCTCGATTTCGGCAAAACTACAAGTCCTATGGAAGAAAATGTTGAGAAGAGAATGTCGTAGGTAATAAAAATATCTACAGCTTTTGTATTTTCACTTTTTTCACATAACCTCAAAATTTTTGTGAAAAATTTAAAACCAAGTTTTGGTTTATTATTTTGATCTTTTACAAAAAAAAATTTTTTTCACGAAATTTGGTGACAACTTACCTTTTTATGTCCCAAACACACTGTAGTTTTCTTGAGATAAAAAAAATAATCACCTTATTTTGGCTTAATATCGGAAAAGCACCTTAATTTTCAATCGAAAATTGTCACCTTACAATATCTGCTTATTTAAAAAACTCGGTAGGCTTTTGTTCGTGCAAATCTCTACTTTCTGATGGTGTAAAAAAATATACATTACTATGATAAATTTTCTCAGAAAATGCAAAAAGTATAGACCAGACCCTCCTAGTCCCTTCCTCACTTCTCTATGAAATAACTTTTGATGGGCTAAAATTTTCCGTAGGTCACTAAGGTATATAAGTTATCTTAAAATAGCAATAAATAGGCATCTAGAAATTTCTCAAAATATTGTAGATGTCTTATTAAATGTTAACTTTATTAATTGCATTTTCTGAGAAGAGAAAAACTTGGTTATTTAAATTTTTCACATAAATTTTGGGCTTATGTGAAAAAAGTGTAAATATAAAAGTTGTCTATCTTTTTATTACCTACAACCTACGAATAATTATTATTTATTCGTAGCCTACAACTTTGCCATTTAACTTTTTTCCATAGGACTTGTAGTTTTACCGGAAATCGAGATAAACCGTTTTTTACCCTTAAAAACTCCCCCCCTTACACTTCCCGCCCTCAGATCGCCCGTAAATTATTTTTCCTTTCATTTTTGTTATATTTTCTTCCTTTTCCAATGGTTTTCATCCTACTATTATTTTTTTGATTTCAAAAATAAGCGACCCTGGTCTAAAGCGCATTGTTTAATTTTCTTATAGACCTCCGAACAGCATTCGGTCTACTGGACCGGGACAGTGATGGTCACGTAACGCCGGCAGAGCTGCAGTTCATGCTTCGTAATCTGGGCATCGAGGTGAGCGACGACCTCATAGCTGATCTTATAAAAGATGCCAGTAAAACTGGTAAGTAATATTTGAAATACTTTTTTTTTGGCTTTTACTTTCATATTTGATACCCTAATTTTTTTTATAACTTCTTATTCGTACATTGGTCTTTATATTATATATTATTATTTAATTTAATTTAATTTATTTATTACTTATTATTTATATTAGTTACGTATACCTAATTTATATATTTTATATACGTATATAAAATATCATATGTATGTATATATGTATTTATCATTTTTATTTTTCTTATCTCTGTTATTTGTTCACACCCTTCCACTTCATACTTTGCTATTTCCTACACCTAAAGGTTGCCTGGAAGAAATCGCTGTTTTAGCGATAAGGCCGCCTCTTGTGCATTTTGCTACTACTGTATTTGATACTTTTTTATATTTCTTCCTATGTTGTGTGTGCAATAAAGAGTTTTTATTATTTATTATTATTGGTCTTTGTATTGTACGAAAACAGTGAGTCTAAATTTACAGTTCACACTTACCTTGATTTAAATGCAATGAACTTGCAAAAGCTCCATTGATCATTTACTATTTTACACCTTTAAATCACTAGCCAAAATGACACGAGATTTTAAAATATATGTCCTTGCTGAAGTACTTTCAGCTAAGCATCGCCCACTTTGCATTTTGATTTGAATTGTTGCCAAAAACGAGCACGATTTTGCGTTGATTTTTATTCATGTCAAGATAAATTAGGTCATTTAAAGATTCTTGACTAATAGAGTAGGTAATGTTTTGTTGTAAGTCATCCGCATTCTTATAATGTATACGCTAATAGAAGGTATCGAACATACATATTACATATCTATCTCCTTGCACAAATTTTGTATTATTGTTGGCATGAAAAAATGCGGCGATGAAATAAATTTAAAGCATGAGGTATTTTCAAAGGCAAAATAAACAAAATTTGATTTAATCGATTGAGATAATTTATTCGAGGTATTATTGTAATAGCGTGCAGGCGTGGGCCTCTGGCTTCCGGTGACCTCGCGCCTTTGCACGGCTGCCTTTACACCCCTTACCTCCATTGAATATTACGTTCACGAGGATCATTAATGTCCTACGACGTTCACAAAAATGCTTTCTTTGTTAAAGAAGAATGCTTGTTATAAAAATATTCAGAATTAGAGGCGCTTATCACGATTATTTTTCTTTTTGGAACAGTGTGTTGTCAGAACTAAACATATTATACACAATGTATAATTCTACATCTTTAAATTAGGGCCACTTGCAGTAAAATTATTCATTTGATACAAACGCCAAATAGTATGGTTTGATATATTTGCTAAATATGAGTATAATTTGACATTTAAATTTAGTATAAGTGGCTCTATATAGTATGCTTTTACCAAACAAAGTCAGACGACTTTGCTTACTTAGATATTTCGCCTATGTCTAACAAGTCATATTTAGTTTAGCAGTTAAGGTTAATATATAATAACTTACTAAATATTTTGATTCGGTAATAAGAAATTTTATTTTGGAATATAGCTTTCAGCTGCTGAAAACTAAAATTATATTTACGTATGGACTATGAGGAAAATTTTAACAGTAAACAGATAACAAACTTTATGGTATTAATACAAATGAGTTATGAAGGAAACATGAAAGAGTCGTTACGTTGTCTTGTGTAAATCTGTGACGTAGAAAGCACCTGTATCGGACAAAAATACCCGGTGTCATAGCACACAAAACGCTATATCTACCATCGCAATATGCTAATCCACCGGTTCTATCAGATTGTTCGGAGTACCCACTTTAGCTTTAAATTAGATCTACGATCTACAGTTTTAAATTTGCATTAAAATCCTATATTGAATTTTCATTGCATTAATGTTAGGTACCTATGTATTATAGCCTAATGTACTAAATAAAACTTAAAATCTACCTAATAAACATGTTTTACCTACATATAAAATTTCTCTTTAATTATTTATTTATTTATTTATTTATTAATCCTTTATTACACCAAAAATAAAAATACAATATACAAGAATATATAACTTAACTAATATTAGTGTAAAGGCGGCCTTATCACTAAAGTGATCTCTTCCAGGCAACCTATATTATAAAGAAACTCATAGGGTGACATGGATTATGGTTGGTGCAAAAAAAAAAAAAGAACTAGTCTATAATAAACTTACTTAAACGGTACATACTATAAAGTACACACAAGCTTACATAAATATCGATAAGGACATACATAAATATATATTATAATATATAAGTATAAACAATAAACATATATATTCTACAATAAACTTACATAAACAGGGCTTACATAAATATACATAGACTTATAGCGACAAATAGTAGTGTTTAAGACGACGTTTGAATACTTGCACCGATTCCGACTGGCGAATGTCCTGTGGTAAGGCATTCCATAATATTGCAGCTTTTACTGTATACGAGTCGCCATAGCTTTGGGTGCGACTGACGGGCAATGCTAATTTGTTGTCGGTTTGCGAGCGAAGGTTTAGGGAATGGATAGAACCAAGGAAATTGAACCTTGTTTTAAGATAAGGAGGAGTGTGTTAGTGAAAGAGGATAGTGTATAGGAGAGTAAGGATATGCAAGTTCCGTCGCTGCTTAACGGTGAGCCATTTAAGTTGAGCTCGATATTGAGAAATGTGGTCAAATTTTCTTAAGCCATAGATAAATCGGATTGCCATATTTTGCAAACGTTCCAGTTTATTGAGTTGAATCTGCGACAAGTCGGGATAGCATGTATCGGCATAATCAAGTATAGGAAGGAGAAGGGATTGTGCTAGGGATACTTTAGTTTTTATTGGCAAAAATTTCTTCCACCTCCTCAACCGACCAATTACAGCGAAAAACTTTCTGCTTACCTCCGAAATCTGAGGCACCCAAGATAAGGAATTGTCCATTATAAGGCCTAAATTTTTAACCGAGCTGCGAATTTGCAGTCTAGTCCCGTCGAATAAAATAGGTGAAAGGGATGACATATTAATTTTGGATACTAGCTGACGAGAACCAAATAGGGATACCTGCGACTTACTCGCATATTATCATAGACTGACTATGAAAGTACAAAAATACCTACTAAGTTATTTTATTTAGTTATAACACAACTTCGTCTTTTTTGCACTATATTAGTAATTAATTTTCTTCTGTTGAAATTAGCCTTTACCGTTTTAACTCTGACGGTCCTCTATCTACAGTACCTTTCAGGGGTTGTATCTTTTAGGTAAACCTTAATACCTACATAGATAGTAGGCTTAAACTTAGTCCCTCCACGACCGCGGACACGCCGGCGTTACAGTTAACAATAGATTTCTTAGAAATTTACCTGGAGTTGATAATACAGAATGCGTTATATATATAGTAATTCATATCTAAGTCACAGGAATATTGTAAAAGCCGTGAAATATAAGTCCACTAGTGGTATTATAATTGCATGGACTTTTGTCAATGGTCTCCATTTCCTACAATATCACGGGACAATTTTAAGTTACTACAATATTATCAAGATCACTAGTAAATTTAAATATAATATTATTAGTGAAATTATAATTTCACGGCTTTTACAACACCCTGCGACATCTATTTATAACAGATCAAATCAGTTCTGAAAAATAACAAAAAATACGCACAGGAGAACTTGACCCATACAGTATACCTACGATTTTTTTGTGTTTGCTCTTTAAAAAATCAGTAATACAAACTGATGTCAAACTTTGTACGATTATAGTACAAGTTCTAAAGCAGACAAACAGACAGACAGACCGACGAACAGATAGACGGACGGATGGTCGGACGGTCGGACGGACGAACGGACAGACAGACAGACAGACGAAAATTCTAAAAGCTACAGATTCGGCTTCTGCATCGATAGTAATGACTATTTCAATAAGATTTTTCATAAAAATATTTAATTTACAGATTCGACTTCGAATTTTATTATAAGTATAGATTACTTAACTTTCCTTCATACACTTATTACGAAGGAGGTCACTTGGCTGATGTTTTGATACTTGTGATGTAGACTAACTAGTCGTATATTTTGATTTATCTATACAATTAATACGTGGAGAGAAAACTTTGTACCTCTTTTTAAGCATATTCCATGTACGGAGGAGTATGAGCTTTGGCATTATTAAAGTTTATACAGAGAAAGACTGCAGAAAGCAGAAATTAATTGACTTTCTTTTATCCGCGAATCCGCTCGCGCATTTTATTTATATATAATTACTTCACTGCTAAAAGATGTAGCATGATGTTAGTTATCTTTCATCAATATTACTTATACGAGTACTTACATAATATAGTACTTACATCTATATAAATACTGTAGTACTTACATCTATATAACTTTGAAAAAAGAACCTCAATATGGATGAAACTTAATGAATTATGGTTGATTTTCAACCACGGAGCGATCACTAGTATAATCTCATATATAAAATTGTCGTGTCACAGTATATGTTACAAGACTCCTGCGAAGCGGCTTGATCGATTCTTATGAAATTTTGTGTGTAGGTATATTCAGTAGGTCTGAGAATAGGACGTTCACAACAACAACAACAAAAACGTATTTTTCATACCTCTAAGTGATAAGGCCACCACCAGGGTGGACCCTAGAGACGAACGCGAGCGGTGAGTCGCTAGTTACATATATAAATATATTTTCTTAATTTAATGAACAAAAGTCGTTATGGAATTTTTAGATTTGCGGTAATGGACAAGGTTAGAAGACTGTGCACAGTTAAACGTAAACGTAAATAAAAGTTTAATAACGACGGCGAGTTGTGTAAAAGATCAAAGAAATAGTAAAGAAAAGACATCACACATATGTACCTAACTATTAAGCTTTTGTATCAGATTGACAAAGGAACTAAAATTAGAACTAACGAACTAACGAAATTTGTTTTAATTTTGTTGCTCCATATCACATAGACATATTTTCTCGGAAATAAAAATTAAAAATACTATTTAGTACAATAACTATTCCATGACCGTAGACTAAGGTTCTATTATATATATACGTACATAATATGTTTCCCTTCGCATTCTTCAATTCGAGGGAAGCCTGTGTGTCCAACAGTAGGATGTTTCATGTTAAAAATGGCTGAATGCAATTATTCCATACCGTTCTCTGTGCAATAAATAGTATTTTCCAACAAAAAAAGAATTTTCCGGGTTTCATTTTAATTGACAATCACCCCGATGGCCCGATGACGCCGATGCAGGTTGCTGGTGATATACCTACATATATACGTATTACGTATACATATGCGCAAAGAAAATTGAGCTTTTTATACTAAAAGAAATTATATAACAGAGTATTATAAGATAATTATTACGTCAAATTAAAATATTAATACTTTACTAGGTATAATTAATTATATTTGTTTATACATATTATGTAAAATAAGATACCTACTAAACGAAGGGTTCAAAAAATGCACTTAGGTATATTTTCAAGACAATTTCCGAAATTTAAGAACAATTAACACGCTGCGGAAAGCTGCAAACTTTGTGTAAACAATGGATGTCGCATTTTCATAAAGCGAGTGCAACCTCGAGTGATCGTGTAAAATAGATAAACCAACAGAGTAGCACGTAGGTACATTTACAATGTGTCAAAGTTAAAAATAACTAAAAGCAGTGCCAGGGCTTTCGACGTCATGTCTATAATGACTTCCCTCTTACCGTTAATTAACATTTAACGACACTAACCCTTACACTGACTGGCGCATTAAGGACAAAGATTAGGCACATGTATGATGTAGGCGCCTTCCTACATGCCTTTAGCATTAGTTTTGGAAATAAAATGTTACATATTAAAATCTGAAAACTAATGTTGTGTATATATAGTGTGAGAAAAGTAAAAGTAATTTACGAGCCGTAAAAAATCTGTGTTCATTTTATTTATCGTTTTTCTTAAACATATTCAAGCTGAATAGTATTTTCATCCCACGTAACCATATTTTCATTTAAGTACACAGTTCTGATTTTTTTCATTAAATCAATTTTTACCTACTTTTTAACCGACTTACAAAAAGCGGAGGTTCTCAATTCGTCGGATTATTTTTTTTTTATGTTCACCGATTTGGTTTTTTTTGTTTCAAAGGGTATAACTTCAAATTTTATCGAAATCAGTCTAGCTTTTTTTAAAAAAATCACCAATAAATATTTTTTTAAAATAAATTATTTAATCGAATATGTTATTAAAAAACTTTCTTACAAATTACCTGCGTTTACGTCTACACTAAAAATGAAAAAATTAAACCTTAAAAAAAATACGACTTCCAGGCACTAAACTGATTCGTCGTTTTTATTTAGGTAAATACCTAATCAGATATTTTTAAAGTAGGTGCCAGCCTACAATATTTTAAGATATGAATATCTAATGGGTAAATATGTATTTTACGTATCGAAATATATTAGATTTGCTTTGCATCGGCTGCCACCGACTTCAAAAATATCTGATTAGGTATCTATTCTAAATGAAAGCCTCCGTTTAGTTATTTTTTATATTTTAGTGTCTGGAAGTCGGTTTTTTTTAATTTTTATAGTAAACTATCTTTAAGCTAGTGTAATTTTAATTATGGTATTTGTAATCATTAATATACGTATGATAATGGGCTATTAAGAAATAAAGGATAGCACTAACTCCCTTGTAACGTTTTCTCGCGTTACTTCGTAATGTGCTCCTTGATAATAATAGCCGAAGAGATAAAATATACATTAGTTAAAGCACGAGGAGATTACGATCCTCGCTCATCAAGTAAACTGTTTTGTTGCAGGAAATGGTCTAATAGATGAGAATGAGTTCATGCAATGGGTGACGAAAATACAAGCATTGCAAGGTCTAGATGTTACTACGAGTGGAGGGGATTCGGAAGAAGAAATAACGAGAGATTTATTAGCAGCATTCAAGTGAGTCAAGTGATTATAAACTATAGTTTAAGTTTTCATGTGCCTATAATTTTATATTACTGCCTACATCTAATGACGAACTGAAATGCTCAAACACCGGGTGCTTTAAAATAGATTAAAATACATACTATAATAAAAAGTAAGTTCTAAAACTAAAACCCGGCCACTGAAAAATGTCTCTAAAAAGTATGAAATAAAAAAAATATTCTCATCTGAAATTTTTATCTATAAACTATTCAATATTTAACATCTATTAAATAAGCAACTTACACGTAATATATTTTAATGTATTTATTTAATATACATAATATATTCATAGTGATGTTCAAAGGATATCCGTGGTCATAGTTATGCCACCTTGCCCTACAGCTTATGATCGCTTACTAAGTTGTTAGAGTGTATTGTTTTGTCAGAGTAGGTGGTATGTTTTGGAGGTCTGGTTCCGCGCTTGATTACTACCTCCAATTTTAATCAAATAAAGATATTAATCTTGTGTCTATAAATAGATAAATCTTAATTCAAAGCCCGGGGTGTCTAATTTAAAATACTATCTTATTATTTATTCATGTGGTAATCATATGTGCAATTCCAGAGTGTTCGACCGCGACGACAACGGGTACATAACGCGGGACGAGCTGCGGTCCGCGCTGGAAATGATCGGCGAGCCCGTCACCGACGCGCAGCTCAACCAGGTGCTCGCGCTCGGCGACATCGACCACGATGGACGCATCGACTATGAAGGTACGCTTCGCTGCGCTTGTATTCAGCTCTTTTTAACGTCTTAACGTCCCACTGCTGGGCTCGGGCCTCCCTTCAATACGAAGGGGACCAGGCCATAGTCCACCACGCTGGCCAAGTGCGGGTTGGCGGACTTCATATGTCTTTCGAAAACTTGCTAGGTTCTCTCAGACATGCAGGTTTTCTCACGAGGTTTCCCTTTACCGTAAGACAAGTGGTAATAATGTTAGAAATGATTCGCATATGAAAATATCAGATTTGAACCCGCTTCACTCGGTTTCCGAAGCGAGCGCGTTACCACTGGGCTACCACTGCCTATTTTAAATAGGTTATTTAATAATTAGGAATCAATAAGTTTTATATAAATAATAATAAAATAATATGTTGAAAAACACCATTCAAGAATCTTACTAATAGATATTAAAAATAAGAAGCAAGAAAAAACAGACAGTAAAGAATAGAAACATTAAAAGAATAACATGTGTTAGATATTATTATTAAGTATAGTGTTATGTAATCTGTATTACCTTCTAGTTACTGTTATTCAATAATAGGTATATAGAAAAAAATTAAGAGGGTGAAATTATAAATCAAAGCAATTAACGGTTAATTTTTACTGGTGGTAGGACTCTGTAAAGCCTGAGGAGTCCGACTGGATGGGTTCCACTCCCTTATCTATTTCTCCCGCCAAACAATAATGATTACATTGTTGCGTTCCGGTTTGAAGGATAAGGTAACCACCGCAATTACAGGCAAGAGGCATATCATCTTAGTCCTCACAGTGATAACGCGTACCTGCGGTTCTGCATTTTTGTAACATAAAACCTAAGTGCATGAACCGTAGGTGTTATGGGCGACACGTACTGCTTTCCATCAGGTGGTCTGTCTGTTCGTTTATCACTGAACACAATAAAAATAAAAGAAAAATAACGAAAATTGCTAAATAAATATTAACGTACAATTAGAAGTAAATATGATTTAGGCTGTTAGAAATATTTAAAGTTTAAACAAAAAAAAAACAAATATTCTTTTGCACTTTTGATGTGATGTACATACGTTTGTTACTCTTTCACGCAAACTGCTGAACAGATTTTGATGCAACTTTTCAGTAAGTAAGCTTATATACTAAACATCAGTGTAACACGTAGGCTATAATTTATAAATAATATATGGTATACATAATTGGAGTAGGTTGGTGGAGCTGAGGGAAAACTTTAGCATTTTTATATTACCTATGCTTAACACGGAAGATATTATATTTCTCTTTCGTATTGTCTAAACATATCCAATATTTATGAAAAGTTTGGCCACTTTTGCGCTGACAGCCTAAAATACGTGTGTAAACCTGCCCTCAGATTAATATCTTGTTATAGACTTGCTATATTGTACTCTTTTTTGTTTCAGAGTTTGTGAAGATGCTTTTGTAACGTACCTCGAAGAAAAGAAAGACCTCACTAGTTATATTGGTAGGTGATTGACGACTTTTGTCGTCAATATCGCAGAGTAGGTTTGTTAGGTGTGTAGTTAATATGAATATTGTCCAAGGAGTGACTTAGGCTAATTTATTTATAGATTTTTACAGATTATCTAAATAATAGTAACCATAGATGTAAAATGCTTCATGTATCACGCGTAGATGTATAAACATAGCCGCAATTTTGTATACAGGGCGCCAAATAGATGAAATTGTGTGATAAAATAAAATGTATTTAATAAATTTCTATTTTTATTGAAGAACATAGATGATAGAATATGTTCTATTAACTTGGCTTTTCTATTGTTATTTCAAGGAAACTTAACACCCTATATATTTATTAATTAATAAGATAAAGTTAACCAAGCTTCATTTTATCTGGTCATTATTTATAAACATTACATTTGCCAAAGTATCGCATCGCTATCTAATTACTTTAGATTTCCAAATTGTCTGAGGATTTTAAAAACCTATTCTTGGATGAATTTGTATACATGCTGTACTTAATAATGAATCATTTGTTTAGTCAGCGCAAGTAATATTTTGTATATGTATTAAATTTGGCATAAGATAAGAACTCAACAGCTGTAAACTGAAGGCTACTTTAGGTTTAAAAAATATAAAATACAATATTATTTATCTATTAGGTATATTTAATATGGTGTCATAAAATATTGAATTTTATGGTTGTGAAAGATAATTTATATCAGAAGAGTTGTACATATAACATCGCTACACTATTTATTTACATATATTGTTTATTGTTCGACATGAACACAAAGTGCCCACATCTTTATATACAATACGTAGGTATACCTATTTATTAATATGCTTGTTGTGTGAAAGCGATTGCAAAAGTGAACTTGTTATATTTATTATTTCCAATGAAAATTTTTGCTTCAGTTCATAATTTATTAAAAATGTTCACATTTGCAGTAGTTTTACAAATATCGCCTTTGTAAGGCATGTGATGTGGATTATACGTGATCAAATAAATCATTAATTTGTTATTTTATTTACTAAAAGTGGTTTTTTTTCAACTTCTTTCGATAAAAATGACAATACATATCAAATGTATGCCTTGAAAATATATGCTTAACTGTTTTGAAGCCTTAAAATTTCCCTAACGCCAAGCTTAAAAGCTTCCTGACTAGAGCTTAAGAAATGGATATTTGAGCTTTGTAAGTTTTGTAGTATTGGACTACTTCTCGGTACAATCTTTATTTCAGATTTTTTACCTTTAGGACCAAGGACTATCATTATCGAAGGACCATTTTCGTCTAGCAGCACTATTCATCATCTCACACACGACAAGCCCTATAAAACCTAAATTTTGATTTGTTTAATTAAAGAAAAAGATGCAAAGTCAATAAGAATCATTTGCGCTGTGCAGTAACAAATCCCACTGCCTATGGAATAAAAGACATATACACTACACTACACTTGACCCTTTGCTTAATATAATTTTCTACGTTTAACATTATATACTAGCCATACTCGCGGCTTCGCTCGCGTTCAAACTACTAAAAAAACAAATTCTGACACACCGACAGCAGCGCCACCTACCGGGTCCAATTGTGTTTTCAAACCATCCAGGAGCCTATTGAAATATACATACAAATTATCATCCAAATCGGTCCAGCCTTTTAGGAGGAGGAAGGTGACATACACACGTACAGAAGAATTGGGACATTCATCACACAAATGAATGCCCCCAGCGGGACTCGAACCCGCGACCGCTGGTTCAATAAGTAGGGTTACTACAAACTGAGCTAAACCTGTCGTCAAAATATATATATTAATATGTGTAATATACGGAAATTTAACTGCCTCGATGGTGTAGTGGCTAGCATGTACGGCTGCACACCCGGAGGTCCTGGGTTCGAGTCCCGGGTAGGGCCAAGTTTAGTTACTGAGTCTTTCTGTATAGTAAGCCTCAGTAATAACCCGGAGTTGGGAAGTTGGTGGTGTTTCACCCCCGTGCCTCGGAGAGCACGTAAAGTCGTCGGTCCTGCGCCTTAACTCTCACCGGTCGTGTCGAGTAGTCGTCCCACCGGAGTATGAGAGTGACAGGAATAGAGAGTGCACTTGTGTCTGTGCGTACACTTGTGCACTATAATATCTCCTGCGCGGTTGGCTCGTCTCAATGAGATTGGCCGCCATGGCCGAAATCGGTCAGGAGAACATCATCACATATGGAAATTTATTTTGGCCTAGTGACTAATTTTATCAGTGCATAGTATAATATCATTAAATATATATCTTAATAATAATATGCCTTTTTTAGTGTATTAAACATAAATATAGAATTTAAAATTGTCTAAAATATGGCCTTCATAGCATTAGGGAAAAAAGGAGATTGCAAATTCTCTCAACAAAGTAATACAATATCCGTGCCTTTCGCTAACTCGGTCAACCTTAAATAGTTAAGTACATTGTATTTCCTTAGGGTTAAAATATTTGCCTTTGAAAAAACATTTTCTGACTTTTGTATAAAAAGTTAGCTAAAACGAGGAATATTTACAAATAGATATAGGAAATACTTTCACGTTTATAATAATGTTAGGTTTATTATTATAACGTTTATTTAAAATTAAATAATTTAGGTTACAAATTTAAAATTAATTACTAAGCAGGATGTAGGTGGAACTGTCATTTAAGATTAAGAACACTATCACACATATAAGATTAAGAATACTTGAATAGTACACATTGACCAATCGTTGATTTTCTTACATCAAATAGTTTGATTGATCATTCTTCGTTTGCTAAAAATTTTCCGATGAAGTCGCATCGTTTTGGTTCATAAGTCGGATGCCAATGAGCCATGATATGGCCCTTCTGTTGCCACTGATGTGTTATCTCCTTTAAGTTTATATATCCCTAACAAAATAAATTCATATTTAAGTAAGTGCCTACATAATTTTTATAGTAGGTATGTATAACAATAAAAAATAATATCGTCCAACTTTATACCACATTCTTAAGAAACATTAGGAATGTTCTATTAACAAAAAAAACTTACTAAGATTTTTTTTGTTTTAAGTGCTTTTTGAGTTTCACACTTTGGCTGTTCAACAGAATTGGGTAAAATTCAGAAAAGAGTAGCTTATTGCTGGATTAACACTTTGCTTCTTTTTATCAAAGTATGTACATACTTTCTATTTATGAAGCGAAATTCAACTTACATTTTTAAAAGGTTATGAACATAATATATTATTTTATTATTAATAATATATTATAGGTAATTGTTAATATTATTATAACAAAATATAGATATCTTGTTTCCATTCAGCTTTCAACTGAATACAAAACAAGATAAAAATAAAGCAACATTAAAGTGCAGTTTTGAAGCTGTGTTCCTTTTGTATTCGACTAGCGACTCACCCTCGCTTCGTCCCATTACAAACCTTCATCCCCATTATCACCCCCTTAAGGGACGATTTCCGGGATAAAAAGTACTTATCCTATGTCCTTCCCACGGTCTAAAACTATCTTCTTACCAAATTTCATCTAAATCGGTTTAGTAGATCCAGACCTTATCCCCTATAACATCACAAACTTACAAACTTTACGTCTTTATAATATTAATGTAGATATATAATATTAAATAGATATTATGTATAAGGAACTACATTAGAAGTACCTACAGATTACAGTAGATACTGTAATCTGTAGGTTCTGTACCTACTACATTAAATTAGATTGTCTTACCTTTATGACTAATACGTCTATAACTCGCAAGTCCGTTACACACGCATTCCGATAAAAATATTCTCGCAACTTCATTCGACAGTCTCGCTCGCTTTTCGGAATATCAAAGTGTTTTACTATGAAAAATATTAAAATACGTTAATTATTAATTTATATATTATTTAATATTTATTATTATTATAAATAGTATGATTAGCGTATATATTAGGATAGACTATTATTAGGATAGGCTGGGCTTAATGCACAGAAATCTTAATAATAAGCTAATAGAAGTGGCATAGACGCGTGACCTTGTCGCCGCGCATGTGACTCGTAGGTCACAAGCGCGTGTAAAGCGTTTTTTGCGGTAACTAGTGTTATTTGAGACACGGAGAGGTAAACATGGTGTTTTGCAGCATATCCAACTGCGGAAATTCTTCCACAATTTGTAACTTTACAAATAAAGGGATAACATTTCATATATAAGTACTTAATTTTTGAAATAATGTCGTTTTTAAGAAATATAGCCAAATCAAATGTTTTCACCACCACTACTACGATTATCGCAGGAAAACGTTTTTTTTTCAATTCAATAACCATTACCACTTAAGCTTGTTCATGTCTACTATTACAACTGCTAAAAGCAGCAATGAAATAATAGTCATGCGTAAAGAACAATATCGTCGCGTACGTAAATTCCAAGGACACGCCGCATAAGTTGACCGCGAATTAGTGACGTGCCACCACTATTTTTTATCGAAAATTTATTACGTTTGGCTTAATATTTTTCGTTAAATATTTAATTGTTACATCTCATTATGTATGTTTTCTTTCTGTCTGAATAATTTATAAAAAGTCATCAATCAACGATTATCTGTAAATTCGTACTTTTAAACTACTCTTTCATTCAGAAAATTATTAGGAGGTAGGCTTATTATTGTTATGTATATGGGTAAGTCAAAAACAGTATGCGTTGAATATCCTTGTATCGTTGACATGTTCCGCATTTACCAAATTTTTTTTTTTGATTTGATTTGATTGAGTAAATAATTCTAAGGGCGAGTTGTTTGATAAACATAACATAGAAATTCTATAAAAAAAATTAAGTCATTGTAACAAATAGTTTGCATAGCTTTTGTATAATAATAATAATAATTATTATTATTATTGCAAAGGTATACACCCAATTTAGAATATAATAACATATATGTAGTTATACAAGTCAATTTTTATATCACTTATGCATATATATGCAAGTCAATAAAAACATTATAAAAACAAAATTCAGTCAGACTCTTCATTAAATTAAACTAGAATTAAAAACAATATATCGCTGTTGAGTATATAGTAGCTGTTGAGTGTATAACTATATAATAATAAAAAAAATTACTTACTTTTAACGTTTTATTGTATTCCCTTTATGAAAATAAATAAATCGTCTAAAATCGCGTCGAGGAATGAAACATAAAACACTTTCAATAAATTAGTTACCTATTGTTGCACGACTCAACGGAAAATTATCGACATGAGCATTATGCGCTTTGTGCTGCACTAGAAGTGAGCGCGCGATATCATTCTGTGCTTTTCGCACACGTTTATTATTGGTCACAGGGATCACGGGTTCTGAGATTATGCGTTTTTAGAAAATATTGCGTAATGTCATCGCTTAAAGTTTAATTTTTGTTGCAACAATGCAAAATGCATGTGTGAGCGATAGTGTGTATTTATTGTTTGTCAATGTGTTGGTAGCTGCAAGCCGGCGACACGCGTCTCAGTACTAAAAGACCGCAATGGCATTTCTATTACCTTATTATTAAGATTTCTGTGGCTTAATGCGTTTTCTTGAAATAATAGTTTAACTTTAACGTTATTATTTAGTTCAAAATTTATCAATAGATGGCGCTGCCTAAAAGTAAAAGTACTAACACACATGGAGAAAATATTTAAAAAAATGAGCTTATTTAAAAGTATATATAAGATCACCCGCGGCTTCTTCCGTACGAACTACCAGTTAGAAATTACAAAGAAGTGCATCTTGAAATAAAATTTTCTCTATTTAAAAAAAACGCGTGCTTAAAACCTTAATTGTGATAAAATTAAGATTAATCTCAACCTATGTGATAATTTAAGCAGCAGTTTTAACGATGCGTTACTAGTAAGGTCGACAATTATAGTAAATGTATTTTTAGGGGACAATAACTTATTAGTATTTTAACAATGCTATGATACAATCGTTTTGAAAGTATCACTGGATAGCTTTTGGAGCGGGAGCAAGCTAATGCTAGTATGTATATCATATTCATGATTTCATGACCATCCGTAAATAACATTATCTACTTGGTGTGTTTATTTGAAAATATTAGTATTTCTGATTTGATATTTTAGCAATGTTTTTTTCAATCTTCTAGCGATTAAAACCTTTATAAATCTAGCTATAGCTTAATCTATAATAATATTTTTTAAAAGGAAACAGGAACTCCCGAGATGTGCAATAATAAAAGAAAGTACCTACATAATATGTATAGAGACCCAAAGTCAACGTGTCGCTAACCAGTGAGCAAAAGCTAACATGAAATAATTAATATTACGAAGCCACCGGCTCGGTTGTATCTCAAGATTGCTTGTGCTTGCACAAATGAGTTTCAAGGCGCATATCAATGCTGTCGCCTCTAAAAAAACCTATCTGGAACATCCATATTATACAAAAATATCAAAATAAACCGTGGAATGGAAATAAAATACACGTAGGTAGCACAATTTTTCAGACTGCTTTTGATTTTTTAGTCAGCAATATGTTGAACAAATTCATCCCCAAATCAGGCCCCCTCGCTTCGCTACTACGAGGGGTAAGTGGTAACCTACGCGCAAATGTAATTCTGGTATTTCAGAATTACTTTAGCAAAATGGCGGTATGGTTTACCTACAAAACTACTAAGAAAATTTCATGTATATGCATTTAGTAATACTTTACCAATATAGGGAATGTATCGGTAATATGCCCTGTATAAACCCATAACGCGTTTATGAGTTTCACAATAATCAGTTGACAAAATAGGCTTAGCAATTTTGTAGCCAGCTCTTACTGTTTCACGAGCAGACATAATTTTTCTAAAAACAGTCCGTTTAATTCTAGAACTAATCAGTTATATAATAAAGTGAAAATAATAAAACAATGTTTTCTAGCGTGTTTTGTATAACTATACATGGTTGTTAGACGTTGTCAAGTTTAACTTTATTTTAAAAAGGTTTTATTTATAAGCAAAAGAAAAAAATGTAAAATACTTCATACTCTACGATTTTTAATTTTAAGATTTTTCAGAACAAATTCAGATTTTAATATAGAGTAACTCGTATCCTACTGGATACTTCGTAAAAAATAAATTATAGCTAAGTCAATTCAATAAATGAGGCAATGTTTATTATAGCTTATATGAATGCTAAATAAATCTAACTATAAAACGGGTAAGGGTATATCCAAATATAATATAGTTTAGATAAGTATAATCCCATCAAAAACATATTACTGTAAAAATATTGCAAGTCTCGCAACGCATCTCTCTACCGCAAAAAGCTATGAGATATAATGTAAAACCAAGTCGGTTAATTTATTCATTACCTATCTATGGAAGCATCTATCCGACAACTTTGTCATAAATCGTTACCGAATTAGTTAAGTTACAACATTTTATAGTGACCGTATTAATATTAGATATATTTATTTCTTTAATTAATAGAGTGACTTGGCCATCGCACGGAAACATAATCACATAAGAGTCGACTAGTTTAAATAGTCCTAATTAAAAATACCATGACCAAGGTGGACGGACGACTTGGTCAAAGTCGCTGGAGCCCACTGGATGCGGATGGCACAAGACTGGTTGTCGTGGAAATTTTTGGGGGAGGCCTATGCCCAGCTGTGGACGTGTTTGGGCTGAAATGAACGGAACATAGTACTAGCGGGTCAAATTGATGCATACACTAACAATACATAAATAATGCACTCAGAACGTTAATATTAGGTAAATTTTGTTATTTGTAGGTTCTGTTATCATGTGCGATGGCCAAGTCATTCTATTAATTAAAGAAATAAATATATCTAATATTAATACGGTCACTATAAAATGTTGTAACTTAACTAATTCGGTAACGATTTATGACAAAGTTGTCGGATAGATGCTTCCATAGATAGGTAATGAATAAATTAACCGACTTGGTTTTACATTATATCTCATAGCTTTTTGCGGTAGAGAGATGCGTTGCGAGACTTGCAATATTTTTACAGTATGTTTTTGATGGGATCTCATTTCTTTTTGTAAATATATCTTCTTTTTCCCTTTTCTTGTACTATTTCTTGTGTGTCAGCTAAGGACTTCTTAAAAGCCCACTCCCTGTCTCTGTGGGCTTTTTTTCAGAGGCTTTGATATAACAAATTTTGACAAGTCTGGATGATAAAAAATCTAAGTCTATTGTATTCGGAAATTGCGGATTCCTAGGCTTCATTACTACTATCTTATGCATTAAGTATAAATATGTATAGTTAATTTAATGAATATTTTAATTTCATTGTTGACCCTAAATACCTACCCCGATACTGATATTGAACTTACGTAAGTTTAATAAAACGTGTAGATTTATGTGTCTATCTGCGGCATCGTAGGTAAATCCCGAAGGTTGTTATACTTAATTATTATTGCTTGTTCAGTCAATTTTGATGCAGTTTAATAGAAAAGTGAGGTTGCCAACTCATTTCATTCACTGATTCCATTGGCCATTTTAAAAGTAATTTTCGAAGAGATTGATATTTAATGACCTCTATATTCCATGTTCTATTAGGTGTGTACAGTTACGAGCAATGAAATGTTAACAAGTTTTCTAATTCAAATCAACATCATACTTTATAAAAGAAAATATACGAGCTTTGTTTCAAAATATGTTGGGACAGTAACACACAGAACCATCTAGTTCCATGGTAAGCTACGAGGCTTGTGTTATGGATACTAGATAGTTGATACACTACACATATATAACTTTAAATACATACATATTATAAATATAAACGCCATGACTGGAGTACAAACTTAGTCATCACACAAATGAATGCCCCCAGCGGGACTCGAACCCGCGACCGCCGGCACAGAAAGTAGGGCCGGGCCACTACAAACTGAGCCAAACGTGTCGTCAAAAATTAAGTAATCGTCAAGTTTTGTCGTAATTAGGTATATATTTTAATAAATTCATTATAAATAACAGGTAATCGAATATTAGTTGGTAATACACTATACACGCTTCACGTTGTATTTATGTACCCATTTGTATATGCATAAAAATGTATACAGCTACTGAAAACGCTTGAAATAATATTTTCACATTTGAATAATATTTTTCTAATGTATACAATAGTTGCAATATCAATATTAATAAATAAATAGACGAATCGTGATTAGGTTAGTAATTACGAGGGAACATAGGATCGAACATACAAACATACATACAGGTTAAACACTAACCTAACCTCCTTTTACATTGCAAGTGACGACAATTATATGTATGAACTGCACAAGTAACTTTGTAATCCCATATATCGCATATCTATTTGTATAGGATTACAAAGTTACTGATGCAGTTTGTTGTATATCTCGAAAACAGGATTGAAATTGCGTGATGTTTGAATTTTTCCTTGGGTTATAGAGTAAACACGAGTTGTGCTCAAAATTTGAAGCTTCTATGTCTGCTAGAAGTACCTTAGAATTTTGATGATCGGTGAGTGAGTGAGTGACGATATTAACGAATTTTGATCTGCAACAGTTCATAAACTACTGGTTCAAATTGAATGTAATTTGGAAATGTACCTAGTTTTATTATGTTCTCTTAGTCACTCAAAATTCAAGCTTCTAGCTTTATCCATAACGAAGTTATGGGGGGGTGGAAAATGCTCTCAATCCCTTCGAGAAAAGGATGGTACTGCCGTGCCCTTTTTTGCTCGACTTGGCGGGGGCACTGCCGTGCCCCCCGATATGCACTACATATCATGTGGTACAAATAATACTCTCATATTACTTTCTTAGATTAACGCGAATATTTGACATTTTAAATAAAACTATATTTTTTAATTTGTTCATGGATTTATTTTGTTTGGTTCCCGATGTTTTGAATGCCGAATCATGAAAAAATTAAAATAAAAATTTTGTCAAAAAAATTTTTTAGGGTGGACTACCCTTATCACTTAGGGGTATGAAAAATAGTTAACGTCCTATTCTCAGACCTACTGAATATACCTACACACAAAATTTCATTAGAATCAGTCAAGCTGTTTCAGAGTTTTGTTACAAATACTGTGACATGAGAATTTTATATATGTATTAGATTCATGTCCTTCTTTAGAAAACAAGGTCATGTATATAGGCTATAGGCTAAACATACATAATATGGGCTATCCCTATTTAAAAACTCCAATAGGATCCCATCAAAAGCGACAAAAGCCACATAGAAACCAATACATATTTATTGGTTCCTATGTGGCTTTTGTCGCTTTTGATGGGATTTTATTGGTGTTTTTCAACAGGGATGCTACAAGTCAGTGACTAGATAGATAAATACTTTACTGCACACACAAGAGTATAGAAGATGAAAAGAAAAATAAGAAAAAGGTGTGCAAAGGCAGTCTTATTGCTATGAGCAACCTCTTGCAGACAACCATTGGTGAAAAGATTAGTGGAAATGGAGATGGGACAGTACAATACTAAATAGTAAATACAAGTCAGTAATCTATACTTATTATAAAAATAAGTCCCCCGGCCGCGTCTTTCTGTCCTCCTGTCTGTCCTCCTGTCTGTCTGTACGCGATAAACTCGAAAACTACTGAACGGATTTTTATACGGTTTTCAACAATAGAAAGAGTAATTCTTGAGGAAGGTTTAGGTATATAATTTATTATGCTTTTATGTAAATTAGCTGAAATACGGCGACAAATGTTGAAGAGGTCGCAAAAAATCTCGCCAAATGGGAACTTTTCACGCGAACGCCGCGTAAACTAGCAAAGATACAGTTAAGTAATGTACTAGAGAATTCAAAATCTATAAAAATGCTACAAAAAAGTCCGCGATAGCATATCTCTATCTCTTACGGTTGACTTACAATAACCACTTTTATGTTAACATTTTTAATTAAAAACATTACGTTATTTTCAAAGTTATTTTCTTTAGTTCGGTATTAATCCTTATCCAAATGAATATTTTAGTTAGCTTAGTCATTTAATGCAGATTAAAATTGCTCTTTACACTAAATCAATCAGATGAATAGTTTTTGAGATATCGTTGTTAGAAGTAATTAGTAGCGAAACATTTTTAATGCTTGGCGAGCATTGAGATGCCTACGGCGAGTCCATCCCCTCTGCCCCGCATCGCTCGACCGCCTGCTCAAGCTATATAAACCGGGCGATGTAGCGCGCGATCCTAGGATACTTTTTACCGCGGGAAAATATCTTATTTCTGAGGAAAAATACAAAAACTGCAATGTAAGAGTATACTAATATGTAACACCTAAGAATTTAGTTTTTGGTCATCTGAACGCGGGCGGAGCCGCGGGCAATGCTAGTTGGTAATAAAACTGATTATTAAGTAATTAATTGATTTTACTATTCCATATTTTCTATAAAATAATTATACTTTATTTATTACTGATTCAATCAAGGCCAGAAAAGAATTTGGATAAGAAATCTTTAGGCTTTGGCTCTTCGGTAGGTTTGAAATATACCATAATGTGACCTTTTTGTTTCCAGATTTCCACTGCTTCTTTGAGTTCCATTTGACCCTACAAAATATAGTATATTAATTAATAATACTAAACACAATATGCATAAGTGACATTTTTGTTTCATATAAAAAAATTAACATTTTTAGTATAAAAGGCAAAGAAATTTTCACATTAGTATTTAAAAAGTTTCTGCCCACTATTTAGTTCTACAACAAAATGGGTTGGAAATGTGACAGTAATAAATAAATGACTTGTATACCTTAATGACTAGCATATCAATAACTCTGATATCAGTGACATCTTTGTTTTTTTGGAAAATCTCCTTTAGTTTAGCACGGCATTGATTTTCTGATTTTGGGATATCATAATCCTTAACTGAAACAGTGACATAAAATTTTATTTCACACAAGCAATTATTTGAACAAATGTTTGACATTAATTAACATACATTATTACTAATATAATAATCGGATAAACTAAATTAACTATAAAATTATATTGACAAAAATTAATATTTATGGATTAAGTGTAACAATTTAAATAATATTGGCAAATTAAATAAATTGATGACATAACAGGTTACAAACCTATGTAAGGAATTTGACGATACCATGCTTTGTACAGGTTTAAAACGCGTAATCTAGCCTCTGCTTGGCTTAATGATAGCACAGGCCTTACATTTTTCGTACCAACTTGAATGGCTTGTCTAGCAGCCATTGTTATTTAATATATTTTCCAATTCTTAATCGATCACCATAAAGTATATTGTCGATCACTTATATTTTGATAAAATTTGTGACAGTTGACATTAGACTGTAGACACTAGAAAAGTGACAAAAGTGAAATGACCACAGATTAAAGAGACTACAACAATGACAATAGCTGTAGCATAGAGCGAATTATTTATTTTTAAATTGTTTAAAAAAAACAGAAAAAGTGTAAGAGCATGAAATTAAAATACTTAAAAAAAGTGTGCCTTAAATACATGTAACAGTACAATATTAAAATGGTACTAGTTCCAATTTACAGTTATTTAGTTCCAATGCTACGATCAAAATACTGTTTCATTCAAAGTACTGTTTGTTTACATTTGTGTTGAACATTTATTGGAAATATGTTATAAATTGCCGATGCACAGATCTTCAATAAATTCCTTAGTTTATACGTAGAGTCATGAGTCTATTGCCGTTTTTCTGATTGCAGTGTCCGATCTCTTCTACGTTGTTACAGATTTTTTTACTAGCCAATATTATTTATTACAACTATATGCCACACAATTTTCCGGATTAATCAAGCAATATCTGGTTTTATTATTGAAAATCCATACGCTACGTTACTCGGAGATATGATTTAACAAGGATAAGGAGAAATAAATTATATCATTTACATAAGTTTACTTAAAGCAAAATAATGTGTACAATGAAGAATATCATAAATTTTTGATTTATATCACTCTATGAAAAATGAAAAAATACCTGTAATATTGTGATACATCTTTCGATTACGAGTTTCCGAGATATTTCATTGTTTAGTGAGCGTGCGATGACTCGGGTCATCGGCCTCTATGGCGTCATTTTACAACGATCAGTCAGTGCCTGCTCTGCTTTCGACCTGTGTGTGTGAAGTTTGCATCGAAAATTGATAAAAATGTCGAATCCAGAAACTAGAAAATAATAAAATACATTAAAGTGCACTTATGCACCGTCAAAATAAAGAAGAAATTAATATGAGAGGTCTTTTATCTTAGCTTAATTAAAAAGTATCTATACTTATTATAAAAATAAGTCCCCCGGCCGCGTCTTTCTGTCCTCCTGTCTGTCCTCCTGTCTGTCCTCCTGTCTGTCTGAACGCGATAAACTCGAAAACTACTGAACGGATTTTTATACGGTTTTCAACAATAGAAAGAGTAATTCTTGAGGAAGGTTTAGGTATATAATTTATTATGCTTTTATGTAAATTAGCTGAAATACGGCGACAAATGTTGAAGAGGTCGCAAAAAATCTCGCCAAATGGGAACTTTCCACGCGAACGCCGCGTAAACTAGCAAAGATACAGTTAAGTAATGTACTAGAGAATTCAAAATCTATAAAAATGCTACAAAAAAGTCCGCGATAGCATATCTCTATCTCTTACGGTTGACTTACAATAACCACTTTTATGTTAACATTTTTAATTAAAAACATTACGTTATTTTCTTAAAAATAAAAGAAGATAGAGAGGGGTCTGTTATTGTCGGGCTATGACATTTTTGATCGCCTTGCCTACTCTGTGTATTATTTCTCTATGGTGTTCACACCATAACACTCTGTAGTCTGTAGTCTGTTCAAGTCATTTGACATTTCTATTTTCTATATAGTTTTATGTTTATGTTTCAACCAGGACAAATTCATCTATTTTATTTATCATCCATGGTTTCAACTTTCAAGACTCATCAGTCAACTCATTACTCAAGTCTATGATCCATAGAGTATATTCAATATTGCTACATATTTAAATTTTAAACCATGATCCATGTCCAATGATGATATCATATTGGAGAACTTTTAAATACTAGAAACAGCAATTTAAACTTTTCTATACTTATCTTATGGTTGGTATAAATTTTTATTTCATGTTGTTATAAAATAACCTTAAGAAAGTATTGTAGAACTTAATCATTTCTTTTATTTTAGATTAATTGACGTTCAACTTCTACATATAAACGATTTAGAAAAAATGGGCAAGACATCTAAAGATAAAAGGGATGTATATTATAGATTAGCTAAAGAGGAAGGTTGGAGAGCTCGGAGTGCTTTTAAATTGTTGCAAATAAATGAAGAATATAACATTTTTGATGGTGTTTTAAGAGCAGTAGACCTATGTGCTGCTCCAGGTAGCTGGAGCCAGGTTTTAACAAAAAAACTAAGAAAAAATACAGAAAATGCTGACAATGTGAAAATAGTAGCAGTTGATTTACAAGCTATGGCTTCCCTGCCTGGAGTAAAGCAAATACAAGGAGATATCACTAAAATATCTACAGCTAATGAAATAATTAAAGAATTTGAAGGCTTAAAGGCAGACCTAGTTGTATGTGATGGGGCACCTGATGTCACAGGCTTACATGATATTGATGAATATGTACAGTCACAGCTCCTTCTTGCAGCTCTAAATATAACTACACATGTTTTAAAAGAAGGGGGTGTGTTTGTAGCAAAAATTTTTAGAGGAAAAGATGTTACATTATTGTATTCACAGTTAAAACTCTTTTTTGAATTTGTAACAGTTTCTAAGCCACGGAGCTCTAGAAATTCTAGTATCGAGGCATTTGTTATTTGCCAGAATTACAAAACACCTCCCGGATATACACCAACTATGGTCAATCCCCTTTTAGACCATAAATACTGTGATTTTAATCAATTTACTGGATCAAATAGAATTATTGTGCCGTTTAATGCTTGTGGTGACCTGAGTGCTTATGATTCAGATACATCTTATCCGTTGCTATTAGAAGGCCAGAATTCTTATGAATATAAAGAACCAGTACAGGCACCTATTAATCCTCCATACAAGGAAATATTAGACAAAACAAAATCAATGCAGATAAATAATATATGAACAAATAAGTAAAATACTGGTTTTTTATTATTTTCTATTTAAACATTAAACTACAAAAACATGATAATATTTTTATAATAGTACTAACATATGTACATTAATTTATTTCAAGACTATGTATTTGGCAAATAATTTGCTTTTGTATAAAAATCAGGATTTAATTCAATTATTTTTTAATAAAATTTTGTATGATTCTTTTTTAATAAAAAAAAATACTGGTTGTTAAATAAAAACTGATAGGTATTTGATAATATGTCAATAAAATAGTGCTAAATTTTCTAATTTCTCAAATTATTAGTAATCTAAATTTCTGCTTGTTCTTCAATAAAATTTTAATATTTTCGAAATGCCATACAAAATGCCGACTGTGCAATATTTTCTCAAACAAAAGGTGTGTCATAATACATAGGTATAAATTCTAATAAAGTACAATTTTTACACATTTCTTTAATAAGAAATTAGATGCAGTACCAAAACTAATGTGCTGATGTGAACTAATGTTTAAAAATTTTGATAATTTAAACAAATATTTTTTATTTAGAAAATTTATGACCACAAAGAACCAGTGTGGGTGTATTTAGAAAAAGAAATGAAGAAAAATATTGACAAGAAACCATATAATGAAAAAGTGGGAATGTGGTTAAAATTTTTAAAAGATTTAAAGTATTATTATTATTGTGAAGGTAAGGAAAGTATACAAAATATTTTTCTTAATTCAATTTTAATTATTACTAGCACTATATTCGTATGGCGAAATTCAAATATCTGAGAAACAATACACTTTAAGGTAGTTACATATTGCTGTATTATTTTTCTAGTTATTTATTTGTCCATGAATCATGATCTCTGAACATATCCTTCGTTTTAATATAACCTTTTAACATCAAGCATGCACAATTAATATATTGAAATAAAAGCAAAATTTACGTTATTTTAATTTATTAGGCTTTTACAAGCACTTTTGAATCGTCACAAGTTAGATTTTGAAAATTTAAATTAAATGAGAAGAGCCGGAGAGAAACTCGACAGTTGCTCATTAAAATAATATTTGTTTACAATATTGTAATACCATAATTAGGTATCTACATATCACGTGAGATTCCAGTAGAGTGAGGCTCGCGCATTGACATATACCTACAAAGTATTCCATGATGAAGTGATAATAAGCTTTATTCAATAATATATTAACATCCAACCATTTAAAAACTACTATTCAATTATTATAAACCTACCCTCTTCGCTCGAGTTCGTCCCTATGTACGTTTTAACGGTTAATATGTTTTATGGAATAGATTGACTATATTTATATACTAATATTTTAAAGATAAAATATATTAATATTATATATATAATATTATAAAGATAAAATAAAGAATAAATTCCACAGAAAAGCGCAGATTAAAAAGATTAAGCCTAGAAGTTGGACCACCATGGTATTATGAACTTTCTAGCAGTCAAAGGGAGGTTCTTAGTGATTTAAAATCAAATATTCACCAAGACTTGCTTGAAGATTTACCGGTTAGAGTACGAAAGTCGTTATTGGACTTAGGAATCACCTTAAAAATACCAAAACCTGTTCTAATGAAAGCTATGACTGATTCTATTGAAGATCCTGGTGTATTTATTTGGAATCTTTATACTTCCCACTATAAACAACCACCAAGCGAACTGCGAGGAGGTAAAGATATAATGTAATCTTCAATTTTGATTTAAGTCATCATTTTAGAACTTACCGTAACTACTGCAATTAGGTAGTATTTTATAAACTTTGGTACGCTTGATGCATTTGTTGATGATTAATTTATTAGTTAAATGAAAATATATTTTACCGATCTTACATTTAATTTACATAATACTTACCAACTAATTATAAAGTTGAAAATACCAATTTTTCGGTCTCTTAGAATACGATATGAATGCGATGATTTTGATGTCTTGTCTAGTATTTGTGGATTTAGCAGAGTGTATAGAAAAGTTGGAGAAATTAACATATGCGTCTAGACCACCATCAACTGTTTCAGAGAAGAGTGAGTTTATTTATTATTATTTAATTTTGTGAATTAAGAGGTTTTAAAGTATCGAATATGTATTATAACTACGTATTTTAAAGACACATGGCGACATCTATTAACAAATATCTAAATAAAACAAAAATAAATATTCATTAAAATATTTTTTTTAATGAATAAAATAGTGCTATTGTTTTCCTTTTTAACATTAGCTATTTTTAATAGTTTTGACTTATTTAGTAAGTTAACTTGCTAAAATCTATATAGTATCATCGTTTTTTATTCTGACCAGTTTTTGTATTTTTTCTCAGAAATGAGATATTTTTCTGCGGTAAAAAGTAACCTATATGTTGATTCGGATAATTAGCTATGACCATACTAAATTTCATCAAAATTCGTTCAGTAGTTTACTGTGATGCGGTAACAGACAGACAGACAATAATTCTAAAAACTATAGATTCGGCCTCTGTATCGATAATAATGTCTATTTCAATAAGATTTTCTAAAAAATATTTAATGTACAGATTTGCCTTTGCCTCGCTTCGCTCGGGTGCGTCCCTAAGTGCTATTATACTAAAAATAATATAAATTATTAAATAGATAAAATAGGATTTATATGTATTATTGTAGATTCATTATTTTATTCTTTATGTTGTCATTCTGATATAAAATACTTATTCGCGAATATTCGCATATTTTTTGACATTCGCATTCGTATTCGCAAGAAACGACACACCCGGAGGTCCTGGATTCGAGTCCCGGGTCGGATCACGTGTAGTTATTGAGTCTTTCTATATAGTAAGCCTAAGTAACAGCCCGGAGTTGGGAAGTTGGCGGTGTTTCACCCCCGTGCCTCTAAGAGCACGTAAAGCCGTCTGCACGCCTTAACTTTCACCGGTCGTGTCGAGTAGTCGTCCCACCGCAGTATGGGTGTGATAGGAATAGAGAGTGCACTTGGTCTGCACGTACACTTGTGCACAATAATATCTTCTGCGCAGTTGGCTAGTCTCAATGAGATTGGTCGCCGTGGCCGGAACGGTCAGGAGGACATTATTGTTATCTATACTAATATTATAAAGAGGTAAAGTTTGTGATCTTGTGAGTTTGTGACGCTGTAGGGGGTAATCTCTGGATCTACTGAATCGATTTTCAAAATTCTTTTACCAATAGAAAGCCACGTTCTTTCTGAGTGTCATAGGCTATATATTAACCCGAAAAAAGAAAAGACTTTTTCGTGGTAGTCGGATTTGCAAAGTAAGTCGGAGAAAAAACGGTCGAACGAAAACGTTTCTTACGAACGCTGCCTTAACGATGAGAGATATATGATTATGTTCTAGAGAAAAGTTGTAGAGCTTAATAATGCCTACAAAAAAGTCAGCGACAGCATATGTCTAACTTTTATATTTAAGTCACAAAAAGTAGTTTTTTATATTAAAAAAAACATTTAAATCAGTAGGTCATGTTTATTGGTCATATTATCAACGATTATGAATTCTTATCAAAATAAGTAAATTTATCGTCTAAAATGTTTAAAATAAAAGACTTTTCCCTTTTACTGCATATAATTTGGACAAATGGTTAAAGAGATAATACAACATATTCGTATGTATGGACGAACCCGAGCGAGCTGTTTATCTGTTTTTCTCTTTGTACGGGCTAATCTCCGGATCTATTGGACCTATTTAAATGAAATTTTGCATGGTGGTACCTTATAACCCCGGGCAACATCTTAGATACTTTTCATCCTGGAAAATTAAAGGGTAAACTATAGTAACTTATACAGCTCAGTACACAACAACTTATGCACCTAATTTAGTAAAATTTGGCATGCTGGTACCTTATATTGCAGGTCAAACAACAGGTTACTTATTTTTATCCCGGAAAAATGAGCGGTTCTCGTGGGATAGATCTGTTTGTGCTTTTCTAGAGGTGAACCCCAGCGAAGCGAGGGTAAACCGCTAGTTAGATTATATGAATAGTCCAATCTTATTATATAAAATACGTAAACGTATTAAATATAATTGCTTAAGTTACACTTATTGAATATTTTTATTACAACTGACATAGAACAAACCAGAAACACTCAACCCAATGTTCGTTACGGAGAATATCTTCAAAAATGTTATATACCATGCTATAGTAATCACTCAAGTGAAAAACGAAAGACGAAAAAGCCTCTGCCGCTCGGATATAAAGTTAAGCTTCGAAGTGATGAGGTAAGTACTTAAATGTCATGAAAATAAGTATAATTAGATTTCACGTTTGATTATCATTTAAATATATAACTTTAACTTTTCAGAGTTACGAAAGACTTTGCAAGAACCATGGATTTGTAAGAATATATATTTTTTTATTAATCGAATATTTAAGTTTTATATAAAATAATAAGTAACTAACCAAGTAATAATGGACATTTTAATTTTAGCTCGATAAACGTAAAGAAAGAAATAAAAAAGAGAAGCAAGTCGAACGAGTATGTAACTACAAATTCTGGGAACCCCCAAGCACCTTACGTCAGTATCTCATGTAATTGCGCTCTTCTAATGTTGAATTTATTCAAATTAATTGTACATTAAATTTTATTTTTAGGTAACACCGATCCTAAAATGGTTGCATATGTAAATAAACTGAAAATGTTTAAACTGAAAGCTAAAGCCAAATATAAGGCACCGTATAAAAATGTACAGTATCATGTAGGAGGAGTGTCTTTTGTGGGAGGAAGACCTCGTTATTTCTTGAATAGTAAATATTTGAATAAAATGTTATCGACTACATATTTTTTTGAAGTGAAACTTCTTTGCACGCATTAGAGTAAATTTTCAAGGCCGCGGCATGAGAAATCGTCACGAAAAATCGTCATGCATGATGCTTGCATTAGGTTGCCATAGTAACTGTTGTTATTGTCCGACAAATGATATACATATATCACTTATGATATTCCTTCCGTTGCTATCTTCAAAGATTACTATTTTTACTTATTTGTTTTGCATTCTTCAAATATGTAAAATATATTTTAAAACTAGCGGCTCACACTCGTTTTGCTCGGGTTCGTCCCTAGGTACGTTTTAACGGCTAGTATGGGTTAGATAGAGATGTACAAATTATAAATAACCAATGAAGTTTCTCTTCTAACGTATGTACTCTGTCTGTACACACAACTTTTTTTATTTTTATAATTACATTTACGTGTTATTCGCCTATACCAATTTAATATTGTTAAGTTTTATCTCATCTTTAAATTTTAGATGTTGCTTTATTACCTACTGGATATATTCCTATAAATGGCGGTACTGCATGCTTCAATGGAGAGTTTGTCATCAACATACATGGGTACTGGAAGTTCCCACGGGAAATAAACGAAAGATGTGATGAAGATTGTAATTGTATAGCAAAATGGTACTAAATCTTTGTTCATTTAACTAATACCTATACAATTTTATTTTACTTGGTAAATAAAAAAATTGACAACCTGACAAGCTAGTATACTCGTACTTTACTAGAGAAATATTTTGTAGATACACTCCAATATAAAAAAAAACGTGTGTGTAGGTACTTATGTATGTACGCGCGTAAGAAGTTATACTTCTTTGGCAAACATACGGTGCAAAAATAGCTAAAGATTTCATCTCTGTTTGTAAAAGGAATGCAGCTAACTTCATCATGTCGCTTTCAGCTAACTTCATCATGTCGCTTTCAGTTAACTTCATCATGTCGCTTTTTGGCTGTCGGTGTGCGCACGCATCGTAAACATTTTACTTTAATATTTTTTTCTAAATGTGCCAAAAGAAGTATAACTTTAAAATTAAATTAGTTTTATATAACTAGACTTTACAAGCACTAGGCAGATTGTTAATGATAATCTCCAACAGTTCAAAGGTGTTTAATTATAATTTTATCTAGGGTTTTAGATCCTGAGATCGTTGGTTCGGATTCGGATCGGATCCGGGAGTCGTTGGGCCAAGTATAGTTAACCATTATAGTTATTGGGCTTTTCTGTTCTGTGTCTAATTTCTCACCGGTAATACTAAATTGTCGCCCCTTCGGTGTTTGAGAGTGAACAAAAAAGGGAACGCACTTGGGCTTGCGCGCATATTTGTGCAGCACTATAAGTATAATCTAATTTATTTACTGTACGTGACTATTTCAGTGTGATTGGCCACAGTGGCTCATATTTGGACATTATATTCATTTATTATTTTAAATAAAAATTGTAATATTTAATGCTACATTAAGAAAGTGTGAAGGGAAAAATACTTTTACGATCACTTCGCTGTGTTAAAAAGTTTTATACTTACCAATTTAAATAATATTTTAGGGAGGACACAGTAATGGAGTACGTTAAGGAATCAAACTGTAAATGTGATCATCTCTATGACTTTTATAATGAAGGGAATCTTACAGAAAAATATTTTTATCCACCGACAAGGCATGCGCCTTATTGGGTAGATAATGCCAAAGTGTATCAATTAGATCCAATGGAAGATTTCATAAGGGATACAGTTAGAGAATCGCTGATGTCAGCAGAACCAACAGTACGGATTAGTTTATAATAATAATTTTATATTTTCAAAATAATTAGTATTTTTTATATATTATTGATGGTAATCAATATTTTCATAAAAAGTGAATTGATAAATATAAATAATTCACAGCCCGAACCTTCGTTGCCCACTATATTACCATCTGGTTTAAAAGAGAAAGATTTACTTGCGGTATACTATATTTTTTCTACATTTTGTATGAAATAATTTAAAAATGTAATCTTATGTAAAGACAAGTACGACTTTCAGGCATTTTTAGCGGAATTATCAGACACTCCTTTGTTAATACCGCATTTACCGAAGGCAAATTTATTAAATAATCTTCAGGAATGGGTGAGGAAACGAGTGAAGGGAAAACTTTCAGCAACCTACGATAGTATATATTCCTTTAATAAAGTATATTTTTTTAAATATCTGGTTATATTCTTTTATATGTCATATATATAAAAGTAACATCTAGAATAATATAACATTTAAGTTGTATGAAACTGTTAATGATAACATGCATGTTTTCTAGAAAAACTATTATTAAAATCACAACGCAGATGGCTTGACCTAAAACACATGGACTTCAGAGCGCGAGCGTTTAGAATACCCTTCACTCTGAAACAGCTTAAGCATATGAACTGGTCTCATAGACATTTGGTGCAAACACTGGTATGTATATATATACTCGTATATATAGGTATAGATGTTGGGACATTAACACGCAGCACCATATAGTTCCATGGTAAGCTACGAAGCTTATGTTATGGATACCAAATAGTTGAAACACTACACATACTCGTATATAACTTTAAATACATATAACATACATATTATAAATATAAACACCCATAGGTACTAAAACAAATTTTCTTACTTTTTTTTATATTTACAGTTTGAAATACTGTTAAATGACTTTGTAACAAGGAACAGGTTGAAACAGCTAAATCAAACTCGACTGTGGTGGTCAACTATGAAGTACGATGCATATCCTAGTAAATCGTTTTTGTAAGTTGCTGCTCATTCATTTTCAACAAACTTTAAAAAGAAGGAGGTTCTCAATTCGGTTGTATTTTTTTTTGTATTTTTTTTGTTTGTTACCTCAGAACTCCGTCACTTGTTAAACGATTTGGACATTTTTTGTTTTGTTTCAAGTACTTCTAGTTTAGTCCCATTTATTTGAAAAAATACAGCCGAAGCTAAAAAACCACAAATCAAGGATTGGAAAACTACTCTTGTAACTCTTCAAGAGTTAATAGCAGATAGTCCATTCGTTAAAATGGGATTTTAGAGCGTGATTTTTTAGTGTTTACATACACAATTTTAGTTTGTCAATCATATAAAAATTGGCTACTAACTAAACTAACTTAAACGGCTTATGCGAATATTTTATTAAAATACTTTCTTCTTACTTTGTTACTACTATGTTTACACTAAAAATGAAAAAATAAAAACTTTAAAAAGAAAATAACAATCTCTGATAGTAAATAATGACTGATTCGTCATTCTTATTTAGGTAAAAAATAAAATAAAGCATACCGACTTCGAAAATATCTAATAACCAATCAGTTATTTTTTTACTTTTTAGTGTTTTTTCGTCGTCGTTTTTGTTTTTTTTTTTAGTTTTTATTAGAATATTTCCTACGTAAGAGTCGTGAATTCACGGTATACTTCTATAAATAAAAATAAATAATTTTGCACAATCACCTTTCATATTTAATACGTTCCTACACATTGCCCATTTTATATGTGTATTTTATATGTGTTCTATTATTTTTTTCAGAGATATTTATTTTACTTATATGCCTGGTCGTATGAAAGATACGTTCCTCATAAATCCGTACAGCTCAGAACTTACACCAAAACACGGAGCAAAAACATGTCCTTTGTAAATTATAACATTTTGCTATATGATAATGTCTGTTTCAATTTTGTTATGTACGTAATTGTTTTGTCAAAGCAAAACAGGTTAATTTAATTGTTTTGTTTGTATTTAGTTCAAGTTAGAAAATTAAGAAAAATAAAGAATATTCCTAAAATATTACTTTTTGTTTATGTAATGAAGACTATACCGAGTCCCCGTACACGGTAGGTACTGTTATTATTTTTTGATTTATCAGTGTAGATCATAATATACGTAGCGTAGTAGCGTAAACGTAACGTTCATGACACGTGCGTTGTCGACGAGTTTACGAAACGTGATCTGTGCATATATTAGAACTAGCATTGCCCGCGGCTCCGCCCGCGTTCAGATGACCAAAAACTAAATTCTTAGATTTTACATATTTCTTCTTCCTCGTTCCCTCACTGATGAGGATCGTGACCACTTATGATTTTTTTCCAGTCAGTTCGGTTCAACGATGCCTGGACTGCGGCATGGAGAGTAGCACCCACTGCCTTCTTTATCGCGTCCGACCACCTTATAGGTGCCCTTCCCCTTGCGCGTTTACCTTCAATTTGGCCTAAAATTATAAGTTTCTCTAGACTATGCTTGGATGATCGCATAATATGTCCAAAAAAACTTAGGGCTCTTTTTTGACAGACAGTGGAGAGCCGCTCCGTGATCTTAAGTTCGGCAAGAATAGATATATTCGTTCTTTTAGCGGTCCACGGTACGCGCAATAGCCTTTTTTTTAACGTTGGGAAATGCATTTACGCACGAGGTCTGGAGCTCACCGGCAAAGCCAGTACTACCCACTAAAACCCAACAAAGCCTTCCCCCGTCTTAATGGGGCGTCGCAGGATCGCTTACGCATTCAACTACGAAGCCCCGACGGCAGGTCTGCTGAAGCAGACCACAACAACCACGGGGTTGCTCCAAAGTCCACTCTGCTATCAGAGAAGTACCAGGAGCAACCCGCATGGTACACCGCCCTCCGAAGAGGGCCGCCTCCCACCGCCCACCGAAGTGGGCCACCTCCCTGTGCGTTACGCGCAACAGCCTACGCCAGCACCACATTTCAAACGCATCAATTTTCTTGATATCGTGGCTCTTGATGCACCAAGTTTCAGCACCATACAAAAATATGGAAAAGACGAGGGCTCTTACCAGCCGCACTTTTGTCATGCGTTTTATACCACGATTCTTCCATATTTTGTCGAGTGTTGCCATCGCCTTTTTGGCCATTCCAGCTCGCCGGCAGATTTCACCTGTACAACTGCCATCGTTGGATATCAATGAGCCTAGATAAATGAACTGTTTAACATTTTAAATAAAACTGTTTGACTTGTGAACTGTTTGACTTTTTCGTACTCTTTGAGTGCGTCATCAGGCTGAAGGAGTTGAGCGCGATCTATTACCATAACTTTGGTCTTCGTTTTGTTGACTTTAAGACCTAGCTTGGCACTCTCTACTTCAATTTTCTTCAGTAGTGTTGCCATTTCCGATTCATTCGTTGCAAATATAGTAGGGGAGCCCAAGAGGGGATTTTCTGTAGTTACTCGAGCGCGGCAGATTAACATAAAAGAGGTTACCTTGCACTCTATTGAGTACTTTCACCACAATATAAATCTTCTATATAAAGGGGCGCGGCTAGGGAAGCCGATTAAAATATTTAAAAAATGTTTTGATAAGGTAGAAATACTTGAAACCGTCAGATTAAGGGGTGGTAGGCTAGTCACATCCTGAAAAGTGTCCAATTTAATAATCTGCCGATTTGCACAAGCCGAAGAGGCAAAAATCGACTATAAAGTTTGTGATGATTTTTGCCTCTTAGGCTTGTGCAAATCGTATCATCTGCGTATCTCAAATTAGTGATTTTCTCGCCCCCAATAATAATGCCAGCGTCCCAATTTTCCAGTACTTTCCTCATAATGAATTCACCATATAGGTTGAAAAGTTTTGGCGACAAAATACACCCCTGGCGAACACCCCGTTTTGAGTGGAAAAGTTCCGATTTCAGGATTCTCCAATTTTACGAAGCTGCTGCTCTCCAGGTATAGATTCTGTATCAGATGTAGCAAATGCGAAGGTACTCCCATATGGGAAAGTACGTCAAACATAGCTGTCCATTTAACACAGTCAAACGCTTTAGCATAGTCAATGAAACACATGACCATTGACTTGTTAAATTCCTTGCACTTTTCAATGAGTAGGCGTATGTTCAGAATTTGTTCTCGAGTTCCTTTGCCGGTTACAAAACCAGCCTGTTCCCTCGGTATTTGATGTTCTACGAACGATGTTAAACGAGCATTTATGATATGCAGCATGATTTTGCTTGCTTGCTAAACTGTAATTTAAGAATATACTAATATGTAAAACCTAAGGATTTGATTTTTGGTCATCTTAACGCGGTTGGAGCCGCGGGCAATGCTAGTATATTTATAAATTATAAATAATTAAGTTTTTTTTAATATGGTGTATGTTTTTATTATATTGGTTTAGGAAGTTTTAATAAAGACTCATTATTCATTTATTTAGTTTTTCATTTTTACTATCCATATTGTTCATGGCACATGTAATGGTGTAATAAATAACTCAGACTAAGGAATAATATAGAGAGAACAAATGTAAAAACTATTGCTACTAATTTATGTTACCTACACGTTAAGTATTTATAAATTATAATTAACTGTTTTTTTTTTTAATATGGTGTATGTTTTTATTATATATTGGTATAGGAAGTTTTAATAAAGAGTCATTATTTATTTATTTAGTTTTTCATTAATATTCAAATTTTTCATGGCACATGTAATGGTGTAATAACTCAGACTAAGGAATAATATAGACAGAGTGTCACAAAACTATACATGATGTAAAACAATAATGTTTTAACATATTCATTATCCTCCCGATGTGTGTGGTTTGAGGTAATGCAGCCGGGTGTGAAGCCAAGACTCTTTCGAACTTGTTCACAGACAAGTAGATATCTCATGGTTTATATAATTCAATAAAATTCCAAAAAAGAACCTGGTTCACTTAATATTAGGAAAATTATATAATAAAACAACTTATGTAACTAACCACGCAGTAGTGCTACTTAATAGGATCTTCCGAAAGTATGTGGTTCTTAAATTTTTCTTTAATATTATTACTTATTGACTAATTCGTTCATGACTTATACTTACGTTTTAAAGTTTAGTATAGATTTCTCAGAGATGAGATATGTTCTCGCAGTAAAAAGTACCTAGTATCCTATATGTTGACTTGGATAACCAGCTACCATCATACCAAATTTCATCAAAATCCCTCCAGTTGTTTTTTCGTGATGCGCTAACAGACAGACAGACATAAATTCTAAAAACTATAGATTCGGCCTCTGTATCGATAATAATGTCTAGTTCAATAAGATTTTTCCAAAAATATTTAATGTACAGATTCGGCTTAATTAGAATTTTATTATTTGTATAGATTTTGCATCTTCTATATTATGTTGATAGATTTTGTATCTTCTACATCTTTAATTAACGAATTGTATAGCTGTGCTCCTTCAAAGAGAATCGTTTTTATACTGTACTTAGTTCATATTTGATATTGGTACATTTGTTTTATTGGCAATATTTTTGTCTTTTCGTAGACGAGTTTTGTAGGCGTACGATAATATATGTGGGATAAAAATTTTAAATTACATAACTAAATATAGGTAAAATCTATTGTAGGTACTAGGCATGGACGAATGTGGTTTATTCGTTCATGGTACTAGGTATGCCTCTATTAGATAAGTATCTATCGTTTGTCGATAAATGGCATTTTCATGTAAAAAGTACTTATACTTGATTACCGATAAAAATTACTACCTTATAAAATATACTTTTAAATAGAAGTCGACCGATATTATTTGAATACTAAATCCATTTAAAGCTTCACGTGTCTCTTTAGAGTTTAAAATCAAATTGTTTCAAAAAAGTAAATAATAATGGAAAATATGTTACATACAAATAGTTTTTTAACATTAATTTCAGACAATTTCAAATTATTATCTATAACTACTATTATTATATTAGTTTATTATTATTATACAAAAAATTTTGATTATTTCAAGAAACGTAATGTAAAATACGTTAAACCTGTCATATTCTTCGGTAGCAATGTTTTAGGATTTTGTGGTTTAGAATCGCAAGCTATGGTTATGAAAAATTATTACGATATTTTAAAGGATCAAGCATTCGGAGGTAAGAAATCCATTTATATTTGTTTCTTCTATGATAAAACAAGGGCAATGTGCATGGTGAAATGTTCTATAAAATAATCTTCTCCATTTTATAATACCACTCCTAACCTTGGCTATTTATATTAAGTATATTATTATATTATATACTAGCATTGCCCGCGGCTCCGCCCGCGTTCAGATGACCAGTAACCAAATTCTTAGGTTTTACATATTAGTATACTCTTACAATGCAGTTTTTGTATTTTTTCTCTTAAGTGAGATATTTTCCCGCGGTAAAAAGTATCCTATATATTGACCCGGATAACCAGCTACCATCATACCAAATGTCATCAAAATCCCTCCAGTGATTTTTCCGTGATGCGGTAACAGACAGACAGACAGACAAAAATTCTATAAAGTATAGATTCGGCCTCTGTATCAATAATAATGTCTATTTCAATAAGATTTTCCAAAAAATATTTAATGTACAGATTCGGCTTTATTATATGTATAGATTATACTATTCAAGACATCGTGAAGTACTTAATAAGAAAATAGCTTTATGGTATTTTATCTGCTCTAATATATTAAGAAGTAAGTAGGTATGTATTTGTTTGAATCCAGGAGGTAAACTCGGGTACTACTAATTTGAATCTGATTTTTTTTCAATTGATAATAATTAATAGGCTTCACTATTCTCAAGTTATATAGACTACTTTCTATCTTAATATATTAAGTGGTTCCTGTAGGATTATAGCATACTAAAGTTGTTGAAAATTACGCTGTGTGAGTAGTCTAAGCCTTAAAGTACCTAAGGGACGGACACAAATTATTGATAGGGATACTTAATATAATTTTATTTTTATAACATTTTTTCTAGGTTATTTTGAAGGCCGCTCTCCTAGATATGTTCTCTGTGATCCAGAATTGATAAAAACTATATCAGTTACTCATGGTGACCACTTTATCAATAGAGGAACTTTCGAAAGTAATCAAGCAGGGTACACTAGTAGATCTTTATTAATATTAAAGGTTATTAATATTAAATATTACCTTATGTTTACAAACCTTAAAAACACTTCATTAGTGCATTAAGCTACTACCACGCCGCGCGGTTGTTCGCAGCGACCAATGGTTAAACATTAATATCATTATAATAAATATATTCAATTTCAAACACTAGGCAATCGTTACAAACACGTATCAGACTACTTTTCATTATGACCATATAGTTTTACTGGTAGCTTAAGGGCTCTCACAGTCCGCCGACTAAGCCTCGGCCAATATTTTAGTCTGCCGTCGGACATAATGTAAACCATTGGTCACTGCGACCACGGTAATGTAATGCATACAGTATTCCAACTCGGGCCTGTCCTTGAAATAATTACCTACAGCCGAGCGGCACGTACCCACGCGACAGGGCTGCCCGAGAGCCCACCGGCCAGTATTTTAATTTCATCTACCTACTTGAGTTTCTTTCTAATTTTGTGATTTCAAATATTATATTTTTTATTAAAAACTATTATTAGCAGATTTAATTAAAAAATCTCAAATTTATAAGGGTGGTATGTGACCCTTATAAATTTGAGATTTAAAAATATTTGCGCCTCGACTGAGACGTACAAAAAGCTTTATTGTTAAATTTTATAGTAGTATAAAGAATCCGCATTCGGATAAAAAGTTTAATAATTAAAAATACTTTAATTTTTATTTTTAATTTAACTAATTATTTTTTATTGTTAAAACATACGATGCATGTCTCGATACTTTTTTGTTTGACATAAGCGAAGTTACGGGAGGAATAAAATATTTATTTTTGTATCCAATCACAAAAGTTACATAACATAACCACCTTATACAATTTTTGTATTCAATTATACGATGTGGCAGCCCCGCACGGTTGTCTACCGAGTGTATACCGAACGCGAGGCGCGTAGGTATAACCCGATTTCCGACCGTTTGTATGACGACGGAATACTGTATGTAATATTACCGTGCTGCGATCGTGAATGCTGTTGGCAAAAATTACAGGCTTTGCACAAGCATTTCATTCTCGTAAAAGAACAAAATGGAGCCATCATTCAATTTCATTATTATTTTTTTGTTAATGTAACACATCTAAATTACCATAATGCACATTTATTATTATTAAATCTTAGGGCGGAGAATGGAAAGCAGTTCGAAGTTTGGTCACTCCTACATTTAGTTCAGCCCGATTAAAAAATATGTTTCCATTAATACAGACTTGTTGCAATCAACTGGTAGACCTTATAGCGAGGCATGGTAAGTAAAAAACTTAATATTTTATTAAAATAATACTTAAGTCGAAGTACTTCCAAGTACTTGTATTGAGCCCTTTTTAACGTCCCACTGCAGGGCACGGACCTCCCTTAAGTGCGAGGAGGATCAGGCCATAGTCCACCACGCTGGCCAAGTGCGGGTGCCAAGTCCAACCCGCACTTCACATGTCTTTTGAAAACTTGCTAGGTTCTCTCAGACATGCAGGTTTCCTCACAATGTTTTCCTTCAATATTAAGACAAGTGGTAACCATGTTGGAAATGATTCGCAATAAAATATCAGAGTTGCAAGACCCGGGATTTGAACCCGCTTACCTCGGTTTCCCAAGCGAGCGCGTTACCACTGGACTACCACTCGTTACCACTTATATACTTTTATTTGTAGACAAAAATGACATTGAGTTAAAAGCTTTTACCGGACATTTAACCCTGGAAGTGACAGGGGTGTGCGCTTTTGGGATCAGCACTGATATTCTTAAAGATGAAAACGCCGAGTACTATATGGTAAGGTTTATCTTTAAATAGGAATTATTTTATTATGAACTATCTTCTTTTGTGCATAAGTACGATTTTTACATCAATTTGTTTGAATAGATACTTATATTTCTGTATCTACACAAATTGTTTTCTTAGTATTGTTCCTATATTTACAGTTAGCGGCAGGTAATAGTTACATGTCTATACCAAAAAGAATATTTCTCGCTTCCATGCTACTGCTAATGCCTTCTATGCTTAAATATATACCCATATCAATAATGGACGACGAAACAAACAGGAAATTAGTAAAAATTATTCAAAATTCTAAAGCTGAAAGAAGATCTGGATCGTCAAAGTAAGCCCTTTGTAATAATAATAATCCATATAAAAGTTATTTAACCTTTTTCATGACGAGGTCACCTTGGTATACCATAGCTCACATAATACTATACTAGCACCTACAGATGTCTCACATCTCATACAAAGAAATTGGGTTATTTGAGCAGTTTTCTTTACTTCAATAGATTAAATAGATATCGTTGATCCGCAAATAGTTGCACTGTTTTATTTTACAAATATGTGTTAACTATCGTATGGTAAATATTATTTTGCATTTGAATAAAAAAAACAGTAGTCTTGACCATTTTTTAACGCAATAAAGAACTCATAAAAATTTAAAGCGCTATCTGTGATTATTCACTACAAACTCATTTTGTAAATGTCTTAGAATATTTTTTAAAACCATATCTTATATATATATATATATATATATATATATATATATATTTGAGATCTATTTCTTAACTTTATGTAACTTTACACAAACTTCAATAACAAATCGATACATATAATGCCATCTATGAACATTTATTGAACTAATGTATTTTTTGTATATATAAATATCGTATACATGAACGCCACTTTCACTTATTTTCCTACGAATAAATAATATTATTTATTCGTAGTTTTTTTCTTGTTTAAATATAGCAAAATAAGTAACTAACTACCTAAACTTAAATGGCAACAACAAGCGCTTTAAGGCGGGTTGAATATGTACCCATATTTAATACTAGCGGCTCACTCTCGCTTCGCTCGGGTTCGCCTCTAGAAAAACACTAATAGAGATGTCTTAGTTCCCACGGGAACCGTTCATTTTTCCGGGATGAAAAGTAACCTGTTGTTTGACCGGTAATATAAGGTATCAGAATGTTAAATTTTACTTAATTAGGTGCATAAGTTGTTGTGTACTAAGCTGTATAAGATACCATAGTTTTTTTACTATCCCACGGAAACTCTTTAATTTTCCGAAATGAAAAGTATTTTACGTGTTGACCGGAGATACAAGTTATGACCAAGCAAAATTTCATTTAAATCGGTCCAATAGTTTCGGAGATTAGCCCGTACAAACAGACAGAGAAACAAAAAATTTGAAAAAAATCTGGATTTGTTCTATTTGTCTTCTTACATCCCCCTGACTCGGTTTTTAGCATTTTTTTGCTATGTACAGACATTCGTCCTCTACAGTTTTATTACAGTACAGATTATTAATCTGAGTTACAGGAGAAACGATTTATTGCAACTTTTAGTGGATGCGTCTTTACAAGAAAAAGAAGAACTTTTGAAAAGTGGTCGACCAAATAAAATATGTATGTAACAATTTTGATTATTTTATAATAGATTTTTTTACAAAACAAACCATTACTGAGGGAAATAGCATTCAATGTTTAACCATTACACTTAATTCAAATGTTTTGTGTACTTTGACACAAAGTAAACGAGTGGACTGATTATCGTTTAAGAAGCCTTCATTGTCTCACAAGCTATGGGTTCGATTCCTATAGCTGTGAGAGTAGATATGTTTGTACCGGTTTAGTTAACACAATTGAAAAACCTAACGTTGGTTATCCATATTTAAAATAGCACACAACGAAGTAACGCTACTGATCACAGATGTTCTCTAAATAATAAATAATATATTCTAAATACATCGATCAAAAAAGTACTAGATACACAATCAGCAACAAAAAATGTTCTAACCGAATGAGCACTCATTTGAACTTTTGAGAGCGCTTTTGAATTTTTTTTTGTGAAAACAACTTTAAGCATTGCATTTAAGGTTCAATTTACATTGTTGTATATTTATTTCAACTAGAATAATTACCTAAACACTATTGGTGACAGTTCTTTTGCAAGGGATTGTGTATCCGGTAGGTACTCTTTTCATCGATGTCTAAATATTAAAAATATTAATATGACACGCGAAGCGATTTTTTTAAAAGTAAACGAACGTCCACTAACTCGGAAAAGTGCTCATTTGTTAGCTAAGATCAATCCGAATAAATATACTACAAACACTACACTACTAGGTACACACTTTAGATGTTAAACTAATCGCACCCATCGTTTTTAAAAATGTGCGCTAATTGATATCAATGTAATTAATAATAATTCATTTAAGTTTTGAAATTAAAAACGAGAATGAGAATACAAATCAAATGAGAAGCCATTTAAAAGTTCCTAAATCTTCCACCAGGATTCTTCATCAATTCAGTTCGATGGGATCAAATTATTCTATTAACATCCAGATTTTACATACAGTTTCAGATCGGTTCGACTATTAGAAGTTGGTTAAAATGGCCTACCTAGAATTAGGTCACATGTAAATGTACCTATAGATACAGAAAGCATGTAGAGTAGCGTAAAATCTCATTATCCTGACCTTTATTTTAGATTTAGATGACGATACCATAGATGCACAAGCTTTACTCTTCTTACAAGCGGGTTTTGGAACAACTTGCACTTTGCTTACATACGCGCTGTTTACTTTAGCGTTACATACTGATATACAAGATAAATTAAGAGCTCACATCCTAGAAGTCACTAAGGGCAAAGAATTTTCCTATGATGAACTTGTGGAACTTGAATACCTTGAATCAATTTTAAATGGTAAGTTTAAGTGTTTCATACTCGTATATCTATGTAATTTAGATTTTTGTATAGAGTAATAATCTTTGTAAATCGTAAAAACAATTAAAAAGCCTACAAAAACATGACGATGATGATGATGTTGTCCTGGCCGATTCCGGCTACGGCGGCCAATCTCATAGGAGATATTATAGTGCACAAGTGTACGCGCAGACATAAGTGCACTCTATTCCTGTCACTCTCATACTCCGGTGGGACGACTGCTCGCCACGACCAGTGAGAGTTAAGGTGCAGGACCGACGGCTTTACGTGCTCTCCGAGGCACGGAGATGAAACACCGCCAACTTCCCAACTCCGGGCTGTTACTGAGACTTACTATACAGAAAGACTCAATAACTAAACTTGGCCCGGCCCGGGACTCGAACCCAGAACCTCCGAGAGTGCAGCCATACATGCTAGCCACTACACCACCGAGGTAGTCTCACAAAAACATAATAATGTCGTCCTGAAAGATCCTTACTGAGGTCCGCGACGTACTTACAATCTTCCTGAGCCTAGCCAACACAGGACATATGATTGTACACAAGCGTGTGAACAAACACAATTGGACCCTCCATTTATTTTCCGGGATTCGGGAAGACAATTCATTATGACTGGTAAGAGATCAACCGCAGAACCGACGACTGACGTGTTCTGATACCTCGATACATGAGGGTCTAACACTATAATATTCAAAACTCTAGGCTGTTACTGGGAATTTCTTAAGGCTAATGTAGTAAATGCTAGCTGTGCAACAAGGGAGTTATACGTGTACATGCCACTATTATAAATTGACATAAATTTAAAATGGACGTCAGTTCCTTAGGACTTCCATTGTCAAAATTCCTTTTTAGACATTTCTATGGACAATTCCCACAAACAAAAATTTTTTTTTATTGAGAAATGCATTTACGCAAACCACCTGTAGACATACAGGGAGGTTTATGGGAGGTGAGGAGATTATGAGAGACTCACCGTCTAGAAAAGCCAGTACTACCCACAAAAACCCAACAAAACGTTCCCCCTTCTTAATGGGGCGTCGCAGGATCGCTTACGCACTCAACTACGACGCCCCGACGTGCACAATAACCATGGGGTTGCTCCACAGTCCACTCTGCTTTCAGAGAAGTACCAGGAGCAACCAGCACGGTACACCGCCCTCCGAAGTGGGCCACCTCCCCGTGCGTTTCTTGGCTTCAAGCCCGGCTGAACTGCCGGACCGCTAATGAGCACCCCCCCCCCCCCACACCAAGGTGATCGCACGTTTTTACCTAGAAAAATCCTAACTGAACCTGCAACTTCTCAAAAGTTACCAGTAATTAAATCAGGCCCACCTTTAATTTAGAACTTATAACCAAACAGTATTATTAAATGAAGTACTAATTTCAGAGACACTAAGAATGTATCCACCAGTTCCAAGAATAGACCGTTGTTGTTCTAAGCCCTATACAATCCCGGGCACGTCTTTGGATCTAAAGGTCGGTGACGTCGTCGTCATACCAGTGTATGGACTACACATGGACCCTAAATTGTACCCCGACCCAGAGATATTCAAGCCAGATAGGTTCATGAAGAATGGTAAATTGGACAGACTACCGGATTCATTCCTCGCTTTTGGGTCTGGACCAAGATATTGTATAGGTAAGTGTATTTTTTAATCTCCTGACAAATTTTGGCCACGGCGACTAATCTCATGATGTGCACATCATATTGTGCACAGTACATACTATAGCGCACAGGTGTTTGCGCGCAAACACAAGTGCACTTTTTATTTAGAAGAGTGGAAAGCACTCTCATTTGATTGGTCGCCATGAAATTGGTCAGGGGGTCATCATATTTTTTAAATGTTTCACATTCTCTTAAATCACGTAAAAAGCAACTGCACGTTGGTATAGTGACTCACTTGTTGTTTAATGATAATAAAACTCCTTCAATATTTAATCTTAAATTCAAGATGAATTTGTAAATTTTATTAAAGCAATAACTAAAAGAATTATGGCCGATTTCACCAACGTCACCTAAGTTTAAGGGATCACCTAAGCATGGTTAGGGGGCTGTTAGGGGACAGTTTCTGTTTCACCGACAGTTACCCCTCACCTAAAGGTTGAAATGTCACCTAAATATAGGTACTAGAAATACGGGCCTTGACGATGGTAAAACGAAATTTAATTTAGGGGAACTTTTAAGCTAGGGATCACATACGTAGGTGGTAGCTTAAGTGATCTTGGTGAAATCGGGCATTAGTCACACAAAAGCAGTTTTATTATCAATTAAAATTGATTGTCGTCATAATAACGTGCATTATTTAATCGTGACCATTACAGTTTTATTGTAAACATAAAAAAATCTTTTCTCACGCTTTAGTAATAACTAAATATAATATATATAATATAAATATACTATGTATATTTGAATTATTCATATTTATTGCAAAGTCCTTGAAGCGTTTTTAAATATCGACCTCATTGATACATTTGCTACTAGTTAAGTATTTTATCAATAGTCTTTATCTCTTTTAAAACATTATTATGAGAAAATGTGTTAGAATCATAAAATCTTTATACCATTTTTATTACTTTATTTTAAAACTCGCTATTCACCCTCATTTGTTCGGGTTTTACCGGCTAGTATGAAATAGATAGACTATATATCTATACATATAATAAAATTGTAACTAAGCCAAATTTGTACATTAAATATTTTTTGGAAAATCTTATTGAAATAGACATTATTATCGATACAGAGGCCGAATCTATAGTTTTTAGAATTTTTGGCTGACTGTCTGTCTGTTACCGCATCAAAAAAAAACCACTGGAGGGATTTTGATGAAATTTGGTATGATGATAGCTGGTTATCCGGGTCAACATATAGGATACTTTTTACCGCGGGAAAATATCTCATTTCTGAGAAAAAATACAAAAACTACAATGTAAGAGTATTCTAATATGTAAAACCTTTGGTTTTTGGTAATCTGAACGCGGGCGGAGCCGCGGGCAATGCTAGTATTATATACATAGGTAAGATGAGTTGTTGTGGGTTGTATTACAACGTGTTTTCCCGTGGAAATGAGATAATCTCCCGCGGTAAAAAGTAGCCTATGTCACTCTCCGACTCTCCCAACTATTTTTACACAAAAAATCACGCCAATCCGTCACTCGGTTTCGACGTGAAACAAGGACAAGAAAAAAACACTCTTATGCCATTTATGTTAAGCATCCCAAGCCACATAAACAAAACCAATACCTAAATCAGAAATATATTTTCTTCTCTTTTGATGAAACTTGGTAAAAAAAAACACTCAATGTAGAATAATGTTTAAACATTTAAAGAACTTGCGCCTGATACTTTCATTTTATTACTTTAACATTCCAGGACGCAGATTTTCGATGGTAGTCGCGAAAGCAGCCATGGTCACTCTACTGACAAATTTCAAGTTTACGATTTGTCCTAAAACCATCTACCCACTTGGAATCTCTAAAGCTGAGATTTTATTCAATCCTGAAGAAGGTGCTTGGGTGCGAGTTGAAAAAATATAGGTATAAAAAATATTTTGCATTGTTATTATATTTTTATTTATGATCTGAAACTTTTTTAAATGCAGCTATAAAGAAACCTATTGTGTTTCTATACAATTCTTCAACAGGCCTCAATGTATCCTCTTCTGGTCCAAATCTTTGTACCATCACTCTGTAAATGAATATTTTTTGCAATGTGTTTATATTAGATTGTTTGAATTATGAAAATATTAATATTAACACTAAAACTATCTTACCTATACTATATATAGATGGAGTCTGACAAAATAAATGTGAAAGTCAAAAATAGTAGTATGATTTGCTGTTTCTATAAGTAATCTCTTATCGATTTTACCAGACAGATCGTCAAAGAAAAAAGGATTAATATCCAATTTTTGGAAATAAATTAAGAATCTTAAAAATAATACTATATTCTTATGTATTTTTTTAAGCACGAGTTCTCTTCCTCTTGAAAGATATAGCATAATATTAGTCTTTTTTTCTGTATTATAATAAAATCCGTTATCTATTATTTTTTTATCTATTAATTTATCAATTTTATTTAGTTATCATTCAGTATATAAATTGTAATTTGTATACTATTTTAAAACATTATTGTTTGGCTTCATGTTAAGTTATATATCACTCTATTTATATTATTCCTTAGTCTGAGTATTTACAAAATACTGCTTTTAATGTATAAAGAAATTAAAAAAAAAGGATCATATTTGGAATATATATGGAAAAAAATATTGTATTCAATTCTATAATATATTACATATTTTTTACTTAATTAATGGCTTAATATTACTTGGTGAGGGACATTAAGAATTAAAATAAATTAATTTTAATTTTTTGAAGTAAGATATAATTATTAAAACATAAATTAGGTATGTTAAATAATATAATTTATTTATTATTAATATTAATATAATTGGTAAACATGGGATATGTAATTTAGTTGATGTATTATTTTAATAATAATAAAAAGGAATATTTACAAAATATTTTTTATTTACCTCTGCTCGTGTGATAATCCCACATTTGCTAGTCCCGGGCCACCATACAGAGGCTCTGCGGGGATAAGTTGTAAGCATGGATATTTTTCTAACACCCATAGCACCATTCCTTCGTTCTCGTCTACAGTTACTGTACATGTACTGTAGACTAATTTACCTCCCACTTTTAAAACTCTTACAGCCTGAAAAGTATTTTTGTAGTAAGCTATTTACCTTTTTAGATCTGTACATATAATAAAATTCTAACTGAATTGAATCTGTACATAAAATATTTTTTGGAAAATCCTTACAAATAGTCATTAATATCGATACAGACTCACAGAGGCCAAATCTGTAGAAGAATATTGGAATTTCTGTCTATCTGTCTAGTAACGCATCCACGCGAACGAGAATACTACTGGACAGATTTTGATGAAATTTGATAAAATGATAGCTGGTTATCTGTGGGAAAATATATCATCTCTGAGAAATCTATACTAAACATTAAAACGTACCTCCCTAGCTACGTTTACACATACAGGAACCGGAACGGAGCGAGCATGAGGCACTAGTTTATATATAAACAAATTGTACCTACCTATATATTTATTATATATATTTATTAGCAGAAGCAATTATGATACACTATGTAGAGTACAATTCAAATTTATTGGCGGCTTTAAATATTGTACATTCCGATGTGTAGAACGCATTATTAGGCTATAGGTATCAATGGGGCACAGAGGGACAAGACACTGAGTTTAACTGCACTCACAGCTAATTTCCGAGCCACCATAACTTTGCATCTAACTGTATCTCATAAAACAAGATTGGATTTTCTATTTTGAAGAATCCATCGTAAATAATAAATAAGTAGTAAGTTTGTAGTTTAATATTGGATAAAATACTTACAGCATCAAATAGTTTTCTTTGCACAAATTTATATGACTGTAGCATTTTGGGTGACATTTTAAAATTTAACTGTGGTCTCTGACCTAAACCACTGCAAGGTGCATCTAGCAGGACCTTGTCAAATGTATTTGAAGAAAATGGAGGGTTTGTGCCATTGTTATTGTCATCAGAATGGCATTTAGTTGAATCATATGCAAAAGCAATGACACATGTAACACCTTGTTTTTCACAAGATTGTCTAATTTTATTAACTTTTTGTTCAGTTTTATCAATTGCAGTAATGATAGCCTGAAAAGAGTTAAATAATTACTTTTTTTTTTAATATTAAAATGGAAAAATATTTGGGTATGTTATATTGTTGCAATATGATTAGTTCATTAAAATATACATGATTCTATATAACTACAGAATTTGAATAGTAGGTAAATAATTATTATAAATATATACTGTACTTTATTATTAGACATTTCTGCTAAATGAGTCGTTTTGTTCCCAGGGGCAGCACACATATCCAAAATATGTTCAAAGGGCATAGCATTTACAACCCACCCAACTACTATAGAGGGAAGATTTTGTAGTAAAAGTTGACCTTTTGGATATAAAGTGTCATTTATTACAGGCAATCTTGATTTTGGTAATAATGTCTGAACTGCAATACCACTAAAATTTAATTTATTTAGATATAAATTTAATTTATATACAAGAATGAACATATTAACATATGTATAATTAGTAAATATCACACTTACTTTGGCTGGACTCCTTTTACAAATAATTCATAGCGCAACATTTTTAGATAACCAGTTCCAACATATTTCTTTTTGCCATTGTATTCTACCTTTAAGCCCCTTTTACATTGACCATCTATGTCACCATAAATATCAATTCTTTCATTAATCTGGCAATCTAAAAAATTTGCATTAATTATATGGAAATTGTAATTTTTTAATATCTAGTTCTTATATAAATATATCTCTAATTACATTTTTTATTTTAAGCTTCTTTTCACATTTAAATACAAAAGAATAAATATTTCAAAAATCTATATATCTTACTAGTAGCAAGTCCTAGGACTCCAGGTGCATAAACATGTGCACCTCTTAAAACTGCAGATGCACATAATGAATCAACAATAACTTTGTTTTTTGTCTCCTCATGTGTGGTTACCTCAGGCCATTGCTCAATAATAATACAATCAGATTTTAAGAAGTACAAATTTGGGATTTGTACGCAGTTGAGTTCCTTTCTTTGCTTAAAAGATGTATTACTATAGTAACAATATATAAAATTTTGTCATAATTTTATTCTTATAATAAAAAAATATATCCGTCCTAGTGATAACTTACATTTTCTAAATATATGAGGAGTTCATTACAGTCAAATTTCATTAAATTATTAATTCTAAAAACTGTAAATTTTGGTGGTTCTGAAAGCCAATTTTGTAAATGATCATAATTATACATTTTTCTAAAAAAATACTACACTACAATTTTAATCTTTGATTTCAATTCTTTAGTTTCGTGAATCGTGGCTTCTAGGAATTTTATTAATTTCAAAAACCTTAAACCACGTTTTTTGTTTACAAGTTTTGACATATTATGATAGTGATAGTTGACAGCGCCTTAAGCTATTGACAATCATTTTTTTTATTTTGGACTTTGGCTTTGAGTACCTAGTGTACAAAGTGTTATTTTGATAAATACAGTTAAATATATAAAATATTGAACTTTCAAATATTTTTTATTTTTTATTCTTGCATAATTTGTCAGACTGACTAACCACAAATTAGTCTTGAAACATTATTATTGAATTTAGTAGCTCGTATTAACTAAAGACGCTTTTGATTTTTCCCTGTAAATACTTTTTAAAATAAAAAATAACCTTTTAATATTTAAGCACAACATTATTTTTATTATAACTTTTAATTTTCAAAATTATATTATTATTTCAGCCTTTTTCTCTTACAACATTTTTTTCTTTTCTCATACAACATTATTTTTGAAGTCTTTATTATATAGATTTCACTGTTCTTTCTACACCAATAACAAAAAATATTAGTTTAGAAGAAACTTTTTGTGAAAATCGATGGACTTTTATATGAATAAATTTAACACATCTATACATATAATAAAATGTAACTAAGTCGAATCTGTACATTAAATATTTTTTTGAAAATCTAATTGAAATATTATATTTTAATTTGATTTTCCAAATATTATTATTTTTATGACTAATATTATAAATAAATATTATTATTATTATCGATACAGATGCCGAATCTATAGTTTTTAGAATTTTTGTCTGTCTGTCTGTCTGTCTGTCTGTCTGTCTGTTACCGCATCACGGAAAAACCACTGGAGGGATTGATGAAATTTGGTATGATGATAGCCGGTTATCCGGGTCAACATAAAGGATACTTTTTACCGCGGGAAAATATCTCATTTCTGAGAATAAATACAAAAACTGCACTGTAAGAGTGTACTAATATGTAAAACCTAAGAATTTGGTTTTTGGTCATCTAAACGCGGGCGGAGCCGCGGGCAATGCTAGTATAATTATATGTAAAGACCTAGGTAATAGATTCTTATTAGCATTTTTTCTCCCTTTAATATTAAAGGAATTATAGTTTTTCAGATTATGAAGAATAATATATTTTTAAATACGTACCATCGATCACTAAAAGTTCTTTTTGATCGATGACACGTACATACAATTCAAAGAAGTATAAATCGATATTTAACATATATTCATTGAAATGGTAAAAAGAAACATCTAAATAATAAGTCGATTGACTGATTAGTCTACCCTAATAGTAATAACCATTTTTTTACTCTAAATCATAGATGAAAAATAAAGTTCTAAATGGTTGAATTTAAATTAAAAGAGATGTTTGAATACGTTTATTTTAAGGGTGAACTCTTTAACATTTCTGTATAATTATAATTAAAACATTTAAAATCATATTTATAGCTGGCCACTTTTGCCGATACGTGGCATAGGCACGAACAACTTCCACGTTCGCCGCCATTTTGACATCCAGCGAATAGTAGAGACTTCAGTGGATTGAAGCGTTTTTACTACATAATACATATATTTGCTTGATAAAAAACGTAAGTTAACTGTTTTATCTAAATTATTTATAGTTTTTAACAAAATAGAGATTGTACTTGTGTAATATTTCCTTTTTACAAGCCTTGGGTGGTGACCCTAACAGAATTACCAACAGCGGTGTACCAATCTTTGTCTAAGTAGTAAAATTTTAACAGATGCGTACAGTAAGATTTTTACTAAATATTCCTATTCTACTATGACTGAATTATAATTCTTTGTTTTGTTTTATATTTAACCAATTTACGTCTAATTCTAGTTGCGACTTGCCATGTCATTATCATTGATTATAGTAACGTATAGTGACGGATGAGTCAGAGTGAATGTATGTTCCTAATAATTTAAATTTCTTACAGAAAACTCATAAAACAGCAAAATGGGGAATATGTTTGCAAATTTATTTAAAGGCCTATTTGGCAAAAAGGAAATGAGAATATTGATGGTTGGTCTTGATGCAGCTGGTAAAACCACAATCTTATACAAACTTAAATTAGGAGAAATCGTTACAACAATTCCCACAATTGGTAAGTTCTTATTTAGTTTTGTTTATTGATTTTTAAATTCTTATCTTTTTGATGGTCCTGCCCCATATTGGTTATTTTTTTTATTCAAATAGTAATTTTAATTATAACTTGACTACATTATATTCCTTATTTTTCTTAATGATTAGTATATTTAATACATGCGATAATATGTTAAAAATATAGATTAGAAATAAAATGGTTTATATTTTAATGAAAGAGAAAGTGTTCATATTCTAACATCAGTCATGATGTTGAAGAGATATTTTGTAATCTATGATCTTCAGACATATTAACATAATTTAGTTATGTATAGAATATTTTTTTAACTATTCTAACTTGAATATGTATTGAATCTAGTATCACTTACATAATATACAATAAGGTCCTAGTTTGTGTAAATATTTTAATATTTATAAATGTTTCCAGGATTTAATGTGGAAACTGTAGAATACAAAAACATCAGTTTCACTGTGTGGGATGTAGGTGGTCAAGACAAAATCAGACCTCTATGGAGGCATTATTTCCAGAATACACAGGTAGAACTTGTTTTTAATTATATTTTTTAACTAGCAATGCCCACGGCTCCGCCTGCATTCAGATTACCAAAAACCAAATTCTTAGGTTTTACATATTAGTATACTCTTACAATGCAGTTTTTGTACTTTTTCTCAGAAATGAGACACTTTCCTGCGGTTAAAAGTATCCTATATGTTGACCCGGATAATCGGCTATCACCATACCAAATTTCATCAAAATCCCTCCAGTGGTTTTTCTGTGATGTGGTAACAGACAGACAGACAGACGGACAAAAATTCTAAAAACTATGGATTCGGCCTCTGTATCGATAATAATGTCTATTTCAATAAGATTTTCCAAAAAATATTTAATGTACAGATTTGACTCAGAATTTTATTATATGTATAGATTTTGCTTCACATACTAATGCTTAATTATATTGTAACTTTAAAACACCTAATCATGAACGAATTAACCACTGGACCAGACATATAAGCGGACATACCTTTACCGGTCTTGTCAGTAACCAGGAGATTTTAGCCTTGGTCGTTTGTTTTTTGCATCAGTCTTAAGCACTTGTCAACAAAACATCTCCCAAAAATGACTAAATGTTCTGTTAAATGGTGTAAAATTGTAACTTAACACTTGTAAATACATTCTTTTATTATATTTATTGTTATTTATCACAAAATTTAATTAAATGTAAAATAAAATGTCATATTATCCAACTATGTTAAATATAGTCGATATTTCTATGTATTGTTGACATCTGACAACCATCATAAACGGGCTGGATTATTCAGAACAAATGACAAAACTGTCGAGTGAGTCCATTTGACATCAACTAGTGCTTGACAATGACGAAAAATATATCGATATTTGACGAAATAACTGAACGAATTGTGTTATTTGTACAGTACAATAACATAAAATACTTTTATCACAGTATCCTACAATCTGATGACAATAAATTTATAAAAATATTTTCTAAATCAAATAAAAATATAAATGCAAAAATTATAATTAGTATGTGTACTTAATTTTTTATTTTATTTTATACCACATTTATATACTTTGGAATATGTTTCCATTGTAATAATAATAAAGATCATTTTATTTCAACACATAAATTACACAAAATCAAACAATAATGTTTTAGCACTAAACTTCTGGGTTGGTGATTTGTAATAAAACACTTTACCACTTGCACTAATTATTTTACTTTCATGATCCAACACTCACTTTTTCACAATTTGCAATCACTTTTTCTTTTTCCTAATCTCACTAATGTTTATTAAGAACGGAGCAATATTAGGACAGTGTCACATTTTTATAAACTACACGAGACAATCAATTGCCTATAAAAATAGTTTAATAACAGAATCAACAAAATCACTTTATTTAATTAAATTAGCTTATTATTTTTTTAATCTTTACAAAATAATATTTATTTTATATTAATAGAATATAACACCCAATATTCATTTGTTCATTAACATTATTATAGGCCAACAGAATGTTGCCATCAATGCCATCGTATTTATATAAATCAAATAAAAAAAAAAATTTGACACATTATTATTGCCTCTTTAATTCACTTATTTTAATTTATTATAATAAATACAGATATTTTAAATTAAAATATGTAAAATATGATGACTATGCTAACCAATGTCTAAAATGTCACTCATTGGTTCATCGATATATGTATTTTATAGATTATGTTCAAGCACTAGAAATATTGTGGGTATCAGTGTTTATAATAATGTAATAAAATCTTTGTGTGCGTTATGCGGTCACTTGGTTGAACTAGTTTTCAAACATTTGTATTTTATGTCAGGTCCAGTCTAATTTGTTCATATACCTAATATATTGTTATTTTATGATATTCATAATTATGTTTATAAATATCAATGAAATTTGATTTTATATTTTTTATTTTTAATATTATATACATATAATCTTGCTTCAAGATGATGCTGACACACGCAACATAGATTTGAATGCTGAGCAAAAAAATTATTTTTAAATACTGTAACCTTTATCAAAATTTTGATAGCAATATTGTATTAACCTATACATACCATACCATAAATTTTTTTTATACTGTGAAATTTGGATTATATAAACGATTATTATTCTTTTTTAAAGAACTTAGCATTCTAATGTTATAGACAATTCTAAATATTTTGAGTCATTGTTTTAATTTTTAGTTTTTCTTTTACTTTAGCAAAGTTATAAACATTGTCTTTCAAATGTATGTACCTAAAAAACTTACAGCTACATAGTTTACTTTTAAATACAAATACTTAAACTTAGATTAGAATTTTATGAATGTCAATATATCTCAAATCCTTATTCATACTGATTTATTATAATATATATTAAAAAAATATATGCAAATTTTGTATATTAATTATAGAAATTATATGCATTTGCATGACTTAGAACTTACTATGTTGTTAATTTATATATTATTTTATAAGTTTATATCCATAGAATGACTATAAATGCAAAAGCTAAAGCTAAAATGACTACATTAAGAATATATACTCAACATTATATATCCATTAAAATAATTATTATTATTATTGTAGTTGTCATCCTTCATTTGAAATGTGAATTATTTTGACTGCTTTTTTTTCCAGGGTCTCATCTTTGTAGTAGACAGTAATGACCGAGAGCGTATCGGCGAAGCGCGTGAGGAGCTCATGAGAATGTTAAGTGAAGATGAATTACGGGATGCAGTACTTTTGATCTTTGCAAACAAACAGGTAATGCATCTATGTATAGAAAAAAAATGGCTCAAAACAATTCATAATGTTTAACAAAATTAATGTAAGAAAACATAATTATTACAAGTGAATATGTTAATGTGATGTGCAAAATTATTTATCTTATCTATCTATAACCATTATCTTCACATATTTTCGTTGCTGCCTAATTTAATATAATATTTTTGCTATATGGAGTTGTTTCATAATTATACATATTTCTTGTAAGCATTTTAAATGTTAAGCTAATTATTTTAATTATTACATAGAGATGATCAATACAGTATCAAAGCTAGTATAAAATATGCTTAGATGGTATTAGCTACAAATGTTTTGTGTTATAGGATCTACCGAACGCCATGAACGCAGCCGAGATAACAGACAAGCTAGGCCTGCACTCGCTGCGCAACCGCAACTGGTACATCCAGGCGACATGTGCCACTTCAGGCGATGGCCTCTATGAGGGGCTCGACTGGCTCTCCAACCAGCTCAAGAACGCCAACCGCTAACCTGTGCCCTCACAGAATTATCTGATTACTGAAAGAGACTATGGTTTAAGATATGTTCACTTTATTTGCTATAAATACAATGTATTATGTGCGGAATTCATGTACTACCGTCACCCGGTGACCGAGCTCGCATCGCATTCTCGTAACCGCCCGCTTGCCGCGCCCGAGTACTCTGGCTCTACTGCGACAGTACTAGTGCGATGCATACTCCGTTTCCGATATCGATACTCTATTTTATTGCCTATTGATTTGTACAAAATTAGGGGTCACACTATTTAGTGCAACGGTATTAGTCATTGGGATTGCGTTGTTTGTTCGATCTCTGATGACGTTGAACAAATATAGTGTGTAAAGTTATTGCAAAATTACATTTTTTTGTTTATATGTATCTGTAAACGAAATATGATACTGTAAATTCGATTAATCGCATTGTGATGTGGATAGGTACATGTGTAGCTGACTCGTGATAAAGTGGATCACAGCATAACATGTTTTATATGTATACTATAATATGGAATAAGTTGTCGTAATAAAGTATTTAAAGTTAATTCACTTCATGACTTTGATTCACTAGTTTATTAGCGTTGCCTGTAGTGGGTATGGAATACGTAGCTATTTGTGACCTAGTTAAAACAATGGTTCACGCATCATAATATAAATAATGATTGCGATGAACTAACCGCAATGAACTGTAGGCTTCGTCTTCCATCGCGTTTTAGCTGTATTTAACCACCTGTATTAAAAACGTCAAGTGATGGTTTATTTATTAAACATCGATTTCGAATATCGATTATAATCGCGAGTATGTCTCGAGCCATTTAAGAAAGGTATAGATTTGATTTATATTTATTTATTAAGTGCAAAATTTGAACCAAGTGTCTTTCAGATGCAATAGGGGTTCAATTACGTGTCGAAACCAAATGTCACTATTCACATCGCTCTGTCACTGACATCACCAGTTTCGATTGTGATGGTAATCACATGTGCATATTCTACTTATTTGAACGACTTATTGTATGATGATAGTTTATTTTTATGGAAGTTAACTAGGTAGAGTAAGCTGTTATGTATTTAACACTCGGAACACTTCGGAGCGACTTCGTCCATCGGATGGCGTTGTGACGATTTGCATTTAAAGTTGACTTCTCATGACGAACCGAGATTTAATTTAGGTATATGTATTACGGACATGGTGTCATTGGAAGTGCTTGCGTGCGGGAACTGTGCTCAGGACTCTTCAGTGGTACTTTGCTCTTACACAATTAATTATAACTTAGCATTTTTATAATAATTTAGAAGAAATTATTAAACACAATTTAATGATATGATTATGTGGCGTGTGGTGGAGATTTTTTTAAAATTAATTTTTATGAAAATCAAGAAGGTTCAATGGAAAACGAAATGTGACATTCCGGTTTGTCTTAATGCTGTATTATGGAATAAAATATCCTCACCAAATTTAGTTTTTACTTAACATCCTTTACATTTTCCCCTCTTTGCTGTTGTACTAAAAATATCATATACATATTATATACTTAATATAAAAGAATGCTTGATAAAAAACCTTAGTTTATATGCAGTTTTATTCTTATAGACCAGAGTCGATAATAAAAAAAGACCTACAACCTTTGTATTTACACTTTTTTCACATAACCTCAAAATTTATGTGAAAAATTCAAATAACCAAGTTTTTTATTTTTATCTTTTGCAAAAAAAATCTTTTCACGAAATTTGGTGAAAATTTACTTTTTTATGTCCCAAGAATACTGTAATTTTTTTGATTTAATATATTTATTTTTACCTTATTTTGACTTATTATCGAAAAAGCACCCTAATTTTCAATCGAAAATTCTCGCGTCAAAATATCTGGTTTTTAAAAAAGTCTGGGCTATTTGTTCGTTGAAATAGAAAAAAGAGTAAAAGTCAAAATAAGATGAAAAAATAAATATTTTAAATAAAAAAAAGCTTTTTGATCTTACAGTTATGTATATGTACTATACAAACGGTTGGTTTCTGGAAAACAGACTCCTAACATTGTGGGCCTTTAGTTAGGAATCTGGCTTTAACCTATAAGCTTGTACATGGAAACTTATGTATATATTTTATGTTCACATCGATACTGTATTTGACGACACGTTTAGCAGTCAGTCAGTCAGTTTGTAGTTCGCGTCTCGCTGGGGGCATTCATTTGTGTGATGAGCACGAATGTTTGTACTCCAGTCATGGGTGTTTATATTTATAATATAAACACCCATGACTGGTATGTATTTAAAGGAATATATCTGTAGTGTATGAACTATCTGGTATCCATAACACGAGCCTCGTAGCCATTACCATTGAACTAGATGGTGCTGTGTGTTAATGTCCCGACATATTTATTTACCTGCAGAACCCGCGGCTTCGCTCGCGCTAACACTACAGTAAAACTAAAAAAGTATGTTTCTTATGGCATGAATATCGAAAAATGCTAAAACACGTATTTATTTAATTGTATTGAAGAGTATTAATACCAAGTTTCACGTAATTCTGATCATAAATAATTTTTGGGTTGTATTATAACGTGTTTCACTGTCACTCCAGCAAGTTACATGAAAAACCACGTCAATCCGTTTCGACGTAAAAGAAAGACAAAACAAACATACTTTCACAGTTATAATATTAGTATGGATTTCTCTTTATATTTTTATCTACGAAAAGTTCTGAAACTAATGCTACGTACAGTGTGATCATTATTTACAAAGTCGTAAAAACCGACATGATTACGATTGATATGTCCGATGAAACTGGCGCCGCACTGATCTTCATTTAATTATATATGGATCCAAAATTTATTGGATAGCTAATTCATGAGATCATAGTTTTAATCACTGGCTGGCTAGTAATCATCATTTTGATAAAGCAATTTTTTTGAAAATCTGATTCTAGTAGGTAGTTGTAATTTTTGTCTAACTGTCTGTCCTTATAGCATCACGAGAGAGCCACTGGATGGATTTTAATTAAATTTGGTATGGTAAAAGCTAATTAGCCGCTAATTAAAAAAAAAAACCGTAATCTCTCCGAAATTATATATATTTAACTTGGTTATTTACAAAAAAAATATTTTAAATATCCTCTAATAAAAAGAAGTCATAAAGCTAAATTACACACAAATTAATGAACAGACATGTCGTCTCTATGATTTTAGATTGTTTTTGATCTTAGATGACGGCAAAATAAACGTTGGCTTTCCCTGTTGAAAAACTCCAATAGAATCCTATGAAAAGCGACAAAAGCCACATAGAAACCAAGAAATATGTATTGGTTTCTATGTGGCTTTTGTCGCTTTTGATGGGATTCTATTGGAGTTTTTAAATAGGGTTATACATTAGTAATATTTTGTCGGCTGAAAGATTTTAAAATGTCAAATATTCGCGTAAATCTAAGAAAGTATTAAAGACTAGCGACTCAATCTCGCTTCGCTCGGGTTCGTCCCTAGGATCACCCCATAAAAATTTTCATCCCCATTTTCACCCCCTTAAGGAATGATTTCCGCGATAAAAAGTATCCCATATCCTTTCCAGGGTCTCATACTATCTCCTTACCAATTATAAACGTAAGAGTAGACAAATATAAATCAGAAACCTTCGAACTGCTAAGCTATCGGGAGTTACACGTGTTATTGTGAGTCAACCATAAACGATAGACATATGCTGTCGTGGGATATTTTTTATATAATTTTAAGGAGAACATTTCCGTCATACATGATTTCTGTGTAGCTTTAACCATTAAGGTTGCACACGCGACGGAAGCTTAAAAAATGCAGTAACTTCTCCCGTTTTCCCAACATTTCCCTTCACTGCTCTGCTCCTATTGATTGTAGCGTGATGAAAAGTATACTTTAACCAGCTCAGGAGTATGAAAAATAATTGTACCAAGTTTCGTTAAAATCCGTCGAGTAGTTCCCTAATCACCCCCTGATAGTTATTTTGGAAATATATTTCATGTACAGAATTGACCTCTCTACAGATTTATTATAAGTATAGATATCGAGCTTTGAACAAAGGAATATATTATTTTAAGAAAGGAGAAGAAAAGTCAGATTTTTTTAAAGGAACAATTATATGGCTTAAATAAATAATACTATATTTTATATATATATTTTATGGTTATAAATATAATAATGGCAACACTAAGTATAGATTACTAATTAATGTTTTTAACATTGTAATAATTATAATAATAACAGCAAAAATTAAATAAATAATATTCCATATTCAATTATAAAGCTAATTAAAATTATAAAAATGTTTAGAGTTAAAAAATATTGTAAGGTAATTGGTGCAATTTTCGTTTTGTTATTTGTGGGTAGGGTGTCTGTAACAACTATACCTTCGAGACATCTAACACCTCAGTCTCTCCCGTGACCATCCATGCCCGTGACCATGAATGCTGTAAAGCATTCGAAACGTCAGGAACTAAAAATCCAAATAAATCCGCGAACAAATCCGAAAAGATAGTTTTATTTAAAAAATCTCGATAACTTTAATATTTAAGATACTTTTTTACATATTCCGTCCGTTTGTTACACATTCTTTAGAGTCGATAATATAGGAATTCTATGTCTTTTCGCTTTCTGTAATTGTTAGATAGATAAAATGTTTTTTCGAAAGATTTTATTCTTATTGTATAGTTGATTAGTTTAATAAAATAGCGAAAAGCTTTACTAAAAATAATTTAATTGTTTTTAATATTTTTTAAGATAAAAAAATGTTTTGTTCATATTCCTTTACTAATTATAAATTAAAATAATTATTGTATTATAAAAACATAGATATATTTTAAATGTATAATTTAATGGTGGTGAGATTTTTTGCTTTGTTTTAGAGCATATTTTCAGGAGAGAAAATTTGCTTTATTAGATCCCGCCTTAGCGTTGTTTTACTAGAATATTTTTGCTGTTAGGTACCTACCAGTGTGTTTATGTCAGCAATGACAAGAAGAATTTCGGATACGTAATG